TGTAGGTGACTACGTCGATCGTGGCCTATTCAGCGTCGAAACGATCTCCCTCCTAGTCTGTCTGAAGCTGCGATACCCTCAACGTGTCCATCTCATCCGGGGCAACCACGAATCTCGTGGTGTCACCCAGTCTTATGGGTTCTACACTGAGTGCGCGAGGAAGTACGGAAACGCCAACGTCTGGCACTACTTCACCGACATGTTCGACTTCCTCACCCTCAGCGTTGTGATCAACGACCAGATCTTCTGTGTGCACGGGGGCCTCTCACCCTCCATCCACTCGATCGACCAGATCAAGATCATCGACCGGTTCCGTGAAATCCCCCACGAAGGACCGATGGCCGACCTGGTCTGGTCAGATCCGGACACCGAGCATGATGAGTTCTCCCTGTCACCCCGAGGGGCCGGGTACACGTTTGGTGCGCAGGTGGTACGCAAATTCCTCGAGGTCAACAGCATGTCGCACATTCTCCGTGCCCACCAGCTCTGTCAGGAGGGGTATCAGATCCTGTATGATGACCGGCTGAGCACAGTCTGGAGTGCGCCCAATTACTGCTACCGATGCGGCAACCTGGCCAGCGTTCTTGAAGTGAGCGACTCGGGAGAGAGGTTCTTCAACATCTTCGACGCGGCTCCGGAGAACGATATCCACCGGAGCGAGCAGGCAGCACAACAGAACAAGGATGGACAGAACCCAGCGATTGACTACTTTTTGTGATGTCATATGATATGATACCCTAGGCGTTCCAACTGGTGATTAAATTTGTTTCTTTTTTATTTTGACAATGGGAACATTCCATATAGACCGCATTTGAGAAAGAAAATTGCTTTCATGGAAGGACAGGGTCTGGCAATTTTGAGCCTTTTGTTTTTCCATTGATGAATTTACTGATGTAAAGCTGGACATGGACATATGCACGCATGGAAGCAATTCACTTTGAACAGGTGTTGCGGAGTTGGGTAGTACAGGCTTGCCTCGTTGACCACCATCCCGTCGACGTTCTTATCTCTGCATGTATGGAAAAATTTACTGGAAGACAAAGACCAAAAAACCAAAATATGCACGGACGGACAGAAGAGCGGATATGAACACGCTACGCGTAGCTAGGCGTAACTAGGAAACTGGAATGGAATCGAAATTCGAAAAAGGAAGAAGCCTGGATGGGGTCCCTGAGATTGGTTCCCTACCAGTCCTTGGCGATTTCGAAAGACCACTCGAACTGGAGGTGCGTGACGTCGTCATCGTCCACAAACTTGGAGATGGCGTTGTAATGTCCTCGGGCGATCATACCCGAAGGAGCCTCCTCTTGGTGGACTGATAGCATTTGCAATTAGCAAGCATTCGAGACAAGAATCTCCAAGAAGGTTTACTGGAGATGAGGTCTTACATTTCTTCTCATAGTAAGGCTTGTCGGTGGTATTGGGCGCGTAACTTCCCTGTTTGGGGGGTTGTTGTCAGTCATGCCATACTCAATATAGTAATCCCCCTCATCCTGATCCCGAGGTCCCCTGTACAAGAGAGGAGTCCTCTGCCCGCCCCGGGTGATCATGCACATACCAGCATCTCTTCGTCCTTGCTGACCCGGATTCCCTTGCGCTTGACGACCTGGAGATATTTCAAACCGCTCAACACCTCGTGGTGCACCTGGAAGACGACCTTGGTGCGGAACTTGGCGCCCTCCTTGATCTTGAAGGGCTTGTTCTTGAGCTCCTCCAGAGCTCCGGGGCCCGTGAGATCCACCGTGATGTCCCCCCGGTCCTCCGTTTCGATGGCGAGGGATTTGATGATGCACTTTCTCGGGTCGTTAGGGTCCGCGATGGGCTGGCCGGTATTCAGACCAAGGGACGCCTTCCAGCGGTTCAGAGACTCATCATGCGCGTCTGTGTGTACACCAAGTCAGCCGCCGAGTACATGCAGCGGTGTGGGAGCATACCCAATTTCGTGTATTCCTCTATTGTCTTCTTCTCGCCAAGCTTGAAACCCTCCGTCTTGGACGCAACGAGATCATCGTCGTGGTCAGACATGATGTCGATTCCGGTCTAAATTCAGTGCTATCGTTCCCAAGTCTTTGTTATGATCTCGCGGGGTACTCCAAGGTCGAGGCTTGGCAGTCAACAGAGCGTTGGACAGATGGGAACCTAGATGGTGGGATGGCGAGGTCGTTCAGCCAATGTCCAGAAGTAGGCTGGCAGTAAGCCACGAGGGGGTCCAACTGAGCACTTACAGGAAAAGGAGTGATGGAGCTGAGAGAGAAGGAGAGAAGGGTGCCCCGACGATACACGGAGTGTTTCTAGACAGCTGGACAGTTGGACAGTGGGGTAGGTAGGAAAGGCGGTGGGGAGAGGGGAACCTTTGCGTCGATAAGACAACACATTAGCTGTCTAGAACTCAAAACTCAGGGGTAAGCGATCATAATATTCCAACCTTCTTTCTATTGTCCAGCTGACATTGTTAAGATCGCTATTGTCATTCAGTAGCACAATCCGTCATTAGCGAAATAGACCTGGAATGTGCTACAGTTCGTATTGGCTTGAAATTCTGTGAACTTGAGAAGGTCTGTCGTAATGTCTCTTTCTGTTCGATTAAATTAGTTAGGGGTATGGAACCGCCATTCTCCTACCTAGGTAATTAGTGCGACTGCCACCGGATCGAAGCCACGAGGAGACGCGGACCGCTACGAGTGAGTATTAGATACGATCTGCCAGCTGTACGACATGAAATAGCAATCTGTGGCTACGATGCTACAAAACAGCCGGAGTAGTTAGGAGCATAGTAAATACTACTATCCGGTAGCTTGCAGTCTACAGGGGCACTTGACGCCAATTAAAACCCGCGGATATTCACGGGCGTTGAGAAACAGGGGAAAAGACCAGGATTTTGAGATACGGGGATCAAGAATCCCAAGCTTTCTTTGTCGCACAGATTGAAAGAAACTGTTCGTATAGAACGTCTTAGATCGCAACCTCGCTGCTTGTCTTCTCGCTCACTAAAATGAGGTTAAAAAGGGTCATCTGTTGGTTACAAAGTCGCTGCGACCGATGCTCCTGCATGACCAGCAATGAGATCAGAGCAATGTGCTGCCGTAGAATCACGGTGACGGCATGCTAATAATTCTCCCATGGCTGCGGTGGGAGAGCGGGAGCCAGCGAAGTTCCTTCCTCCACGACGTTGCTGGGGAGCGGCCCAACGCGCCAGCACGGTACGATACGCCCTGTGTATCGCCTTGTTTCGAAACGCTGTTCATTACCGGGGATAAATTCCGCCGAATTCCCAGCGCCTTGGTTGGCGGCCTTGCCCAGACTAGCCGCCTTGGGCAGGCAAACCAGCGCCCGGCGCGGCCCAGCAAACCCACCGCTGGCGGGCGTGCTGTACGGTACGGTACCGTACGCAGGGCTGCACATTACTCAAGGCCGCTCGCCCCCTCCCCAGGCCCCCTTTCCTATCTGCGAGATAAACTGCCCGGTCCGCCGCGTTTCTCCATCCACCTTCGCGCTTCCACCCTCGCGACCCAGTGTCTTGAGTATTATACAATCCACCGTGCGACTGCGGAGGAACTCGTGGCACTGTCCTCCCTCCCCGGGCCTTGATCCGATCGCCTCCCCTCAACACCCCCGAGCGTTGAGTCCGGTGCTAAGGCTCCCGATTACGGCGAGCGACACAGACGCGCCTGCAACGTGGCAGCCGTTAGGTGTCCATTCTAACGCCTTTTTCAGAAATCGACCCCGGACCCCCGGTTCCTCCTCCTTCCTATATACCACCCTGAGCCCTATCGCTGCTCATATACTCCATTGAGCATCCTGTCGAAGTCTCGTCCATCATGCGATCCCTTCCCAAAAGACACAACCCTCTGATTCTCCCGGAAGCGTCTCCTCCCTGTAAGTTCCTTTTCGCTCTTTCTTCCGCTGCGATGGTCGTCTTTTTTTTTTTCTTTGCGCGCCGGTTTAACATCGCGGATCGCATTCGCATTTACTTCGCATTTACATCCTGGAGAACACAATAACCGCGCCTGATCTCCGCTGACGAGATTTTGGCTACAGATGAGGAGCTCCTTGCCCTCCGTCGCCTCGGAAAGACCCATCTAGCCGTCAAGCCGGCGCAGGTCGGCACTTCCAATGCGACCAAGCCAGAGAACTTGGGTCCCTTTGAGTACGCCCATCTGCGCGCTCCATTGCCCAAGGACCTCCGGGGGTCAGAGATCTTCCCGTCGCATAATCCGCAACAACATCCCGAGACGTATTTCCTCATGGTAAGCCGTCCCCTTCTCGAATGATCCGGCATCGCTCTGTCGCATTTGGACCAGCCGTTAACATGAACGATCCAAACAGCGACGAAGCAAGGATGGATACATCAGCGCGACCGGTATGTTCAAGATCGCGTTTCCCTGGGCCAAACTGGAGGAAGAGAGGGCGGAGCGCGAGTACCTGAAGTCGAGGCCCGAAACCAGTGAAGATGAAATCGCTGGCAATGTGTGGATCTCTCCAATGTTCGGTAAGAACAATCTTTTGTGGAGTCAGACCTTGACTGGCGATATCTGACGATTTTTCAGCCCTGGAACTCTCGAAAGAATATCGCATGTTCGACTGGGTCCGCGCGCTCCTGGACCCGACCGACATTGTTCAGAGCCCCGCGAGCGCGAAGAAGCAGATCACTCCCCCTCCGAAATTTGAGATGCCCCCGTTGGAGACACTGACAGAGCTCGCTCCCCCGACCCGCAGCCGAAGCAGACGCTCTGTTTCTCCTGCCAAGGGTTCCCCTCGCAAGTCCAGGCAAACAAGGGGGGCAAAGGAGAGCTCAGTAGCTGCCTCCGCCGCAGCTAGTGCCAGCTTGCAATCCGCCCTGGGCACGGCCGCTTCTGCCGCGGATTCTGAGTCGGTGGATGGTGCTGCTGAGACGAACGGGGACATCAATCATGACCAGACGGTCGAGGAGACCAAGCCAAAGAAAGAGACCAAGACTAGGTCTAAGAAGGCTGCTGCGGCGGATGAAAAAGCTAAGGCTAGTGTCGAGTCCGCCGATGCCCGGGGCGAATTCAAATTCACGCAGCCCAAGCTCTCCGGTGATACAGAGGTCAGCTTGCCCGAGCCTCCTCCTGCTGAGGACACGGAAAAGATGATCGCCGAGGCGAAACAGATGGTGGATGACGCCACCAAAGCCCAGCAGGCCGAGGGCGAAGGCGAAGGCGAGGGCGAAGGTGAGGGTGAGGAGCCATCCTCAGCATCGCCAAAAGCCAGCAAGAAGCGCAAACCGGATGAAGCAGCCGACGAAGAAGACAAGGATTCAGAGACTCCGGCCCAGCCGACAAAGAAGGCTAAGGTCTTGGAGGACAAGTTGAGGCGGGAGAGAGTAAGGAACCGAGCCCTGGTGGGCGTTACAGCGACATTGGCACTTGCGTAAGTCTTGTCGATATCCGTGTAGTTGCGGGAAACAAGCTAACCTCCAAATCTAGTGCCGCGATTCCGTATTTCTTCTAGATGTGTTATATTCCTTGTTACGTTTATTTTTTTTGTTCTAATGGGCGGCTTGGAAGGCAGGATCTATACAGAGCCACTAACGTTTCTACCATATGTGGTCTGTCCGAGTAGGATGAGATGGAGGATTTTGGCTTATGACAGGTGATCGCACCTGCGTCTGGTCTTTATTGTTTTCTCCCGTTTTCTTTATAATTGCACCCTGCCAAAGGATCCCAGACTGAGACTACCTATTCACATACCCTAACCTAATGCATACCCTTTGATTTTGCATGTCCCACTGTTGAACATCACAAGAGCTGAACTTCCCGACCTCGCGGACCTCGTGTCCTTGTATGGAACCCCTAATCCTCGCCACAGAAACCTTCGCATGACCTTAACGCTCCCTTAATACAGCATTCCCAGCCCTCATCCCCCGTTCCCGTGAACCCTATTCATTGTATACATTCCCCAGATTCCCCTTTCTGTATTACATGACTGTGCACACTTATAAGTTTCTTTTATTTTCCCCCCTCTGTCATAAAAATGGCGTCGGATTCCCATCAGGATTTGGTCGGTGTAGGTGGCTTGACTGGATGAAATTGAATGGGATTTGAAGTGGTAAAAAGGAATGTCCTGCTTTGTTATATTTTAGTTCACATTGACCAGCCGTCATTTTTTTTATCCCGCCTGATTGGCCTTGGATGCTCTGTTTTTGGATTGTGTTCTCTTTCAGGATCGCTAGATCCGTCCGCAATGCTGTTCCGGCATTGGACACGTATGATAACATGTACCAAACAAACCATATCCTAGAGCGGAGAAAAGAACAAATGTTTAATCTTGGCGATTCAAAAATAACTAATACTGTAGTCTTTAATAGAAGCGGTTGTTCTGAGGGTGATTTGCAGACGCTTTGTCTCAGGGCTGAGCCAAGCTGCCAAAACGGTGCGACTCTGCAAACAGTCAAAACAGGCGGAGGCTCCTCCGCATTTCTCGTGCAAAACGCCGTACAGGACATTCCCTCGAGTCCCTCCTGACGATTAGATATCTTTGTCGACGTCTCCCTGCAAAATCTCTCTTTGCTGTCTGTCACCGTCTTCCAGCAATGCGATGTCTCTTCCCGGTCTAGAGCTCACGGAAACGTCACCTGAGACGCAATATGCTCCTCCACCGCCAACGCAGGTGAGCCTGCGCGCCGGATGCGAATGGAGGTTTGAGGTCGCTTTTGGGACAACAGTGCGAGTGAAGGTCTGTACATTCGATATGCCCATGTTTTTCTTGTTTTCCTTGTGCACAATGCAGCCAGCAAGCAGATGATTTTCCCATTGCTGGTTGGCTACATGATGCGCTTGGTGAATTGTGTCGCTCCCACAGATTCTCCGTAATGGCAAGATTTTGCTGACTCGAGTCTCCGTCCTTGAGAGAGGTGGAATTAGCTCCTAGCCGGTACTGCAGAGCTCTTCGGCACCGAACTCGCCCAGTCACAGACCTACACTTTCTCCGGAACAAAGGCGGCCATATACACCTGGCATGGCTGCACGCTCGAAGTCAGTGCCGGCGATGCCGTTCCTCTACCAAATGGATTCGCCCCGGGCGGCGCCAATGGCATGGCTCGTGGACAGGGAGCGGGCGGATGTCAGAGCGAATACGTCGCGGAGGACACGCCCATGGTGGAATACGCCAACGTCCACTTTGCGCTGGAGACAATGAGACAGGAGGCCCAGAGCAGTGGTGGGAAAGATGGACCGCGCGTCCTGATCCTCGGCCCAGAGAATGCCGGCAAGACCAGCCTGGCGAAGATATTGACGAGCTATGCGACCAAGATGGGACGACAGCCCATCGTGGTGAACTTGGACCCGACGGAGGGCATGTTGAGTGTCCCGGGGACGCTGACAGCGACGGCATTCCGGTCGATGCTCGATGTCGAGGAGGGCTGGGGGAGCAGCCCGATGTCTGGGCCCAGTCCTGTGCCTGTCAAACTGCCGCTGGTGTACTTCTACCCCATGCAGAGCCCTCTCGAGGCCGAGGGGAGTATTTTCAAGCCCATCGTGTCGAGACTGGCTCTGTCGGTGACAGGTCGCATGGCTGAGGACGAGGATGCCCGAGAAGCCGGGATCATTGTTGATACCCCTGGAATCCTCGGCCAAGGGAGCGCGAAGGCACTCGAACTGATCCACCATATTGTCACGGAATTCTCCAGTATGGACCCTCCTCCTCCTCCTCCTCCTTTCTATCTCTTTTGCTCGTTTCATTAACTGACAGCCGAACAGTCTCGACGATCCTGGTCATCGGCTCCGAACGGCTCTACAGCACCATGGTCAAGAACTATGACCAGAAGCCGACGTCCAGCGCGTCGGCGACACACTCGGACGAGCGCATCTCAGTAGTGAAGCTGTCCAAGTCGGGGGGATGTGTCGACCGGGACGCGAACTTCATGAAAGCCGTGCGCGAGTCGCAGATCCGATCGTACTTCTTCGGCAGTGCCGTGCCGTCCACGGCGTCGGCGGCGCTCTCGCTGTCGGCCAGCTCGGCGAGCACGAAAATCACCCTGTCTCCGCACGCGCAGCAGCTCGACTTTGATTCCCTAGCGCTGTACAACTACGCGGTGTCGAGCGTAGACGAGGACGAAGACGAGTACGACCCTTCTCAATTCGGGTCTGGCGAGTCATTCCTCCCCGGCGGAGCCAATGCATCAGATTATGAAACGACACACGATCACGACGCTTCACACACTACCACAACTACCACCAGTGGTACTACTACCACTTCCTCACTCCCTGGTCTTGGAACACAATCCACCACCAATACCACTACCACCAGTGACAACCCTGACCTCACAACCACAGCAACCACCACAACAACGACAACATCAACATCAACCTCCGACGTTCCTCTCCTAAAGAAAGTCCCCTCCCCTCCTCCCTCCATGCTAGCCAACACCCTCCTCGCCATCACCCACGTGCCCCCGAACGCACCCCTATCGGAAGTCCGCGACGCCAGCATCATGGGCTTCGTCTACGTGGCCGACGTCGACGTCGAGAAGGGGAAGATACGCGTCCTGGCGCCCGTCGGGGGAAGAATGCCTTCGCGCGCGCTGGTCTGGGGCAGGAAGTGGCCTGGGGAGTTGGTGGGGTTGGTGGGATAGAAATAAATAAAAAATAATGATGAATAGAATAGATAGATAGATAGTAGGTAGATGAGGCGTTAGATTCAATTAAAATAAGAAAAAGAAATAAACGAAGAAAAGTGATAATGATATATATATTTATTTCTTGCTTGCTTGCTTGCTTGCTCGTTCGTTCGAATTCGAATTGGATTCTTTTAATATCCAATTCACTAACTAATCACATGTAGTAGAATCAATCAATAAGTTGTTCTTCTTCCTTTCTTTGCTCTAGTTCTAGTTTGCTCTGATTTGCTCTGCCTTGGCTTTGTTTTGTTTTGTTTATGAGGGCGTCCGAGGCTCTACTCTTACTGCTGCTATTACTGCTACTGCCGCGTGTACTGTACAGTACATACATTATTACTGCTAGAAAATAAAACAAAAACAAAAAGTACTAAAGTTCAGATTTATATGTAATAGCCATGCAATTGCAATTGTATTTCATCCCCATCCTCCAGTGGTTGTCCAATCGATAAATATTCGATTGCGATAGTCTGTCTAACAGAAGAATAGAATAGGTAGATAGACAGGAATATATAATTATTGTATATGATAGTATGTATATTGCATAATTGCATAACAACCAGAGAAAGACAAGGACAGACAGACAGATAGATGACCGACGAATTCAATTCGAGACAAGAAAAACAAAAACAAACGTATCAGATATCAGATATTTGTACACGTGGTATCATTGTAGTATATCAATCGTGGAACTCGGACACGTGCGCCAGCGCCGAAAAAAAAACAAAGAGAGCGACGAGTAAGACAGACAGAGAGAAATGCAAAAGAATGATGCAAAATGATGAAAGCAAAGTACCGTTTTGATCCTTTTCCCGCCCATGACCATGACCATGACGCCAAAAGAAAAAAAAATCTTCTCACTGAAATAATATATATATCAGACAATCGCATCGTATCGTATCGTATCACTCCCACTTCTTCCATTCCTCCGCGTTCTGCCGAAGCTCCGCATCCCGGTCGTAGCCCTTACTTTCTTCGTACAAGAGCTTCTGCTGCCGCTCCCGGTAGCGTTGTTCAGCGTCGTACCGCTTCAGGGCCACGGACCGTAGATACTGATAGTCGTCGCGCAGCACTGCCTCCCTGAATCTAGTCCGCATGCGAGGGGAATACAGCTGGCAACTGGCTTCGCGGCAACGCCCTGGACCAGACCCCGGGAGGAGTCTCGCGGTCCGCGACACCATTCGCGCCACTGGTTTGTGCGCTGCGGCCAATGGCCAGACGACGTCGTCGTAGCAGTCCTCGCAGATCGAAAACTCCGGTAGATCGGGAATGTAATGCCACACGCTGAGGACGAGTCGATCGCGGCGGCAATCGCGAATCCCATATTTGCGACGAATGTAATCGACAAAGTCGGTGTTGTCGGGAGCCGAAAGGCCCTTGTCTTCACACTCGTTCGCCGCTGCATCGAGCAGATCCAAATACCGCACGAATCGAGGGCTGTCAACCGCGAGATCGCACACTCGCTCTTGCACCAGAGGGCTCCATCGGAACGTATCCCGATGAGGAGGCATCAGGATCCGAATATTGCGCACACAAGCAGAGCACGCCACGAACTTGGGAAGATTCATTCCTGTCTCCGGGTCGACCACTCGATACCAGGTCTGCATGGAACTGGTCCGTCCCGGGCATGGTTTGCATCCCGGTGGTGGTCGAGTAATCTGGTAGAGCATCTCGAGATCCGTATGCTTTTTCTTGATCGTTTGAAGCCACGCCAACCTTGTCCAGGGTTCGCTGAACGAGCAGCGAACTTTGACGTGCCGAGGCTTTGGAAGGCTGGGCACAAAGTAGTCTCGGAATCTCGACTGGCCGATCTGGTTCATGCAAGACGGACAGATGTTCAGATGAGACAAGCCTGAGATGGTGTACCAATCTTGGTGGCCTGCCACTGGTACAGACCTCGGGCATGGTCGAAGAAAGAGATTCTCTTCGACAGGACGCACTGGTCTAACCCTCGCTGGCGAGGAGGATGAAGCACGGTGTTCATCGATTTCATCAGCGAAAGACACTACTCGGCGGTCTCGTGAAGGGGATTGCGTTGATCCGATCTTAGGCGAAGTGGAACGAGCCCTCTTTCCCTTGTTGGACGTTGGAGTGTCGGGGAAATATGATGTCCTCGCCTCCTGGGTGACCTGCTCGTGAGGTGTGGCGTTCGCACTCTTTGAGATAGAGGTCTGAGGAGAAGACTTGGATGATCCGGCTTCGTGTGGAGTGGCATCCCTGCCTGGTTTGTGGACCGGGGACTGGGGAGCCGACGCAGAAGAGACTGCTGGACGCATCTGTTCTTGTGGCTTCTCCTGCGCTTGTTTGGCGGACTGGAGCTCCCTGCGATGCTTGAGTTTCATTTCTATCAGCTCAGCCACCGTGGGTCTTTTCGAGGACCGTGGTGACTCGGTATCCTCGGGCCGTCCTCTTTTAGGCTGGCTGACAGCATCTCCAGTGCCGTTCCGGCTGACCGAAGTGGTGCGTGAGGAAGCGCTCGACGATGCGGCATGGGCCCGACTGTCCTGCTTGTCCTTGGTGGAGGTTTTGGAGGTGTGATTTTTGGACTGTGAGTTGGATGAACCCGGACGCAACGGAGGAGACCTGTTCTCAGGAGGCGGCGGTGTTGGAGGACCCAGCGTCTCCTTCGAGGACTTGCTCGTGAGAGAAGGCTGCTGCGATGTGTTGGAGTCGGCTGACGCTGCTCGAGGCGGTGGCACCGTCTCAATGTCCACGAGGATCGGATATTGATCAATTGTCCCTCTCTCGCACACCCCTTCGACTCCAGGCTTCTCGCCCAGAAGTGAAAGCCCGCCCAATTCATGGGAGAGCGACTCGAATTCGTCTTCGACGAGAGGCGACGGCGGCTTTCGTGGCCGAGGTCGCCAAAGGGGGGACGGCATCTTGTTACATCGGCAGACAAAACGCTTTCAAAAGGAACCTCGATGCGTTCGCAACCACCGCAGAGGCTGCTAGCCTGTTGCAATCGCAGGATGGATTAGAGATCCCTTCTTTGCCACGGCATGCATGTCAGCCTCTGGGGACTCACTCCGAATCGAGGTGCAGTGTAGACGAGAATGCGCGGAAGAACGATGCAGCGGGGCACTGAGGATTTCTTCGTACTGGGATCAGGGTATCGTGCTGCGAAAGGCGACTGTGATCAGATGTGATCAGATAGGAAGCTGGGACAGGCGCCTGTTTATAGAGAGGCCCCGATCGGGCAGCACCGTCGACGGGCCTTCATCCCATAGGGCAACGAGGCGCTGGCCTGCGTCGGGCCTCGAATTGGCAGCAGCAGAGCAAGAAGCCAACACGTCGCAACAGCCAGTCAGGTCGAGGGAATCGACGAGGCCGTTTCATGGCAAGACATCTGGCGGGGCAATCGTGCTGCTGCTCCTGCTCCTCATCGTTGTCCCTCTCATCGTTGGAGTGCTGGCTGCTGCGATGTGCGATACGTCCTGTGCATTTCTCGTCTGGCAGGCTTGAGGACAGTTGGACGCGGCACGAGGCCAATGGCGAGGGCGCAGCCATCGTGGCGCTTGCACCTTGGCATCGCCCTACGACTGCTGAAGGCGGCCACTCGCGTCGCTCTCCACAGACGATCGCGCATCCAGGATCGCTGCTGCTGCGGATGCCCTTCTAGGCTCTCAGTGCCCACTGTGCACTCCGCTCAGGGAATCTCGTGCATGGCGAGAAGAGTCGATGGGTGCAGTGTTACGGTTTTTGGCGATATCGCCGTGGCAAGTCTGCAGCTAAGCAAGAAAGCATCTGTAACTGACAACAGCAGTACTCCAGACAGTCAGGTTGCGGCGGAGAGGAATAGGCGCCCGATGGCTACTAAAACGGGGCGCAGCACATTTTTATCGGCCTTAACGACCTGATTTTCCGCTGCTGGAACTCCTTCGTCATTATGGTTTTCCCCCTGTTACAGAAATTGTGATGCCTAGCGGTGATAGTATTAATAGGCTGGGAAACCACGTCAACGGCCTGAAAACGATGACTCCAGATTTCGAACCCGACCAGCTAAGCAGTGGAGCATGCAGCGAACAATGTTCAGTTGGCCGTGCTGCTGGCCCCACCGGGCGACCAGATTTGGTGGGCCATCGTCATGGTTCTTGTGCACATCAGAGCAGTCCCTCGCACCGTTGAGAGACCGAATCAAGCCATCTTTCCTTATAAGGCCGTCTGCGGGCTACCTGGACATGGGACCTCTGCGCAGAGCAAAGCTTTGCTCTGTTTCAGTTGAGCTGCAAGGACGGAGTATGCCGTACTCGATGGGTTACGTGGATGCTGCAATATCAGACCAGACAATTTCTTTGAATTGTGCTCGGTGCTCAAGAGGCCAAAAATAGTGTACGTCTGTAAGGCGGTTTCCTTGATAAAAAGTTGAGACAGAGAACAGACCCAGTTGTAGACTCGTGCAGCTGGACTCTTGGCTCCCATCCACATTGAGCAATCGAGAACTGTTTCGATCCTGATTTCTTTCTTTATTTTGACCTACAATGGAGGTGTCGACTGTTTCAATTGAACAATCAGAGGAATGGAGAGGGTAATAAACCTGTCACGTCATAACAGAATATCGAAGCAGACAACTTCAGCCTGGTATGTAATTCGAGATTTGTCAACCAACCAGACCACAAAAGAAAAAAAATACCAGGCGTCCAGTGCAATCAACCACAGCTCACGGCTAACCAGAGTCCAGCGGTGCTTTAAATCCACTCCATTAAAAGAGCCGACGTCACCAGGCCGAAGAACAGCCAGGCTGAACCAGCCACGATCTCCATGTTACACAAGGAGATCAGTCACGGCGTATCTTGCAGCTTGTCCAACGCGGAGGTCATGAAGCTGACAGTAGTGCAACACGCTTCCAAGTGACAGCCTGCCTGATAACGTACCTCCTATCTCCGACCTCTTTCCGTAAGCATGTAGCTCTTGTCTCCAACAGAGAACGTGCTGAGAACCATCAGAAGTTCAGGTTTATCGACAAAGTTGTCGATGTGTAGTCCCATTTCATATCACTCCAGATGTACTCAGTATTATTATGGCCATGAAAGCTGACCCAGTTGAAGTTGCCAGGCATTCAGTCGGAATCCAAGCGGGTTTCCGCCGTCGCTCCCGTCGGAAGCCTTCCCGCCCGCTCTGGCCGTGCCCGCGGAAGACAGCTTCTTGCGCTTTTCGATTTCCCCGCCATGACGACTCTGGACACGACCAAGACCGCAATTCGATGTCGATGATTGCTGTCAGTCGAAGTGCGATCCGGTTTCCCGTCTGCTCAGGGGAATCCTCAGTCAGCTGGTTGTATCTCCATCTATCTGTACGGCCGTTATCTTCCCCTCCCCTCTGACATCACCCGATCCCTTGCTAACTGGGGCAGTCGGCGATAGCGTCGGCAGGCGTCGCGAGGACGGCCTTCAACGTTATTATTAATCGAGAACAAGCCATGCCCCCAAGCTCCGGTCGTTTCCTGCTCAGGCGGGCAACCGTCATCTCCACCTGCTTCCATCGTCAGCTCAGTGCGGGGCCGAATCTCCGATGACGGCAGCCACGCTCTATATTGCACGCGGCCAGCAGCTCTTGGGTTTAAATGACCTGGCCGTCCTTTGCGCGACCAGCGCTGGCTCTGCGTCCATCATTGGCCGTAAAGCAAACAAAGAAACCGCCTCTTGTCCTCCCTGCCCCTCACCCGGTGGACGTGTGCATGTATCCGAGCCGAACGTTTGCTGCTCAAGCCAGATCCGTCTTTCGTATGAGTAACAGTGCCCTTCGACTGTCTGCTCTCCTGTCGCAGCTGTCTCCCTCATCGTCCTCTGTTGCGTCTTCCGCTGGATATCACCAGATCCGCAGAATGTCTGTTCCGTCCACGCAGAAGGCCGTCGTGATCGAAACCACCGGCGGCCCTGAGGTCCTCCAGTTCAAGACTGACTACCCCGTCCCTACCCCGCAGGAGGGCCAATTGCTGGTGAAGAACAACATCACCGGCGTCAACTTCATTGACACCTATTTCCGCACCGGTCTCTATCCAGCTCCCAAGCCCGAAGTGCTGGGCCGTGAAGCTGCCGGTGTTGTGGTTGCCGTCGGCCCTGGTGCCAACCCCTACAACTTCAAGGTCGGCGACCGAGTCCTCTGGCTGAACACTACCGGATACGCTGAGTATTCAGCCGTTCCTGCGGCCAAGACGGTGAAGATTCCCGATGGCATCTCCGACGAGGAAGCCGTGGCCGCCTTCCTCAGTGGTCTGACGGTCCTCACTCTGGTCAAGGAGACCTACCCCGTCCAGAAGGGCGAGTGGGTGCTCCTGCACGCTGCCGCAGGTGGTGCCGGCTTCCTCATGACGCAGGTTCTCAAGTTGATCGGGGCCAAGGTGATTGGAACAGCCGGAGGTCCCGAGAAGGTCGCCCTGGTCAAGAGCCTGGGCGCTGACCACGTCATTGACTACCGCAGCGGGGAAGGCAAGGACTGGGTCAAGAAAGTCAAGGAGGTCACCAACGGTGAAGGCGTGTCGGTGGTCTATGACTCGGTTGGAAAGGATACCTGGGAGGGCAGTTTGGAAGCCGTCAAGAGAAAAGGAACGATTGTCTGGTTTGGAAACGCCAGTGGCCCTGTTCCCCCTCTTCCACTTCAGTAAGTATACATTTTTTGACTCGCATCCTATCTTTCATCCATAGCTGACGAAATTGTCTAGACGTCTCTCTCCCAAGTGTGTCAAGATCGCCCGTCCCATGCTGTTCGGATACATTGAGACGAGAGAGGAGTTTGAGAGCTATGTTAAGGAGCTCTTCAACCTTCTCCAGTCCGGCCAGTTGAAGGTCCGGATTCACAAGGTGTACCCGCTGGAGGATGTCCAGCAGGCACACAAGGTGAGTCTCTTTCTCTTCCGGATCCGTTGCGCATGACGCGACAGTTAACTGATTGGTTTGCGCTGTAGGACCTCGAGGGCCGCAAGACGACCGGCAAGCTGCTTCTCAAGCCATAAATAAGGTTTGATTGGCCAGAGACAGTCCGATCTGTGAACTCATATATAATTTCTGATTTCGAGCAATATAGAGACATCTACAGTCGTCTTCTATTGACGCCAGCTAAGCCTGCATGGGGCCTTTTTGGAAAAAGAAAGTGAGAGAGCAATATCGTCCAGATCCATTGGATTCATTATCTAGTCATGTCTGTCATGATAGTCGCCTGGGAATGAAATAGTTTTCAGGTTAGAAACATTTCCAATCTCGAATAAAAGAAAGACAGAAAGACTATGCTTCATAGGTTCATTTGTTCCTGTGTTTCTCACGTGGACAGATTGCGCATTCCCTGTGTAACTCGAGGGCCAAAAGCTTCCTTAGTCATCATCATCATCCTCTTCTTCTTTTTCCACCTTAGATCCGTCCATCTCCCCGCCTTCGGCTTTCTTCTTTCCCTTGTCTTCGCCAGTAGTCTCTTTTTCTTCTTCTTCGGCATCCTTGACCGTTTTGTCACGAGGCTTCTTCCACCCGATCATCAGATCGTTCGCGAGGATGGTGTAGATGGAGCAGTAGGCGGAGAAGACCTCGTCGAAGAAGTCGAGGCCGCAATTGAGCCGCCAGACCGTGGTGGTGACCTTCATCCCCGGGTAGCAGAACCGGAGGAGGTCCTCTTCGACCAGAAACTCGAACTCGGTGGAATGGAGGAGGTCGTTCCATTTCTGCTCCCATTCCACGCTCTCTTCCGGACTGAGGTCAATCTTCGGTCTGGCCGGGTCTCGGTACGGTTTCGCACGCAGCTTGCCGACTGGACGAAGGTCTGGCGCCTGGGTGCGGTAGAATTCACGGAGGTCGTTGTCAGGGAGAATGGCCTCTGTGACCTCGAACCCGTCGATGTCCTCGATGCAGACTGCCCTGAGTTCATTCTTGCTACTCAGGTCGCGGAACCGAGTGGCCTGTTCGTCGGATCCCGCACCGGCCAGGGCGAACTTGATCACTTTACGCGCAATCTCGCTGGTCATCCGGGGGGACTGGCTCTTTTCATTGACCCAGTCGCTCCCGTCGGCGTCTGGATCGAAGAAATAACCACCAAAGAGCATAGAGCAGGCCTGATTAAAGTGGCCTGGCCCCTGTGCAACGAAGCGCTGGTTGTCCCAGAGCTGTTTGGTGGCAATGTCGCAGGAAGCACGCGCGGCATTGATGTTGTCCTTGTACTCGGGACACACGTCGTGATAGAGGAGATAGTTCAGGAAATTCTTGATGGTGACCGTGGCCAATTTGATCGTCTCCTCGCTGTCAGGGTTAAAGTAGTCTGGAAAATAAGAGGTCCTAGGACGCGGTGTTAGGAGACAAGGTCAAAGATGTGTCCAGTAGCATCGAACTCACAGAAACCCTCGAACGACAGCATCAAAGTCGACCTTCATATCCAGCCGATCGTATCTGATGTTTGTCTGCGACCGCGCCGTCGCGATATTTTCACTGTCCATCTGCTTCAACTCCGCAGCACTGAGACCTCCAAACATCTTGGGTCCCACCTCGACACCACCGTAGATCAAGTACCTGCTAAAGACCTGCATGCGCTCTGTTTCAATTCGACGCTTTGCCTGGTATCGGGTGAGCGCTTCCTGGATTCGACTGCCCTGCCATCAGAAAGATTGATCGAAAAAAAAAGTGTTTCTGGATTATCAGTGACTTACAAAATGACGGGACGCTCTCTGTTCAGGGAAAGTTAGCAGATACGACTCCAAGCAGAAAGGTTCAGCACACACCTTTGGTATATTTCCCGCTCATAGTCGTGTTCATCCGGCGTCATGGGGGCATCGACGTAGTATTCCTCGAATCCAGTAGGCTTGTCCTATATCAGAACGAGTGAGAGGGTAAGCTTCTGTCTCCTGTGTAATAAGGATACATATCACCACGCACCTGGCCTCGTTTGCTTTTGGGCTTGCGGTTTTTCTTTTTCTTTTTCTTCGGCTGGGACACGTCAAGCGGTGCTTTCTCGGTAGCATCCTGTTCGGGTCCAGCTTCTTCATCGTGGTTGGAGTTCTTCTCGTCGATCTGCTCGAGAGATTCGTCCTCCAGCGCGGGCTTGCTGGTTCCATCTCCAGGAGGCTGGATGGATGGATCCATCGTTGCAGAAGAAATGCACTTCTCTGGTTCCATGATGGCTGAGAGAGGAGAAGAACTGGAAGAGAAGTGGGAAGTAGTAGCTTGGAGACGTGGGAAGTTGAACACTGTGGTGAACTGGATGTCTCGTTTATTTGTATCCCTGAGAATAAGAGAGAACCTGATAACTTGGGACTGAAGAAACAATCAAAAGTAAATTGAGCAGTGAAGCAATGATGGAAAGCCATGGATCAACTATTCCTTCACCACGAGCAGGTGACTTCGGCGGCAAGGTCCGTAGGCATAATCTATTGAGGCGCCAGTCACCCGGCACCTTCCAAGCTCTCATTCTTCTAGAATTGAACCATCTATTCTTCTGGACAAGTCACTGAAAACAGAATGCATTCTGGTTCCTTCCATTATGGAATGACCAAGAGTCAACTGAAGCTGGATGACAGGGCGAGTGTTCACTACGGGTTCTTGCAGTTGGACTGTCAGGTAAACAAACGCATCACTCGAAAAGGCCATGCTGATCAAACGAGAGGCACCGCATCGCCTAAGGGAACGAACACATGTAGTCATCCTCCAAACCAGTTCATCTTGGAAATACCACGTTCCTGAATATTAGTCCGAAACTCCACCCTTCGCGGATCAGCCGGCGCGGATGATCCCATTTTCTGTTAGCCCCGACTCAGAATGAAGATCGCCGCCCGCATAATATTAGATAAAGATGAAACTGGGAACTTGGCAGACGTCAGGCCATCGAGGGCTGTTGATTGGGCGATCGCCGGCGTTTCAGATGATCAGATCCCGGTGGGCTGTTGGTGCTGGCGAGGAGCAAGATACTACCAATTCGGGCAATTGAGCGATGCTCCGTATTCAGGAGAGGTGCATATCTGTCAGCACATCAACAATGCCCAGAATTGATAATATTCGATCTGTGATTACTGGGACTGTGACTGGCTGGCTGAGGGCCTTCTCCAAGCCCGTCTGTCACTGGAGGATTATTGCAAGGACCGTGCATACAAGACATCTGCGCCAGTAGCATTAGGCATGCTATCCAGCCCTGCCAACCAGCGCAGCGGGCACGTTGATGGAGTGCATTGAATCGGGGCGACACTGCAGAATGACGTGAGGCGGATCTGAATGCTGCTCGCGCGGCGTGCCAATGGCCGCCGCCCGCCCAGCCGGGCCTTGTCCCGCGCGCCATTGCCCGCTCCTGCTGCTCCTACTCGCTGGCATTGCTGCGAACCACAAGGCGCTCAGCCTGCTCATTAATATTAATTTGACGATCCTGTCGATTGCCGTCTCTTGTCTTTTCCGTCGTCCTGGATCAGAACACCTGTCTGTCCTACCTTCTCCGTTCGCCGTCACGACTCCGGTGCAACGCTGGCCTCTGAGGTGTCTCGTGCCCGCCTGCTTCATCCATGGCGGATGCCGCCAGCCGCCTCTAGGAGGTTTGATCCTGGCCTGACCCTGCTCCTGGTCTGACTGCCATGTCATGCCCTTAAATTCTCCGCTTCACCCTCTGCCGTCTGCATGGTAACTTGCATCTCTTGAGTGTTTGCTTGTGCCTGGAATTGGGTCTCTGTTGCGCCGCCCGCTTTGACTCATACGGGATGCTGTCATAATCTCCTGCTGTCTCTAAAGACATTCTTCTGCTCTTATCGCCGTCTTTGCAGCCATGCCTTCATCCTCGAGATCCGATAGCCTCAAGGCCCAGAACCTCGACAACGACAGCTTCACCGCATTCGACCATGCCGCTGCTGGGCAGTAAGTCTCCCCCTGTTCTGTCGTCTTCCACCGTGTTCCGGCGTTCCTCTTTCTCCACCATGCCAACCCAACGAGACAGCTTTCCACCCTGTGACGAGAAGAATTGCTGTCTCTGCTGAATGACCCTACCGGATGCACAGTATCTAAACGCATCTACTAATGGATTACGTCTCCAGTGACGGGGTTCGTTGTCATTCCTCGGGGTCCTTTATCGCGAAACCATGTACGCCCTCGGAGATAGCCTTTTACGAATCTGCCCGAGCCTATCATCCCAAATTCCGCAAGTTTATGCCAACGTATATTGGAACCTTGAAATTATCATCCTCCGATCAACAGCAACCGCTTGCGCTGGCTGCCGCCGAGCGTGAGGGCGCCCTCGTGATTCCCGCTTCCGAGACATCGTCCGCAGCAGATACCCCGACCACTGCGGAAGCGCGCCCTCAAAATGCCGTCTTGCAACAGGAGGTGCCTTGGACTCCCTCTGGAGGACGCAAGCTGGATACTGGCCTTGCAATTGTGTTGGAGAACGTCGCGTCAGGCTTCAAACGACCGAATGTCCTGGATGTCAAGCTAGGTGCCCGGCTATGGGCTGACGACGCCCCTCCGGCGAAGCGCACAAAGCTGGATGCGGTCTCCAGGGAGACGACGAGTTCCACATTGGGTTTCCGTATTGCTGGAATGAAAGTCTGGGTCGGCGACAAGGAGTCGAATGACAAGAACAACGGCGCGGAATGCACCGATCCCTACATGACCAAGTACGAAGGCTCAGAGGAACCCAAGGGACAGGTCATCGAAAAGAATGGCTACAGACGCTACGACAAATGGTACGGACGCTCGTTCACTGCCGAGAACGTGAAACAGGGGTTTGAGACCTTTCTGGCGGGAGCCAAAGCTGGGAAGGTGGATCGTTCGAAACTGATAGCGCGAAGACTGGCGGAGGAACTCCGGAATGTGCAGTCCGTTCTCGAATCGGAAGAAAGCCGGATGTACTCTTCAAGCGTCCTGATCATATATGAAGGCGACCCCGATGCATTGGAGGAGGCGCTTGAGGAGGAGAAGAAACGAAAGGAAATGAAAGCGAATGCATCTGACAACGAGAGCGAGGAAGGGGACGATGAAGAGGAGCTCTTCAATCCACCGGCAGGCATGGATTCCTTCCAAGTGGTAGATGTCAAAGTGGGAGATGAGGCACTGGCCCAAGGTAATCTCCAGCAGCTCGGAATCGACTCCCAATCGATACAGATTCCGGAGGGTGCCGAATTGGATGACGAGGAAGGCAGTGAGGAGGAGGAGCCCAGCAAGGTGCATGAGCTTCGTCTGATTGACTTTGCGCATGCGAGCTGGACTCCGGGGCAAGGTCCGGATGAGAATGCGTTGAAGGGGGTGAGAAGCTTGCTCAAAATCATGGAGGAGCTCGCAGGCGAAGAGTGAGGAAGTCATGTTCGGAAATAATGCGTGTACTATTGAGGAGTGGGGAATTACAGATTATTCAAAGGTCGCTGGCGCCCTTTGGATTCGGCGAAGCAGGAACGATGTCATGTATTAAGTATGTATTTTTCTTAGTTCTTTTATAATGAAGGAGTGGTGTTCAGTAATAATGAAGAATTGGATCAATATGATCTTAGCGTATTTCGGGGAGACTGGAAGTATATGTATGGAGTACGAGAGACACTGGTATCGTACTGTACACCCTGACAAAGCCATGAAGTAGAACACATAAAATAAACTCTTAGGGATATTAATACTTCATTCTTCTTCCAAAACTACTTACTGTACCAGCGAGTAAACATGCCAATCTTCGTGTTGGCTCCAGTGGTGAGGAGAACAGTAACTGCTTATGTAAGGAGCCTCGGAGATTGAACGGGTTCCGCAGAACTACCCGCAGACTATCTTTTTGACCTTAGACATCGAACGATCGACTTCAATCAAGACAAGTCTGGACAAGACAGCGATCCAACACCGTCGCTATCGATCGTCAGGATGTTTCCCACGCGGCAGCTTCTGGCGCGGTCGGTATGGAAGGGTAAGCAGGAAAATTCGTCCATTGACTATCTGACTGATGGATTGACTGATGTCGATACAGGTCCCAATATTGTCCCGTATGTCTGTCCTATATCTATATATCTATCTACATAAATTTCCTCAGGGTCCAAAGCCCTGTATTTTTTTTCTTTTGGCGACATTAACTAACAATGACTGATTTTTAATTTTTTTTTCAACAGTCTCCCCCTCCCTAAGCAGATGCCCCCTCCCCCGGGCACGCCAGCGATCAAGACCCAGGCGCGCTCTGCAACTATCCTCCCGAACTTCGTCGGTCTGAAATTTGCGGTGCACAACGGCAAGATCTATCAGGAGATTACGATTACGGAGGATATGGTGGGGCACAAGTTGGGGGAATTCGTTCCGTATGTTCTTTTCCCTTGTCATAGGTTTCTTGAGGGACAATGTTCTTACTGAGTATGATTTTTTTTTTCGTACATGCAGGACTCGCAAGCGCTTCACGTACAAGCAGTCGAAGAACAAATAGATTATTAGCTCTCCCCCTCTCCCTCTCACTCCGTTTCTTTCTTTCCCGCGTTATTCTTGATATACACCATCTACGATCCTATCATCTATCACGGCGCACATCGATAGAATGCATGAATTAATGCGTGCATATCTCGCTATATCGAAAGAAAGGATTGACTAGTTCGAGTCGAGTCAGTCGAGTCGAATCGATATTCTAAAGACGAGACATGGTGGACACCTCAATAAATCCCGGGGGCTGGAGAAGAAGCAAAACTGAAGAGGGCATTCTGAAATGAATCAAATCAAATCAAACGAAAATACATCTGGGTTGGGTCTGGGTCTATTATTTATTGGAGAGAAGAAACGACAACGGCCGGCAGGTCTCAAGGCGTCCAACGTTCAATATTACAATTACAACCTTCCTCCCCCCGGGAAACGGAGTTTAACTTATTTACTGCCATTTACTTGGTGCTGGTTATCTATCCCCTGTATCATTATGTTTCTTCTTTTTTTTTTCCTTTCTCCTGTGTATAACGTGCCAATTGAACCTATTCTATAAAAAGAACGACATATAGGTATCTATATTTCTACCATGTACGATATATTTGATCTACTCTCTCCTCTCTCCTATCCTGATGTAACTTCTACAGGTTAGTATAGTATTGTATGTACCAGAATATCTTTTTGTTTTGCTTTTACTGAATTGTCTGATTTATTCATCTGTCACCGCAACAGAACATATCAATCCCTTTCTTTTAATGGTATCTTCATTAGATTATCTCTCCCTCTCTCTCTCCATGTGCTGTGCTGTGCTGTGCTGTTTGCTGTGTCATATGTGTACATACATACATGTGTGATGCCCAACGCCGATTTATCGAGTCAAAATCAATCAAGACAAGCTCTCCCCTGTGACCTGCATGTGTGCATTGAATTGAATCCATCCAGTACGCCCGTAAAAGGAAAACAAAAAAAAGGAAAATGACCCCCAAGTGAAAAAAAAAACAAATCATATAGAATACCCTCATGCCGAACCGTGTTCCTCCAGCTGATGGATAGGATAAGACGAAATTTTTTTTGGAGATATTTCACAACCACCGCAGCGATGAGGAAAAGAGAAGCCTTGAAAAGCTGTGTCTTAGCTCCCTAGCGATAGAATTCTCCCCTCTTGACGCTGACACCGTACTCGGCGACGGCCATGCCCAGGTCTTCCATTGTCAGGACGGTGCGTCCCTGTCCGGAACCTCCTTGTCCACCGCCGCCGAACCCCGGTCGCTGGATGCCCAGATGCGTGTTCGACATGCCACTCTTGCCCTTGCCCGTGGTGTCGCCGCCAGCTCCGCCCGCTGCTGCACCTCCGGCTGCACCACCAGCACCACCACCGGCGAGATTGCTTGAGCTCGGCATGTTCAGTCCCGCGGCAGCGTTCAGCCCGCCCATGGGGTTGTTGGCGCTCGCGCTGTTCGACGCGCGGATCCGCGAGTACTGGTAGGCGTCCGCCGCGATGTCGGCGATGAACTTCTGCGTCGCCAGCGCCAGGAGTCGCGCGAGATGAGGCGGCGTCTGGTTCGGCCCGTTTCCTGGCGGTGGAAGACCGGCAACGGTCAGATAATGCGCTGTCACGGCGTCGGGGATCTATTGTAAAAAAAAGATCAGCTGCTGGTTCACCCAAGTACACAACGCAGTAGTGTATGAGCCGTTTAGATCAGATGACAGGAACTTACAATCGGCGCATATTCATCCATCTTCCCCAGAAACTCGCGCAAGCTGCTCTCCTTCTTCGTAGGTGGCGGCACAGGGATTCCAGCACCGACCGCCCCAGGAATCCCTGGCGCTATTGTCGCACCTGGATTGCCGGGCGACTCGTTGGCAGTAGCTGTAGCAGTGGCAGTTGTTCCATTCTGGCCAGCGCCAGCGGCATTCTCGCCCGCAGTCATGCTGATTTCGTTCTCGACAGAGGCATCGATGTCATCACCACCTATGGGATCGGGGTCGTCTGCGACGGCGGGCGCTGCTTCTGTCGTTGATGTTGTTGTTGCCCCTGATGCTGCAGGCTCTTCTGCTGCTGTGGTTGCTGCTGCTGTAGCTGTCGTTGCTGTTGACGATGACGGCGGTTCTTGTGACAGCAACTGTGTCTGTGGTTGTGATGGCTGCGATGATGCAGGCGGGGGTGGTTGTTGCTGCTGCTGTTGCTGCTGCAATGACGGGTCGGCCATGGTGGCGGCCAGACAAAGACACGAAAAACCTGATGTGCAGTAATACCAGAACCAGAACCCTGCTTGATTCGTTCGCCCTGGTACAGTACAGTACAGCTGGTTAGGTACCTTGCTAGGTACAGATACGCGGTAGTATGTACTACCTAGTACCTGAGCTACCTCTAGTTAGGCAGGTCGCCGCGTGGCCTGAGGTTTTCACTTGCAGGCAGCCAAACTCTTCACTCGCTCTCTGCAGTCTTGGCATCGCTGGTTGCAGAACAATCACTCCAAGTAATAACAGTCATAACAGTTATTAATTATACTTCCAACTAGACTCCTCTGTAAAGGCTGAATTCATTCAACAATTGCTGGCAGTCTGATCTCAAGTGAATACAGACATTGTCATTAACGCTACCGTACAAAAACCATATTATAACACAACATCAGCAAGAATGAAATATCCCTCTCAAACTCAGTTTACCCCTCGCACGCCATGCTCGAAAGAAAACAAAAATAGAAGAAAAAAAAAGTAATAAAATAGTGACAAAATCCGCTGCGTATCGATAATGAAGACAAAGTAAAATACAGATGCTACTCATAGGTCGTAGACTCGTGCACACCTATTGCCCCGACATTGGCATAGCCTGATTAACGGTGTTGGGGTGCTGCTGCGCCTGCTGGAAATTTTCACCATGAACTTCCTTGCCAAGCGTCTGCATCAGGTTCTGCTCAGCAGTCTGGTCCAGCATCGCTTGGTTCATCGCTTGACTGTTCATCGCATGGTTGTTCATTGCTTGATTGTTCATCGCCTGGTTGTTCGAGTTCTGAGGCAAACCGGGCGAGGCAGACATGCTGTTCGGACTAGGCCCGGGCCCAGAAGTCATCTGCTGCTGCCCTGAAGCCATCTGCTGCTGCTGCTGCTGCCCAGCTCCAGCAAGCGCCATCATCCCTTCGATCCCTTCCACATGAGCCTTGTCCTCTTCGCCGCGTTTCTTCTCCCGCTCGCGTGCCTCGTTCTTGGCCGCCTGCGATGGAGCGCGGGTCTTGAGCTCGCCGGTGACAAATTTGAGATAGTATGGCACCTCGATGCCGCTCTTTAGGAAGAAGAGCTTCAGATTGCGTGCCTTGTCCTTGAGCTGGACCTGGTTGCGGTCTTTCAACGCTTCGCTGATTGTGCCACCGGGACCGAACATGGCCAGGATCTGGCTCCAGTGAGGCCCTTTGACCCGATCCAGGCCGGCCATGAGAGCATTCTCCTCCTCTGTCGTCCACGGCCGACGCTGGCTTGGAAGACCAGATCTACGGTTGCTCGACGAAGACTTCTGAGAGGCTGCCTGCCGCGCCCGCTCATAGAGAACCTGAGTTGGTTGCGACTGCGAGTAATGAGGGACGCCCGGCATATAAGGGGAGTTGCTGGTGGCAGTCGAGGTATTATTGGGAGGCGGCGTATACTGTTGGAAGTTTGTTTGCTGTGGAACGGAGGTGTTCTGAAAAGAGTACTGTGTCGGTTGTTGTTGTTGGTATCCTGGCGGCGTTGGACTCGGTTGGTAGGGTTGATTCATAGGTTGTTGAGGTGTAGCTTGATTAGGCTGACCAATCTGCGGCGGTATTGGCGTGCTCTGAGCGGACTGCATAGGCTGCTGGGCTCCTTGTTGACTCTGCGGTTGCTGTACTTGCTGTGCTTGCTGTTGCTGCTGCTGTTGCTGCTGTTGTTGCTGCTGCTGCTGAGATCGTCTTAGCCCATGACCTTGCAATGCAATCTGTGCTGCTCTGGCTGCACGCGCAACAAGGTCACCATGCAGGTTACGGTCGGAAGGAATCTCAGGAGGTTGCGGAGCAACAGAGAATTGACTTTCAAGGGGCGCACTTGGTGGTTCCTGGCTCTCTCCCGAGACAGACTGGCGTCCCTTGACGGTCTTCCTGGTCTGCTTTGAATTAGCGGACGAGTCTAGAAGACAGCTAGGGAGGCAATGGCTCACCGTCTGGCTATTAATGGCATCAAAGTTCTTACTGATATACGAACTCAAATCCCTCAAGAAATCTTCCCAGTGGTATTTATCCGGTAACGCCTTCATAGCCTCTTCATTGTTGATATCGTTGAGGATGATATCCCGTCTCGAACGGGCCCGCTTGACAAAGTCGGCTTCACTCGGGGCAAGCTGACGGGTACCAGGACGCCTTGCGAGCAAGCGCTGTTCCAGGTCGTCAGGGAAAAGCTCAAAAAGTATTTCTGTCCTAGTGCGGTCTTCGGTGCTGTTCATTGAAGCAATGAAGGCTTGGGTCTTGAGCTCAAGGAAGAGCGCCCCCTGCACCTTGAGAAGACGGCCGCCTTCCGGAACGAACACATCAAGAAAGTGATCATTCAATTCTGCGAAACTGATTTCCTGTGATCCGAATATACTGGAGACAAAAGACGCCAAATTGGCTTTTCTGATAATATCAACCTGGTATGGTTCTGTAAGATCCAGTTCGGTTGGCGAAAGGAACGCTTGTTTCGTCGAATAAACTCTCTTCGTGTGATCGAACAAGGAGCGCATCGTCGCATACGCCTGGCCATTCTCCGAGTCTGGCTCCGAGACGAATGATGTGATATCCTGATACGAGGACTTGGCGAGCAGAGAGAGAATTTGCGTGGACTTTTGGAATCGACATTGGTCAGTCTTGGGCGCGCAAGTTAATGGTAGGTCTATATACCACATACCAGATTGTCGAGGATCGGCAAGCTCTGGATCTTCAAGTGCAAACTGGCCTTAACATAAGTTAGGCCCTTTGATGCTGGTTGTCCAGAGGCTTCTGTTGACTGCTGCTGCTGCTGCTGCTGCTGATCCTTTGCACATTGTTCTTCCACGCGCTCAGAACGGTCAATGATATTGGAAATGACGGCCACCTCGGGATCCGTAGTACCCTCCCCCGAGCCATGGTCTCCATTTACGCCTTCCTGAGGTTGATTATTCGTGCCATTCAACGCTGAGGCGAGTTCCCCCTCAATTTGGCTGTCTGGAGCAGCATCTGTCTCTTGTTTCGGGGAGGCAAGAGCCTCGGGCCCGGACTCGGTACGGCGCTTCTTATGAGCACGAGGAGACACGGACCCAGGCTCGTTTTCCAGCGGATGAGTGACTTTTTCAGACGCGACTATGGAAGAACATACGAGTTAGACAGATCTAACAAACGGAACCTCGATCGCTGCTGCAATCATCGCAGGTAGCATCCAGTGGCGGGTGGGGCCTGGTGAGAGATCAAGACACGCAAAAACACCAGGATGAGCTTACCATTGTTCTCCTGATCAGGTAAAGCCGAAGAGGGCTTCCCGTCAGTCGACACCCTTGAGCCCCTGGTGCTCACCATGATGACGGATACGTTGGCTGGGATGGAGGGCGATCTGGAGCGTCCAAGAGGAGAAATGAGGGCTTAGGGGTAGGGCGCAGGAGTAGGGCTTGGGGATGCGTTGGCCTGCCCGCTGAGAAATTTTATCCTGTGACGGGAACTGGCGGCCGAGAGTGGCCGAGCCAGCCAATCAGGACGGCGCAAAGGGCGTGCACGGGTCACACCTGCCTAGAGTAGTAGTCTGCCGTTCTTCCCGTCCTGCCTTGGTGCCTTAGGCTGCACGGTTCCCTGTTGCCTGAGAACCAAAGACAGTCCTGGCTGAGACCTATGGTTGTCAGCGTCATTGATAAAAGTTTGAAGGAAAGCTTCAAAGGGTTGGTTTGATCCTGCTTCTTCGTTTGCCGCAGACTGACGTGATAGGTGCTTGTCTGGACCGCCTGTTCTTTCCGCATCCAGCAGGAGCCGCGCAGAGACCTTGTTTTCTCCAGCTCCATCTTCCAAGCATATCTGCCGGCCAACCATGGCTCTCTACAGCGGTTGTTCAGCTAGACAGCTGTCATCTGGACTTACTTGAAGCTATCGCATGGGTGCCCCTTATTAAGTCATGTAACAGCTAACAAGGATAGGCTTGTATATCTTATATCTCAGCTGTCATATTTGGCCTCATGTGTCAAATCACAACACCAATCGGCAACAATGCTTAGGATCCATGGATATGTAGGCGGTGCTCAACCTTGACATTCATGTTGCAACAGATAGAGGAGTGGCCGATTGATGTCGTCATTGGTATGCTCACCGATACCTGCGTGTGAGTACAGTACTGGTTAGCCCTCTAGACAGTCTCGACAATAACTGGCAGAGCAGCATCGTATTCTTCAAAATCTCCGTTTTCAGCCATTATGTCCGTGCTGGCTCTATGCTTTGCGTTCAATACGCTTCTGCAACAAGAGGAACCTGGTACCGGATTCTGACGGATAGCTGGATCTTGGGTCGAGGTTCCAGGTTATCTCAACGATTTCTGCCTGACATGTATTTATTCGTCTGTGGTCCTTTCAAAAGTCCATGCTTTGCCAATGTCCTCTCACCGTTTCTATGTTGGAGACTCCCATATCCTGTATGTTCTCTGTTACTCGAGCCCTCATTCTACGTCACCAACCTATTTAGTATTAGCCTGAGAATAAACACCAGCCATGATATTTTCCCGGGCTATTGTTCCACTGGCGCTCCAGCTACCGATCCTTGCTGTCGCCGGGGAATTAACAGAGCACATCTGGGCAGTTTTTGCCTTCAATGTCTATGGTGATAGCACTCCAACAGTTCTCCCTCAGACTAGAACCTTGACATCGTTGGGAGCACACAGCCTGTACGATGTTGGCGCTGCTTTCCGCGATCGCTATGTGCTGGGATCATCCAATGAAATGGGGATGGACACCTGGATCCGGGGCATCTCCCCTTACCGACTGGTGACAGAGGAAGTGAACATATATTCCACCACAGATCAGCACATTGCAGCTTCGGCACTCGCCTTCATGCAGGGACTTTACCCTCCTCTGGAATCCGCAAATGGTACCTATTTGGACGACACCTATCTTTTGGCGGATGGGCAAGTCGTGGATTCTCCGCTGAAATACTACCAGTATCCTCGGATATATACCACTGGCTTGACCGACTCAAACTCCATTTCCGTAGCTGGGCATGCCGACTGCTTCATGCACCGGATTTCCGAACTGCAGTATCAGAGCAGCCCTGAATTTCAGCAAGTCAACTCCGAGTCGATGGAATTCTATGCCTCTCTGTATGACATCGCGCTGGCCGGAGTGTTCGACGAGTCTACGGTGGGCTATGCGAATGCTTATTCTATCTTCGAATACCTGCAATACGGATACGTACACAATTCAACAGTGCAGGCTCTTGTGTCTCTCTCTGACCTCAACCGCGCGAAACTGCTTGCGGACCAGTATGTCTTTGCGACTCATGGCAACCTCTCCGCTTCAGGTCTTTACGAGAATGATCACATTCGCGCAATCGCCGGAAGGGCATTATCACGGCTTATTCTGCAATCTTTTGAGGCCAACATTGAAACGCATGGCGCTAGCCAGAAGATGACGTTGGTTTTTGGTAGCTTTCAGCCTGTCGTTGCCTTTGCCGCTCTGGCCGAATTGGCACATCCAAAGAATCGAAACTTCTACGGGCTTCCGGTCCCAGGCGCATCTCTCGTGTTGGAACTGTACAGCTTGGACGACTCGTCCAGCGACCAATATCCAGACGTTTCAAATCTCTTTGTTCGATTCCTTTTTCGAAACAGCACCTATCCATCTACAAGATTCACATATTACCCCCTCTTCGGTCATGGCCCGAGTCAGATTGCCATTCCGTTTAGAGAATTCCAGTCACAAATGCAACAATTCTCGCTTTCGTCTACTGAAGAGTGGTGCAACATTTGCAACAGCTCTACGATATTCTGCGACGGCGTGGTCAGCAGAGAAAACGATCATCCTACGTCCCGCGATAAAGCATTGAGCCTTGCTGGCGCTGGTGCCATTGGCGCCTGTGTCACTTTGGCTACTTTAGCTGCCATTGCTGGTATTGCATGGCTCTGTGGCCTCCGAGTCCACCGCAGGCGTAAACCTGGCATTGGAGGTTTCAAGGGAAGTGACAAGATGGCTAGTGACCACGATGTCAGCTTTAAAAGCTCTACAGGAGTTGTGTCCGGAGGGACAGATGGAGACGGGAAAAATGGGATTGCTATCAAAGGCCACGAGCAGACAGGCAGCTGGGAAATGGAACAGCAAAAACGGAATGACAGTAAAGGATATGCTGCATCGCACCTGGATGACCATGCAGATGACGTTTTGCAGGTGAATCCTTATGCAGAACCAGTGACGGTTCATGAAAGCGTTTGAATGGCGTTGTTTGCTCTTCTGATTCACTAACTGCGCTCTATTGGGTGATTCTTTGCTTTGTCAATTATGATATAGGTAACAGATAGGGGAATATCATCTAATAAATGCCATCCTCCCACCCATCAGTGGAATCATAGCCACTGCTTTTACTTACAAGAGTCTCCATACTGACTGGGCGGTTCGTTGTCCACGGACGCAACCGGCGCCTTCCTTTTCTGACACCGTCCTTGGGTATCAACCCTGCCTCCAGTGTTTTCATCCTGGGCGCCTACCTACCACCCCCGACTTCTTCTGTCCTTACGACTTACCCCCCTAGCTGACCTCAACGCAGTCCATCCAATCTACTTACTGACCCTTCTTTTATCGTCTCGGCATCAAGATGAAGTATGACATCCCGACTCTTCTGGCTTTGCGCGGGAAAGCTTCAATTGATATCGGCAAATTCAGCATCCATGCGCTCGACAGTAAGTCATGTCTCGCTTCAGAGCAGAGTCAAGTACACTGAACTCGGCAGATAACTTGCTAGGTCGGCGCAAGGCGAATCCAAATGTTCTAGCAGAACGCTCGATCAATCGCTCTTGTGTCTCTGCTGGTGCTTCAGCAACCCAGAACCGAAAACTCCCCCCCAAACGTTCCCGAAGACAAACTTCAATACCCAAGCCGTCAACCTCGCAACGCACCCCGGAGCACACTGGCGCAGGCTGATGCTGGGTTTGCACAGTTCCTGAAGGAACACACGTCCCCCAAACATCACCGGGTCACGGCCGGAGGCAGAATCGTGCCTATGAATCCAGATACGCCTGTCCCGGAATTCAAACCTCCGGCAAAGAAGACGAAGAATGACGATCCTAAGAAAGTGGCAGCACCGGCAGCGAGTGGAAAGGGCAGGAAAAGAAATACTGCTAGCGGGACAAGCACGCACAGCTTCTCTGAAGGCTCCAACATAAACTGTACCTCAGCTGAAGTCCCCCCTGTGACGCAGACCATCTCTGGAACAGCAGCACTCTTCAATGGTGTTGACGGCTCTGGATCACAGCAGCCTCCTGCTCCGCAACACTCGACACAACACCCAGTCCCTACATTGGCATCTCCATTCTATCAGTCGCAGCCTCTGTCATTTGCTTCGACCACTTACCCATTTTTTCAACTGAACCAGGCGGGTCAAGAGTACATTCCGCTGCCAACCAACCTCACTGTACCACATCAAACTAGCACCGATACACTTGCCTGGCTTCCAAGCATGGCTCAGCCATTCGTCGCCCATAGGCAAATCGCGCAGTCTCCTCCTCCACCATTCAATCCATCTCTGGTTGGAATAGGTCCACCTTTCCCAGCGGCGGCAAACCGAGGAGGTTTCATTACCAAAGGAGGAACCACCGATTCACCCTTCACTACATCGTCGCCATACCCATTCGCAGCCAATCCTGGAAGTTTTGCACCATACATGGCTATTCCTCTTGCGTCCTATCCGCTCCCTCTGTCAGGGTATATATCGGATCCGGCGACTCAGAGGTCCCTACAGGACGTGACGAAGGAACATGAAAACCTTACGTCTCAGTTGGCAAACCTCGACAGATACATGGCTATACACACTTTCGAGATGGATCCTAACACGAAGAAGAGTCTTGTTGAGCAACGAAAAGGACTCGTACGTGACCTGGATGCAGCGCGGCGGTACAAGGAGCATCTTGAGTCTAGTCTTAAGCAGCCGGGTACTGCCGTACCCGATGCAGAGGCTGCGTCGAATCTCAGAGTGCAACCTAACTTCCTCCAATCTTACCCGGGAGACGCCGCAAATAATTTTGGCATGGCAGCGGCCGCTTGGGTGCCTCCTATGATGGCAAATAATACCCAGTTAGGTTGGACTCCGAATCCTCTGGGTGACTTTCAGATGTCCAGCGTACCCTTCGGCCTCGAGGCATTCAACAACAAGGCACCTCTGCAATTCCCAACGCTGGGATCTCTTCCTTCAATACCAGGTTCTGGGGCCTGGGGTGAATACCAACCCAACGTGAACATCTCATACGGTGATCAGATGGAGAAACAGGACTGCCCTGCGACCATGGATCAAGTCGGCGACAAACAGGATATGGCATCGTGCAGTAATCCTCAGGCAAGCCAAGGAACAGATGCCAGAGCTCAAAACGACGGATGGACGAGTTCCACGCGTTCTGCTCCTTCCGAGATTAGCCGGATCTATTGTAAGATTGAGGAAGCTGCTAAACGAGGAGAGTCCTTCGAAGGGCTCCTTAAGGAGCTTGCGAAGATCACAGAACAGTTTATTTCCCAACGCCACACTAGATGTTGTTCCTCGGCGAACGGAGAACGGCTTCGGTTGTCTTCAAAGCCCAGCAAGAAAGACTCGGTGGGTGTTGGCCCCTCGCAATGTTCGGCAGATGAACATAAGAATGAAGAGCGTGATCCGTCCATCGAAATCATTGTGACCAGAGCAGATGACGCAACAAAGACGCGGTCGTGCAGAACAGGAACCGGAATTCGCACATGTGAGAGCGTACGTTGCCATATGTCTGATGAGGAGGAGGACGGATGTTCGTGTTGTTCTGATGTGTCCGCGGCTGATTCGTGGGCCACTACCGAAGAAAGAGAGTAAGAAATTCCTTTCCACCCCTCTTCACGAGAGAACGAGGCTGATGTTGGTAGCGAGCCGGGAATCGAGGAGAATGGCAAGGAGAAAGAAGCGATTGTTGCCAAAGAGATCGAAAATACCAAAAACGGAAATGCCGTAACCAACATTGACAATACGGCTGAATGGATCCGCAGGGTGAACGAGATGGCACCGACTCGACACAAACATAGCCAGTCTTCGAGACCAAATAATCTCAGCGAGTTGTCAATCAACAAGGAGCCTTCGGGCGAGATTCGACGAACCAAGTCCATGGTCTTTACCCCGTGGAAGTCCAAGGAAGATCAAGAGGTACCCGCGGTCAAGGGATGCTCTCCTGTGATCTCTCGGGTCAACGCGCACGGGTTCCTCCCTTCATTCGACGGAGCTGGCGACATGCCCAGCTCAGGAGGGCCAAATCATAGCTCCTTCACCTTCCCCGGCCTCAGAAGCAGTGAAGGGCCTCAGACGATGAGCAGAAATCCAGGCCAACAGAGCCGGCCATGGTATGTGAAGGAGCCACGTGAGAAACCGAACCCGGTCGAGATTCGTCGATTTTTCCGACAGCTTGCAGAGGAAGAACGGGAGATGATTCACAAATATCGTATTCAAGATCATGGTGAAGCATGACTTGGCAGAACAACGGGGGCTATGTTTCTAGAGACCGCATTGGGAAAAAGACTGACTCTTACGCGCTCACCACGAAACCGACACCAAAAAAAAAAATCCTAAAGGCATAGGAATATCGAGGTGGATTGGTATGATAGAACCAGGTCTTATGCTTAGAAAGGCGTTTTCTATGGGGAGCTTTTCGGGATGAGGTAGAATGGAAGGGGGAAGGGTTTGATACAGGGAATGACGGGGTTGAGTGATTAGCCGACAACATTGCGTAGAACCGGTATGCATTGATTTATTCAGGTTGTAGCAATACATGCACATTAAGATACGTCCTAGCAGGATTTGATAGCATTAAGCAGGCCGCATTGGATTTCCTCTCCTTCGTCAACGCTTCTCCACCGCAGTCGCTGGCCAGGGACGGCGAGGGTATCAATAATCGGGCTAGACATTGATTACCATACCAGTAAGAGGCTCTCTACATCTGTACTCCCATCAGGCGCCAGACATCGAATCTCCTCCCGGTCGCGAAGAATCCTCTCAATATCCTCAGCCTTTCCTGAGGCATGAAGGATCTTGGCGATTGCTGCATGGACCTTTAAGAGATCTGGATTAGGAAGAGGGCAGTCGCTATGCTGCTTGAACCTAACGAGGCGCTCGTTCTTCTCATCTGGAAGAGGCAGATCACGGATCAATCCGAGTTGGAAATCAGGGTAAGTTCGTATCACATAAGTATTCTCCTTATCCTGGTTAGGTAAGCATGTGTTACTTGTAACTAGTGTTTTGATCAGATAGGTATGTACTGTACAGTACATACAGTGGGTTCTAGCGCAAAATTGAACTTTCCGAATTCCGTATGGAGAGTGGCCACGAGTGACATGGCATTCGTAGGATCATTGATGTTGTCTGGACCGAAATTCGCGTCTTCAATCTCTGGAAAGAGGATATGTAAAGTAGCCCAGGAGCGGGTAATGTCTGTCTCCTAGTTTCGAGTTAGTACACATTCATTCTTTAATATAGGAAATGGATAACGAACCTGATCGCGAGGTTTGTACTTGCCCAGATAAAATGGGATAATGTGTGCAAGCTCAGTGTGCAGTACGCGATCACCAATGATCTCTTTACTAACTTTCCCCTCAGCTAGAGGGTCATAAAAACCAGTTACCACACAACGATAATTGTCCCGCTCGAGACACCTATCCTTCAGCGACTTTTGATCATTTCGTGAAGACGACTGGACCATCCCCGGTGCGATTTTGTTTGTTTCCACGTCCGCATTCTTATCGAATGGCGAAGGAGCCACTGGTGTCTTTCCTCCGGTTGCTTTCACTGCGGATAGGGAGATTTCAAGTCATACCTTGGTCATCGGGAATGGAAAGAGAAACATGGAAGAAGATATCACCATCAAATCTAAACTCACTTGGAACGAGGATCCTGGTGTATAAATGCCTGGAAAGGTTAAAAAGTGTGCCATTATTGTCACGGGTAGCAATAATAAACTTGGTGAGAATCCGTTTTCCGAAAGCAGGTAAATTGTCTACTAAACTTTCGAGAACTTTAGCGGTATCGTCTGAGATAGATTGCGGTTTGTAAGTTGGACAAGGAGCGTTTCGCTTCGTCCTCATCGGCCCGGATTTCTTTGACGTCCGGAGGCACGGACGATAGCGACGAACTTAACGAACGGAAAAGCCTTGACGAGGTCCTCTTCTGCCATTTCTGATATAGTAGAAGTGAGGCTGGAGAAAGATGCGGCCGTGACGTGGTGGCTAGTCGTGCTGGCCACCAGTCAACGCGAAAGCGGTTTGGCAGGCCCAGCAGAACCGCGTCCGTGGTTCAGTCTAGGCACTGGGACAGGCCAGTTGCAGCTGCTGGGATTCATGGTTCGGTGGATAAAATGCGTTTAGCCGCAGGACGGGCAGGGTGGCAGAGTGGCCGTTGTCTGAGCTTAATGGCTGAGCGATTTCATTTACTCCGTATGGCCTGGAATCCCCGGCAGGTGGACAAGGCCATGAAGAAAAGGGAAAGCAGATGTTAATAAAAAAAGCAACATTACTCACTGGGGAGGTCTAAGAACAGAAACATGCACCTCGATGTAGGTACGGTATCCCTGGACAGCACAGCGATGCAGTGAATCCACATCGAGTCACTTGATCCGGCCGAGTCGCGATTCTAGATTCCTTCGCAGCCAGTCACTTGCCCACTGGCTGTTGTGTGCTGCGTGTGGCACTCGACATCGCCTCCTGTTGGACTGATGGTGGTTGGATGGCGGACGGATCTCTCCGTCTTCTGTGCCTGCCAACATCCCTAATAAAAGCCACCAGTGACCACCGGCCCAGGAACCCAGCGTTGCGGCCTTCGCCATCCCATCGCCGGCAGTATTATTATTATTATTATTAGCTACGTCGTTCTTTGTCCGTGCATCCCACTCCATCGCCCGTCTTCTCCACTCCCGCGCCCTTCCCGCCTTCCCTTTTGGAGTTAACCATTCACTCTGCCGACCTCACCTCGCCGTGGCCTCTCCTCGACCTCTCCGCGTCCCAGGCCCGTTCCTCGCCGTCCATGCTGGTCCCGTCTGTCTTTCTGTCTGCACCTGCAAGAGAATGACCACGCTCTCGCGAGAAGCTAGGTAGCTGCTGCCTCGCCCTTAGCACGCCCATCCAAGCCTCTTCTGCAATCCTCCATTCGGGACTGGCGGCTGCCCCCTCGGATCCTGCTTAGCAAGCAACGTCACCTCCCTGTGCTCCTTGAACGCAGTCTCAGCAGACCGCCGATCTGTGATAGCATCCAGTGTCTGAAGGTCCTTTGTCTCGAACCCGCGGTGGCTGCACACCTGAAGGCGATCCTCCGTGATGACGCAGCTGTTCACCTCGTCTCACCCGTCCGCTGTGACGTCCGAAAAGCGGAATTTCCACGGTCTCAGTCTCCCGTCAAAGAAGCACAACAGTCCTAACAATGAGTCGTCGAACAACCACCTGCCATCGAAAATCAAGAACTTCTTCCGCATCAACAGTTCCGGCAGTGGAGGTTCTCACGGTAGCAACCACAGTAGTCAGGACCGCGAGCGGGACCGAGATGGTGCGCATGCCAACAACTCTCTGAAGCCCGAATCGAAGTCCAACTTCCGTCAATCGCGCTTTCTACCTGCCATTGGCCGCAATCGCTCGACCACCGTCGCCAGTGAGGGCAACCCTCTCGACGATGGTGTGTCCCCGACCGCCCAAGCCAATCCTTACTTTGCTCACCAGGGTCACCCTGCTCTCCGCCATCACAACGAGGGTTCTCTCCCGTCAACCCCGCCAGACACCCCGGAATTGCAAGTCGAGGGAATCTCTCCTGCAGACCAGGCGACGACTGCCGGCAAGGAGGAACTAGCACGGAAGCTCCGTCGCGTTGCATCTGCCCCGAACGCGCAGGGCCTCTTCGCCGACGACAAGTCTGCTGATCGGCCCAAGACGGCGGAACTTGGCAAGGAGCCCTTGGTGGAACAGCAGGGCGACAACCACAAAGTAGGCCTCGCCGATCAGACCACGGCCGAGCAAGGTCAGAACCTGCCGGTGCCCAAAGTTGGCCCCGACGGCAAGATCCCCACCCCAGGCCAGATCCGCACGTCGTCTACCGCGGGCTTCCGAAGGACCTATAGCTCCAACTCGATCAAGGTGCGCAATGTGGAGGTGGGGCCAGGAAGCTTTGATAAGATCAAATTGATTGGGAAGGGAGATGTGGGCAAGGTGTATCTCGTCCGGGAAAAGAAATCGGGCCGATTATATGCCATGAAAGGTCTGTTGGTTACGATTGAGATACGGATGGCAACGTGCTAACGGACTTTCTTTAGTTCTGAGCAAAAAGGAAATGATCAAGCGGAACAAGATCAAGCGTGCTCTGGCTGAGCAGGAAATTCTGGCGACGAGCAACCATCCGTTTATTGTCACGCTGTACCACTCCTTCCAGTCGGAGGACTATCTATATCTGTGCATGGAATATTGCAGTGGCGGCGAGTTTTTCAGAGGTCTGTATTGGCATTGTCGAATTTTTTTCACCACATCAAATTGTTGACCTGTTATTCAGCTCTGCAAACCCGCCCCGGAAAGTGCATACCCGAGGACGATGCCCGGTTTTATGCTGCCGAGGTCACGGCTGCTTTAGAATATCTTCATCTCATGGGCTTCATCTATCGCGATCTGAAGCCTGAAAGTAGGCTCCCATTATGTTGATCCACGGCAGTGACATGGTGCTAAAGTGCTATATTCAGACATCCTGCTACATCAATCCGGCCACATTATGTTGTCGGATTTTGACCTGTCCAAGCAGTCCGGACCAGGTGGTAAACCTACAATGATTCTGGGACGCAACGGAAGCGGCTCCTCGTCTCTGCCTGCAATCGACACGAAGTCGTGCATCGCCGATTTTCGAACCAACTCGTTCGTCGGTACTGAAGAGTACATCGCCCCAGAGGTGATTCAGGGCTGCGGGCACACCAGCGCTGTGGATTGGTGGACGTTGGGGATTCTGATTTATGAGATGCTCTACGGAACGACGCCGTTCAAGGGCAAGAACCGCACGGCGACGTTTTCGAATATTCTGCGAGATGAGGTGCAGTTTCCAGAACATCCAGGAGCGCAGCAGATTTCAAAGTAAGTTCCCTACCCCAGTCTTGAACGCGAGCGAGCATACCTAATCCTCGACAGTCTTTGCAAATCTTTGATCCGCAAGTTGCTCATCAAGGACGAGACAAAGCGCCTCGGTGCCCGAGCTGGTGCGTCGGACGTCAAGGCTCACCCATTCTTCCGACAGACGCAGTGGGCTCTCATACGCCACATGAAACCGCCCATGATTCCCCACCAAGGCCGTGGCATTGACACAGTTAACTTCCGCAATATCAAAGATAGCGGGAGCGTGGAGATCGGAGATTCTAGCACGAGCAAGATGAAAGGTGTTCCGTTGGACTCGAACCTCGCAACTCCTGGTGGTGAGGTCGCAGATCCGTTCGAGGAGTTCAACAGCGTCACCCTTCATCATGATGGCGATGATCCTTGAGACCAGCAACGACACCCAGCCCAACTGACTTTCCCGCGGGCTCGAGTTAGATTTCACAGATATCATCTGACGACGGCCATTCGTGACGAATCGAAATGCAATGCTGACTTTTCTTGTATTGTTTGAGATTATCATCTGGCGTTTGGGAGGGATACGAAGTTGATTCCGTGCTCATTCCGTTTTGCACGTGGTTTGTCTTTTTTTTTTTCAGCGTCATTTTTTTTCGTAACCGATATGGCACCTGATTGTTATGTTCCATTATTGGACCGGTTGCATCGGGATTACCTATATCGATGAGTTCTGCGGCGGTTCCTTTTTCACACCTGCATCTGCTCTATCTCTATGGATCTCAGGTGTTTCTTTGCAGGTTGGCACGAGTTTATTTCGCCTTGAGATTTGACGCTGCATTGGTTTTTTTTTTTGCCGGCGAGGTGCGTTACTGCAGGGGATGGCGTTGTCTACTTTCTTTTCGGAGAGGCAAAGACACGTGTGTGACGACTCTTTTCAGCGGCCTCTAGCGGATCAAAGGAATGGATTGATTCATATCGAGCTATTCCTGTTGATTCTGCCGAACATCTGTCCTGGAGTGGCCTGGTGCCCATGTAGGTAGTATGCGTGTCATAGATCACAGATGAATGGGACGTGCTGCTTTTTCTGTTTTTTTCCTCCCTCTTTCCTCCTTCAGAGAGATAGTTTAAGTTTTAATCTCAGACATCGATAATCATCCACCATTCGGAAAACTCGTAGTCCGGAGTAACTACGTAGATTCCACTGATAGGAAATCTCTTGGCAACACACCTCTCCGCCCCGCGCGAGCGGGAGACGCGTTCAGTGTATTCCGTACTCCGTACTTACCACACTGTTTATACTCTTTCCAATCTTGTCTCATTGACATGAATTCCAGCTAAAAGACTGACCCGAAAATTCCAAATCATGCGATAAATTGGAGGAGAGTACTCTACTCACCAAACTAACTTATCACCAAACAAACAAACAAACCGCAACAACCTCGAGCGAGAAAAAAACAACAAAAACGCGCAACTATGGCCGAGGACAATGACCTGGACATCGGGGCCAGCACGACTCCTGGAGGCGATCCCAATCCCGGCGCTGCGGCGAGAAACCCTCTCCTGGAACCGTCGAACCCGCTCGTGACGGATTTGGAGCAGGAGGTTCTGGATGAGTATGCGCGGTTGCTGGATAATCTGCATAAGGTATGATGGCATTGATCGCTCGATTGATCAAGAAGAACGAAAAAAAAAAGGATTAATTTCTTTCCAAGTCCATTGTATGACTGACTGCTGCGTCGTGCTTCTAGTTATCCTCTTCCCTGGCCGACCTAGCCGGATCCCCAGCCTCCCTGACCCTCGACGGCCTGCGCATGCTAGAACGCAAGACGGCGACCGTATACACGCTCCTGAAAGCGAGCGTGTACAGCATCGTGTTGCAGCAGCAGATCATCAACGATGGGGAAGCGAACCCTGGTGGTGGTGGTGGTGGTGGTGATGTCCAGTCGATGTCGATGTTGGAGGGCGATGATACGGTTACCAATTGATTGATTTGATTGATTGATTCGATTGATTCGATTGTTCGAAAAGGAAGGATATCGCGAGGAGTTATGATACCCGTGAAATGGAATTTCCGGCTTGGAATACGGTTGGATTGGATTGAATTGGATTCTGTCTTGGTTTCTTTGGGTGTGCCCCCAAGGGGGACCGGAAGAAAAAGCGAAGACACCACGCACGCGCTCCTGTTCCATTCGCCCTTGACTCGCTCGTTATGTTATGCCTTATCTCGAAATAAAGAAGGCAAAAAGGGAACAAATCCTCAAAGTGATGGGCGAGGGAAGGAGAAGGAAAAGGAAAAAGGAAGAACAAAAGCCAGGGAGAAATTGGCATCGACCAGGCCAAAGCTCATTGTGACGATGAGACATATCATACGATCGAACTGTGATCGAACTACATACATACACTCTACAACGGACGATAGCAACTACCGCCGCCGCGGCGTCCATTTGGCGATCTATTCCGACTGCCGGATTTGATCGTTCATTCAATGCGGATCGTACTCGATGGAATGAATGGATGAATAAATGAATGAATTATTTGCCGGGCGTATAGGTTCGGTTCGGTTCGGTTCGGATAGATATGGGCTCTGACACACAGGGAATGAGTGAAATGCCCCTAGGATTGATTATACCCAGTTTCCAATAATAGATGGAGTTGGTTGGATTACGATCTATGATCTACAGACTTGCATACATGTATTGTGTACATGCTGTACAGTACATGGCTTGTGTATGTATGCACATAACTTTATAACGAATAAATAGACATATATGATGACGAAATATCATTTTTCTTATTATCTTCTATATCTATACAGTGCCTAATGTGTACATCACAATCAATCAGTCAGTCAAAGGGATGACCCCAGTCAGTCAGTTGTGTTCTCATTCTCCCATACTTGTACATTGTACAGATCCAGCAAGATAGATAGTCAGACAGTCAGACAGCCAGAGATCATGTCTAAGATCCCAGACACACAGAGGAGGAGGAAGCGAAGAAGAGAGGCGACTAAATAACACAGGACGAGAAACACAAAAATATTCAAGTCAAAAAGGAAAGCATCAAGCATACGGATATGCCCTGTCTAGAGGGGAAAATCGCCTTGCTTCTAGACTCTTCCCGCATAGTACACCTTGCGCACATCGACCAATTTCTTGCCTCTGGCGCGCGCAATCTCCTCTGGGTCCTTCTGGCTCATCAGCGCCTCGTAGGCCGCCTTGACCGTGTTCATCGGGTTCCGTGACCGGGTCACTCGTGCAGCCAGATCATGGATACCTGCCGCGCGGGCCATTTCGAAGATGAGGTGCTGGCAGCGGAGACCAAAGCCTGTTCATTTGTCAATTTCGATCCGGCTATCTTATTGAGAGATCGCGTTTCCTACCTGGTGGTCGAGTCATCAATTTCAATTCCACCGCTCCAACCTTCCCCTCTACATCGCCGTAAATCGTCCGGTTCTCGTACCGCAGGATAGGCTGCATGTTTCGGATGGCTCGGTACTTGGACTGCGTCATGGCATCACCCGCTTCTTCTGACTTGGCCTCTCCAATGCCCAACAGGCCATTCCCGTTGCCGGCAATAGACAGACAGTACTGCCGACGCACCTTACCCAGACGAGTCTGGTTGACGACTGGATGCGAGACGAGCGTCTTCAGCTTGAGAGATCGGATCATGTCCAATGTGTATCCCGTAGACTGCAGCAATCTCTTCAGCGCATCCGTCATCTCTTCAGTCTGCTGGCCTTTCTCCTGCACCTCCTTCACAGGCTTCTCTGGCTGAGGATCCCGGCTGAGCGACTCTCCAGGCTCGAAAAGGGGAGGCACAAGGGCGCTGCTGGGGTTGCGTTCGTTTTCCTCCTTGCCTTTCGTCAGACGCAAGTTCTCCGTAAAGCGAACCCAGTCCGCCGCCGTGGCATTCTCAGGCATCTCGGCAAAGAAGCGAGCAAAGTCTTCTGCAAAGTCATCCTCGTCCTTGAGTTCGGCGAAGTAGTCGGAGTTCTCCTTGGGCGCACGGATGTGGTGGTCCACCACGGGCTCGATCGTCGAGAAGTCGTCCAAATAGTGAAACTTCATGGGATCCCTCCGAATAGCGAACTGCTCGGCCAGATCTTTGGGATCAATTGCTTCCTCACCAGCCTCGATGGCGGCGATTTGAGCCTCGGAGTACTCCTCCTTTAACCGGGCCTTCTCTTCTTCCGTGTAAGGCTTGAAGTCTTCGGGCTTGAGATTCTTGGTGATCTCCTCGAGAGTCTTCATTTCAGGAGCCTTGTTCGTCGGCTGCTTCGGCTTCTGATTAAGCTGGGCAGCGGTCAAATGAAATTGTCGTCGAGGCACGCGAGCGCCAGTGCTGGCCGCCCGGGAAAAGCTGCAGAACAGGCATCTTGCCGGCCGTGAGACGTTCATGATGGCGACAGGAGGCTCTCCGGCCAGAAACGGCCTGAACCGGCCTCAATTGATACGCAAAAGAGGAAAGAAAGGACCTGTGGCGGACGCAACAGGAGTGGTGAAGCCAGGCCTAGTAGGAGGTCTGGGGACGATGTTCGGCGAAGACAAATTCTCCTGGGCGGAGACTGACCAACCAGATCTTGGCCGCCGCTCCAGCCTGTCAGCGGCCGCGCATTTCGCCTTATGCGCCTTAGCGGCCGCGGAGCCAAACAATTTCTATCGGACAGGACTTCCAATTTCACGCCACTCGTCCTATGCCACTGTTGCACATAGATTTTTTCCTTCAATGTCGAGGAGCCTGTTCTCCTTGTTTCTCCGATCCGTACGGCCCAGAATTTCCCCCGTCATCGCCCGGCGCAGCGTGCATATTTCCTACTACGAGTATCCCGTGCGGCGGAATGCGCCGCGCTCCGCAGTCGCAATGCAGAACACAATAGACAGACAGCAACCAGAAGCCAAAAAGCGGAAGAAGCTGAAGTCTGAGAAGCCCTTGAAAGGAGATGGGGTTTGACGAGGTTTTACAGCTCGATGTCGATCGGCTGCTGAAGGAACGCAAACAAGAGGCAAAAGACGACGAGAGCGGACAGCAGCCGGACGCTGTCTCGAAACCTGCTCTGCCAGAGCCTTTCACAGAAATCGAGGTGACAGTGTCAGAATTGTCTTCGGCGGGGGATGGTCTGGCCGTTTCCGAGAATGGAGATCACGTCTACGTGGTGCCTTTCACGGTTCCTGGCGATAAAGTCCTCGTCAAGGTCGTGAAACACTTCCCGGATCTGTCCTACAGCATCACGGACTTTTTGAAAGTCATTGAACCAGGACCGCAGCGAGATGACTCGCGCATTCAGTGCCAATACTTTGCCAAGTGTTCCGGGTGCCAGCTGCAAATGCTTTCGTACGAGGACCAACTACAGTACAAGAAGAGGGTCGTGGAAAAGGCATACGCCAACTTCTCCGGATTGATCCCAGAGCTGATACCTCCCATTGGCGACACCTTTCCATCACCGCGGCAGTACGGATATCGAACTAAACTGACGCCTCATTTTGCAATGACTGGGAAGAACAAAGCCAAAGGACAGACTCCAACGGAAGTGCCGCCTATCGGGTTCACCGTCAAGAATCGGCGGATGACTATGGACATCGAGGACTGTCCTCTCGGGACAGACATTGTGCGGAGAGGTATAAAACGGGAGAGGAAGCGAGTCATGGAGAATCTGCATCAGTACCCCAAGGGTGCTACGCTCCTAATGCGTGAATCCACGACACGAATCAAGAAGGGCCAGCAGGCGAATGGAACAGAGGCAAATACAGAACAGCAGCAGCAACCATCCACAAACCAAGGGAGTGCGTCCAGTGGACGTGCACAGGACGAAGAAGACGTAATCCGCACCGAATACCCTGACTACATCGAAGAGAAGCGCTGTGTTACCGACCACAACGCCACATCAGTGGAATATGTAGATGACTTCGTCTTCAAGAACAAGGCCGGCGCATTCTTCCAGAACAACAACTCTATCCTGTCCGGTTTTACAGAATATATCCGTCAACACGCGCATCCCAAGAACCTGAAGCCTGGTGAGAAGCCGATCAAATATCTCCTCGACGCGTACTCCGGCTCTGGTCTCTTCACCGTCACCCTCTCCACGATGTTCAAATCATCTCTGGGTATCGACATCGCCCCAGAGACCATTACCGCTGCACGGGAAAACGCCCGTGCCAATAATCTCCCCAACACAGGTTTCGCAGCGGCTGACGCGGCGACCCTCTTTAAGGATATCCCGTACCCGCCGGACCAGACTCTGCTCGTCATTGACCCGCCTCGCAAAGGCTGCAGCGAGGACTTCCTGCGCCAGCTCCTGGCCTACAGACCGCGCCGCGTCGTTTATGTCAGCTGCAACGTGCACACCCAGGCCCGCGATGTGGGGATCCTGGTGCAAGGCACCTCAGATGGAAGTTGCAGGTATGAGATCGAGAGTATCCGAGGATTCGACTTCTTCCCGCAAACGAGCCATGTCGAGGGCGTGGCGATTCTCAATAAGGTGTCTGAACAGCCAGCAGCGGCCGCCGGTGCCGGAGCGTAGACCCTATTTCATCACTCGAAGCATAGACNGGAAAATGTGTATGTATATAGTATTAATTTAAATGCATCATCGCTCGGAGATTTGAAGGGGAAAGAAGTATAATGAAAGCGAAAGAAGGGGTTTGTAAAAACTATATACAACTGTCGAGCTTCCTCGTGACGAAGGTCTTTTCTTTTTCCCTTCACTTTACAGGAACTTTTCATTGCCTTCATGCGGTAATAGTCTCTCTTGAGCTCTGGCTTATACTGTACTTGCAGGGTTTCCTTTTCTCGAATTGCCTAAAGTAATGCGAAAACTATGTCCAGGTTGGTTAGGGAATCGTAAGCAACGCTCTTCATCTAAGTGCTCCCGGGCCCACCGAGCAGCGCAAATCTCCGAACGATGCTGGGTCCAATCTCGTCGTATTCCGCCTTTGTATGACAATAACTCCGGAACTCAGGTGTCTGGCCTAACAAGCTGCCTCCGAACCAAGGACCATGTCTCTGCCGCTTGTGTGTCACGACTTGCACCTCAAGACCGCCACTCTTGGCCCCCCCGCTGCGGGCCTCCGAAGCACGGATGCGGGCATCCACTAGGTGTCGGATATCACGCTGCAAGCGACGGCCAAAGTCCTTGTACAATGTCGAACCTCCGGAGAGAACGATGTTCTTGTACAAACCTCGTCGCACGTCAATGGGGGAAGATTGAATAACGCTATCTACCACGTTGGGAAGCGGCGTCAAGAAATCGGAGGAATAGATTTCTGGGTTGAAGAAGATCTCGGGAGCAAGGAACCTTTCATACCCAACGTCAATTGTCACGGTCCGGCCGTTGGGGGACGTAACCGTATGCTTCAGGAAACGATCCGGCTCCCTGTCGTAACGGGCAAATTCCTTGACAATATCCGGACAGACATAACAGTATTCCTCCTTGACTTTTTCGGCCGTCTTCAGGCTGCTGTCAGCTTCTCCTCGGTCTCGGAGCAAGCTCTGCACGAAGTATGTAATATCTCTACCGGCAATCGGTATGCTTTTGATGGAAGAGCCGATCACATAACCCTCAGCGACAGGGATAACGTGGGTAACACCGTCGCCAGAATCAATGACAGTACCGGTCAGGGATCGATCGGTAACCTTGGATGATGTCCAGGAGGCTGCCAGCGCAAGAACGGCCTGGACGGCGATGTAAAGCCCTGCGCAGTTGAACGATTCAAACATAATCTCCGCCGTATTCTCTCGGTTCTCTGGAGGGTTCAGAGGCTATCAACAAAGAGACAGAATTAGTAAGAAAAATTCGGCAAGCTGACATGGTAAGCTGGAGAAAGAAAGTCGCACCGGTTCCGTAAGCAAGAAGTAATGGTCTTCGGGCTCGACCCGTAGGTATTTGAAGATCGAGTAGGACCAGAACCGTTCCATATGATCCCAATTCTCAATTTGGCCATGGCGGATTGGATAGTGAAGGCCATAGCCTGGCCCACTGGCGGCTGCAAGGGCCTCATCGCCAATAAAGAAGTCCAGATCTTCCGTTCCCCGTTTGGCAGACAGATGGGAGCCTGAGCTGCCACCACCGCTAGACAAGAAAGAAGGCTTGCTCGCAACAGCCGGTCGTCCAGAAGAGCTTCCGCCACCTGCAGACGCCTTCGTTGCAATTGCAGTAGGAAAGACGAAGGAAGGAGAGTCATTTCCCGCGAAACCTGACCCCGTGTGTCAGCCTAGATTTGACATTCCTCTGAGCATCATAGCTTCCGCGACAACCACTCACCAATCTTTGAGTATCCAGTACCGCTAGTGTGGCGATTGCGTCAGTAACGTCTACTAGGACTGAGAGGACATGTGGATGGATGGAAACATACTTGTCCATGACAACGGCCGGGGTTTGGGAAGTCATGGTGAGCTAAGGTCCCGCCCGTACCCCAGGAAACTGCGAGAGCTGGAAGGTTGGAACAGAGGGGCTAGACGAAAGATCGAAGAAACGAGGTATCTGAAGGATGCAAAAAACAACGATTACTGCAAGGTGGCCAGGCAATCCAGCATGCTGGACGAGGCAACCGAGAGCGCGGGGTCAGAGTACGGGAAGTATCTCGCTGTCGTGTCCGTCCAGGCAGCGTTGAGTTGCGGCAGGAAGGCGGTGGGAGTCCAGTGCCAAGCCACGTCATGTGCTCAGCCCTACAGTCACCACGTTCTGTTCCAAGCATCCCAGTGCCTCATCGGTGGATGTTGGCAACATTAAACACTTCTGCTGGAGGTAAAAACATGGGATGGTTTGCCCTTCTTCCCCTAGAAATGGGTCGTTAGGAAATCAACAAAGAGATGCTGGTGTCAAGTGGACTGCTGCTTCCTGGGGCTCCGTTTGCTACTGCCCGTGGGCTAAACAGAGTGAAAAAAGTAGTATAAACGGAAGGTGCTGCAACTCATCCATGCGCTCTTATCTGGCTTGAGATCCTCCTGTGGCCGGCCTCTGCACCTCACTCCTGTATACCTAGCCCTCTTCCTGTCCTTTGCCTCCTAAGCTCTGCCGTGGAGATTATCCACACGGTACCCTGAATACATATCTCACCTTCTCACCTCACTTGGGTCCTCCAACACTCTAGCATTACCTAGCATCATCATCATCATCATTCGCTTCTGTGCTTCCTATACTGCTTGTTCTCTAATCAGATTGTTAATTATCATCATGGCATATCCCATTCTTTCAGTGGACGATTTGTGGCTGCTTTGAGTCTTCTATCATAAAATCACGGTGCTCCATTCTGCCAGCGTCGCATGATCTGCTAGTGAGGTGGTCGTCAGCAGGCGATATTTCCTCAGTCATCGCTTGTCCTCACCATCGCATCGTTGATCGTTGCCGTGTTGTCTTCCGGTCCACGCGGCAACAGGTCCCTTCATAGAGCACCCCCCTGACCTGGACTGATCTGTCCGTGCTAATGCACACTGCCTACCAGCAGCTTCTGCAATCATTAACCACACCACATACCGATCAACCACTCTCTGTCACCAGATATTTAGACAGCTGCAGCAGACTGGTCCTAAGAGTCCCAAGGCAGTGCCCTCTCTGCAAACACCATGCCTCCCAGACGAGAAGGCGGGGATATCTCTGCGATTTATGTACACGCTGGGGCTGGATACCACAGTCATCAGAATGAAAAAATTCATTTGGAAGCATGCAATGAGTAAGTTATCTCAATTCAACAATACTAATATGGCACTTGCTCCACTCTCTGTATTTGTCCTCGATTCTAACTACTCTAGTGCGGCAATGGTTGCCATGGCCATACTCAAGAACGGTGGATCCGCCCTCGATGCCGTCGAGATTGCCATCAAGTTGATGGAGGATCGAGAAATTACGAATGCTGGATATGGTAGCAACCTTACGGCAGACGGAATTGTCGAGTGTGATGCCACAATTATGGACCATCTTGGTCGTAGTGGTGCTGTAGGGGCTGTTTCTCGTGAGTTTTCTAATTAGAATCCAGTCGCTTCATCTCTACTGACATCTGACGTTCTTGTACCTAAAGAGATCAAAAATCCGATTTCCGCGGCTCGCGTCGTCCTTGATGGTCAAGCCAAACGCCTTTCTCTGCAACGAGTACCTCCAAACCTTCTCGTTGGCCCTGGAGCCACAGATTATGCCTATGATCATGGTATCCCGGTACTTCCTCCGGACTTCCTCGTTTCTCAGGCTTCCAAGGCACGATGGTTGCGATGGCAGCATGACATCGATGTCGCTCGTCAGAGAGAGCTGGAAAACCTCCTGGACCCCGATGAAAGACGCAGCCAGAGTGACATTGGTAGCCCTTCTGCCGGTGACTGTGCAACTGTACGCCCTGCTCAACTCATGTCGCCCCCGCCCAGCGTCCAGCCTAAACAGCAGAGCACTCTCTCGTTTGAGGTCAGCGCTGCCGGCAATGATGTCACACCAATGGCTGCCGATGGTCCGAACAATACACATAACATTGGAACGACTCAACCGATCACTTCCCACAGTCATGATCAGCAGACTAGACCGGATGGCAACGATCGGAGCGAAGGCAAGCACGAGGATAATAATTCCTTTTTGGAACATGGGTTGGCGAACGTGGATAGCAATAACAAATCCGCAGAAAACGGCGCTGATAAGTCGGCTACCTCGATGAAGTCAAGCTCAATCGATTCATCCGATTCCTTTGTCACAGTGGGTTCATCTTCGCTCCCGCCCCCATCATCAGGTGCCCCGAGCGACAATGCCCAAGCAGAAACAGTAGGAAGCCAAGCGCCACTCCCAGGAGATTCTTCCCCACAGAAACAGTATGATGGCAACGATAACATCACTGACACCGTCGGCGCTATTGCCGTCGATTGCTACGGGAACATTGCGGCCGGGTCCTCTTCTGGTGGCATTGGAATGAAACACCGTGGCAGGGTTGGGCCTGCGGCATTGGTGGGTATTGGTACGGCAGTGATTCCCGTGGACCCGGACGACCCTGACAGAACTTGTGTTGCTGCTGTCACGTCTGGAACTGGAGAACACATGGCTACAACGTTGGCGGCGCATACGTGCGCCTCCCGCATCTATTTCTGCCAGCGTAAGGGTGAAAATGGTCTTGAGGATGTCACTGAGGATGAAGCCTTGAAGTCCATGATTGAAGTGGATTTCATGGGTAAGTCGAGACCAGAATAAAGAGTCTGGATTTCGCGTGGGCAACTGACTATTTCCCCTCCCATTACTAGAGCACCCCAGCGTAAAGAACAGTCATTGTGAGGCTGCTATCGGAGTCATGGCAGTCAAGAAGACCAGAAATGGTGTCTACCTCTACTTTGGCCACAATACAGATTCATTCGTAAGTGGTGCCTCTATTGACCATGGTGGGAATTAGAGAGACTCAATACAAGTACAGGCCCTTGCCTCCATGAGTTCCGAGGACAGCAGCCCAGTTTGTGTCATGTCTCGTCGCCCTAAGTATGGCAGCGTTGCGCAGGGTGGCCGAATTTCAAGATACAGAAGGTATGATAAATAAATTTTTTTCCCCTTGTTGGGCAACTCGATTACTCGGGTTGCCTAAAAATTTCTCTGCTGATGTGGGTTTGAAAAGATACAAAGTTATTGCCGTTGATGAGTGAAAAACGGGTCAAGCAGCGAACTTTTTGTTTTCGTCTAGTCACAAATTCGAACAGGGAAGTTTTGCGGCTGGCGTTCTTGTGGACTTTTATTACCTAGCCCTTAACTTGTGTGTGCGTGTACAATAAGACCTAAAAACTTCCTTCTGAATATCATGCCTTAAGATAAGAGTCTGCGAGGGCGTTCCTCAGCGGTCCTATACCCGCTGGAGTCCCGATTATCTGCGAGGATAGTTTATCTCCCTTCGATCTGGGACTTTCCTGCGGCGTCGCCTCTTAAAGGAAAAGCTGTTCTTGGACTACAACAGGCTTTACCTGAAGCCTTGTAAGCCACCTTTTCAGGGTTCATTTAAATATGCCCATATGCCGCATATTTTGTCTTGCCCTTATTCCTGGCCCTATATCTCCCGAGACGGTTGTAATTGTGCATGACAATGCAATTGAATTCCCTCGATATTCATCAGAATCTAAAAAACAGATAGAAACAGCTGGTCGAGGAGAATTAGATGGGCAGTTGATATGGTCAGAAGGCGTCTGCTCTCTTTTTTTTTTGTCCCGACATGAAAGATCTCTCATGTTCTCTTAAGCAGAGAATCACGGTGCTGGGGTAGTCGTCGGGGTAGGCGTCGCAGTAGCGGACGTGCCATTCATACGCGCTTTCTTCTTCTTTTTCTTCCGCGCCAGGACGACAGGCCGCGCGCCATAGTCGCCCACCTCCAAGTGGTTGCCACAGGTCAAACAGTCGCCGTTTTCAGGGGGCTCACAGAAGATACTGAGGCAAATAGAGCAGACGAATCCGATATTGACCACACGACGGTGACAGAAACAGGCGGCTCGGAAATCGACATCAACCCGTGAAGGCAACACGAGATGCTGTCGGGACCGCTGGTCAGGCAGAAACGCCATCATAAGGTACTGCAATAAGCCACGGGGTTCAGAAAGGGACATATAGACACCTCCCGTAGCGTCCGAGGCTTGCTGCAAGAAGACGGCGTCGCCGCTCAATTTACAGACGTCAATGGGGATGTGCAATCGTTGGCAAGCAAAGATGCTGTTCATGATCGGGATATATTGATGTGCAGAATCCGTCGAACTGCTGACGGAGATTATCAAAATCCGGGACTGGAGGCCCATGAACGTACTGGCCGCCCCAGATGATGTGTTTGTAGGGGCGCCTGGGACCATGGCTGCCGACGTTGCCGCCGGAGAATCATCCAAATTCGAACCACCGTGCGCATCCGCCCAGGAGATGGTCCGGCGGTTGATGTGGCTGAGTGCCAGCGTCAAGGCACCCGCCATCATAGTTGAGGTGGTGGAGCTCACATGGGAGGCGTCGGTAGAAGCCAGGAGCTCCCGCAGGTTCCGAGTGACTTGCTCTTCGACGACGCGAAAGGGACGGTACTTGTTCGCCTGAGCAGTGGAGCGGGAAGCGGACCCTTCATCGGCATGCCCATTCATCTCAATATCGCCATCTGCATCAACCGAACCCGGGGTGCTATTCTGTTGGCGATGGGAGGGATACAGCCAAGCGGCCCGCTGGCTATGGGCCGCAACGACAGCAACCTCATTGGTATAGTTACAGGCTAAGTGGGCATTTATAAACACCAGTATGTTGGCAAGAGCCTTAGAGAGTGGGAGAGACTTCTCGAGCAGCGCCCAGGCGTGAGGATTGGTATCAAGGATAATGGCTAATAACGATGGGGCAGGCTCTGCATGAGATGGGGAAGTGTTAGCCTACGGTCAACTATTTGAAGCGATACGCAAAGACTGACCATTGGAACCAGCTTCATAGTGCTCAGACGCGTCCACAGCATTCATCGTGGTACAGAAATCCTGACAGGAAACGAGAGCATCGTGGAGGCGATGACAGAGGATGGAGGTTCAAAGGAACCAGCACCGGCACTGTCGAAGCTCTCCTTCCCTCCGTGCAGCGTCCCTAGTTCTGCTTTCGATAAGGTCCCTCCACCAGTTAGGATATCGGACGCTGGACAGCGGTTGTGCTGAGCGGTTGGCGGTGCTCTGCGGGAGAAGAGTTAGGCGGTGCTAGCAGATCGGGGCAAGAGCGTGGTTGATCAGAGTCTGTGAGGGCGCGACCCGACGCCAAAGCATGTGACGGGCAAGGGTGCCCGCCCTGGCGCTGTTACTAGATTCGGACATGAGTCCCGAAGCCCGAGATCTATCTTAACTCAGCCTTATGGCCCAAGTAGGGCTTAGGGCTCAGGGTGAGGGTTATGCTGGTGTCGCCTGCTCACCTTGCCCAGTTTTTAGAGTCTCTCCAAGCGATAAAGGCCAACTTCATGTTTCTTGGTCTGACCTCTCAGAGTAATCCGTGTATAAGGCCGCATTAGCTTGCGTACAGAGAAGCTCTGCAAAACTAAGCATTGCTGCCTGACTGCTCTCGTTCCAGTGGTCAAAAAGCTATCACTATTCTTTTCTTGTGCAATTGCTGTTTGAAATACGCCTCGCAGGAAGGCCCTACAGCAGCCATGGTTGCCCGCAACAAGGTCAGGAGACAAGTTCACAGCCTATTCGATAAGTTCAAATATCCTGGTAGAGACAACAGCATGGTTGATACCTACTCTAGCTCAACGGACCACCTTTTTTGGTAGCAACGATTATCTTGCTCGTCTTTAAGTCAGGTTGCTGCCATTTGATATTAGCAACATAGTGATGCCTAACTCTGAACCGTCTTTTTTCAAACCCTGGTCTTTTAAACTGACTGATCACCCTGTTGATGCTGATGCCATGAAAGGAGACAGTCTCGAAGCGTTGGATATTGGCGATCCCATTCATAGTAATTCGAATCCTGTGGCATCTGAACGCCAAATACGCTTATTTATTTTTATTACGGGGCTAAGCGATGATTTTACGCCATCCTAGGAGACCTTGCATGTCTTTGAAAATGGTGACGGCGCATTAATCTACCTCCACATAATGGCTATCACAATAAATGGTGCTGAAAGAAACAATACACGATTGCTCCGTCGATAGCTGGTTTCGATCCTCCAACTAATGGTCAACAGTATGAGGGAAGAGGGCCATGAAAACCACGCTATTGTCCGTCCTAGCGTATATATAAAAGAGGACATTCATGATTTCCATTATGTCATCTCGACGTGGTCGGTTACTGCAAGCATACTCCGATGGGGAGAATCTTATCATTCAAAAGATGGAATTTATTCAGCTGCGAGAATGAGAGTAACCTTTTCTTTCATCATGCTTTTCGGTATTTGATGAGCGAGGTTGTTACTTCAGATCTTTCGGATCTCAGTGGAATCAGGGCTATTGTTTGACGATATTTTGAACGGACAAAGAAGCTAGAAGGGTTGGTTTCACTTCAAATCTAATTTACGCGTGATTCACAATTTTGATGGATGAAAATCGATTGCTCTAGTTGATTGATTGTATTAATATTGACTCTTCGAATACCTCGTACAGGCAGGAGCGGTGTGGAACAGCAGCAGGAAGGAGCAACGGCGGGAGCTTAGTCACAGGGCGGACAAATAGCAGGTGATTGGAGTGTGCATCCTTGGTCTATGATTGGTGCTTATGACAGATTCAGTGTGTCACCTTGTTTAGTTTATTAAATGTTTGGATTAGTTTTTATAATATTAATCCGGCTATCTAGAGTGCGTATCTGCAGCAGGCATGTCGTAATAGTTAGGCATCCAAAGAAGCCGATTACGAGGGAGCTCTTCCCCCGTCCGTTCGCGGATCATCATTAATTAACAGCCCCGAGTTCTCTAAGGAGTGCATGTGTCCGTGTCACTAAGGTTGAGACCGGTGTCTGCGGTGGAGGTGTGCAGTTCGGGCGTCTTCGAGAACGTGATCCTGCGGGCCCCTGTGGTTGGAGCGTGGTCAATCTGACACCGACGTCAATATGTCCTCCTCCTGCTGGTATCGACGATCGCCTCAGCATTTCAGGCACCCACGTTGGATCCTCGGTTGTGCTACTTGCGTACTATCTGCTAATAATAAAATTATCCTAAATAAGGTTGTTGTATCTCGGAGAATGTTTCTTAGGAGGGACGGAGTCTGTGGAGTTTGTCAAAAGCTCAGGTTTGACCGGGATGGCCTAGGGTTTCGCTGTGTTTGGCTTTTGTTGCTCATACCTCCCTCCTAGTGTCACAGTATTCTCCAAAGAGGATGTTTTACTCGTATACCTAAAATTTTGCCAAGGCGTGAAAACAAGAACAGGCCGTGTTTTCTTGAGTTGGCTGGCGGAGGATGATGTGTACTCCGTAATGATGCGCTATCGGCGCCCGATAATGGAGGGGCAGATAACTATAGATAAAAAATTATTGCAGGGCGAACGCTCGGGGTACGGAGGGCGGAGGAAGCCGGCGGAGGTAACAAGAGGAAAAGAACAGAACAGAAAAAGAAAACATGACAGCCACCCACGCTTCTGACTGGTCTAGTTGCATCGCATCATCCCAGCCCCCGTTTCCCATGACCGTTGCGCGCTGGCCCTGCGTCTACGTATTTGGTGGTTAAGGCTGATCCACCTGGCTTCTTTCTCCGCCGTACTTCCGCGCCGCCAACCATAAAACCTCCCACCTGCTCCACGCCACTTCCTCCCCTCTCGACGCGACTTGTCCTCAACCAACTTCTGAGGTAGGTATTCGTCCAGCTCTCCCTGGTGGTTGAAATGGTCGAATCAAATAACGAAGAGCGCGCTGTGAAACTTGCCCGAGAAGCTGTCGAGTTGTTAGATGCTGGCCACAAGGAGGTGCGTGTTGGGTAGCTTCGATAAGACGCTGCAGCTCAGATTTTTTTTGTCCTATTATTATTTTTCTTGTTTTTTTTGTCTCCCCGTCTGCTCTTTATTTTTATTTTTTTTTGTTTTAACTTTCCACTAATATATTCTTTTTCCTTTTTCTTGTCTACAGGCCGCATCACGAAACCTACGTGAAGCCTTATCCCTTGCCCCAGAGAACTCTGAGGTCCAGGCGGCTTTCCTGAAAATCCGGGCAGAAGAACAGAGCGGCCACCCGCTTCTGGATCTATGTCGTCGCTACGCCTCGGAAAAGAATGAAGAAGCCGGCAAGGAGGCTGCTCGGTTTTTACGTGCCGATGGATTTAAAGCACCTGAGGATGTTGCGTTGGAGAGTCTAAAACTCATCTTGGCAGAGAAGGCCGATGCCTTGTCTGCGACACAGGATGAAATCATCTCCGGTCTAGTTCGCCAGAATGCCAGCGTCCGGCAGTTCTTCGCATCCCAGCTACAGGTCTCTGTGACGACCTTCTTCGACCAAATCTACGTTAGAGGCGATGGCGCTGCCGTTTGTCTGGACACCGTCGTTCTTGACCCTACACTCTGGCCTTCTGAGGATGTTCGCTCGTATTGTGAAAGCGAGCTGTTCCAGCTTTTCATTGCAAAACTCATGGAATCCGGACATGATCTGGACGGCCGCTCTCTCAAGGGGATCACACGGCTCTTAGCCGTCGACGCGGAGAAGTTGCAGCATTTGGTGGATGACGAAGGGTTCGATGTCATTATCTCCTCGCTCGATAACAGACTGCCCCTGGATGTGCGAAGTCAGGCAACCCTGGCCACTGCAAAATACCTTGAAGCGTCCAAGGAAGTTGGCCAGAAGCGTTTCTCTAAACTGGTCACTGCAAAGGTCACCAAGGCTCGCAACGAGGACTTGATTGTGGCCTTTTCCGCCGTGGCAGCCGTATTCCCAGTCGTGCCCACCATCACCGCTACTCTCTTCCTCGCGGAAGGCTTCCTGCAATCCATTGAGCCTCTCCTCGATCGAGAAGTCAAAAGCACCAAGGTCGAAGTGGCCCTCCTGGAGCTGTTCAATGCCGCTTGTATGGATAAAGCCTGTCGTGAGGCCATTCGCAACTCCTGCACTGAATGGCTGACACACATCCTGTCCAACGGCACAGAGAAGAGCTCCGAGCTGGCTGCTGTGGTACTGGCCAAGGTCAAAGCCTCGGAGACGGGTGACGCCTCCGAGTCAAATGGTAAGGTTCAGGAGGAGAGCAACAGCGTCCATGAACTGGTTGATCGGTTCAAGGGACTGATGTCGGGCTCCAAGGTCGCCAGGCTTCACAATCCAGTTGAGGGTCTGGCCTACTCATCCGTGAAACCGGATGTAAAGGAGCAGCTCGCCCATGATCCCGCCTTCCTGAAGGGTCTTTTCAGTGTGCTGGTATCGCACGTGGAAGATTCCTCGTTACTCTATGGAGGGCTGATGCTCATCTCGAATCTCACCAGATACCTCCCTAATCTATCTGAAGAACAGAAGAAGATGTCCGAACTCAAAGCCTACGCAGATGCAACCAAAGGTGCCGCGCAGCCCAATCCTCTTGATGATGATGAGCATGTGATGGCGCGTTGCAACGCCGTCATCGATGCGGGTGTCATGCCTCTTCTTGTGGAATGTGGCAAGACCAGCCTTAAATCCGTCCATGGCCTGACAAGCAAGATCCTTTTATCTCTTTCTAAAAATCCCAAGACCCGAGGGAAACTCGCCCAACAGGGCGCTGTGAAACTGCTCCTGAATATTGTGGGTCCGAAGAATGGGAGTTCTTCCGCGCCAGACCTTGATGAGACCACCCACAATGCATCGCACGCACTTGCGCGCGTTCTGATTTCCGTCAATCCATCCCATGTTTTCCCATATTCAGGATTCCCTCAGATCACGTCGGCTATTCGGCCATTGGTCGCACTTCTGACTCCACCTGAGACCAATGCCATCTCCGTGGAACAACCGCGTGATCTCCTGCCTGTCTTCGAGAGCCTCTTGGCTCTTACCAACCTTGCTTCTTCCCCCGATGTGACTGCGGCGGAATCGATCGTGCGGCAGGCGTGGCCGGTTTTGGAGGATTTGCTGCTGTCCAACAACACGTTCATCCAACGCGCTGCATGTGAACTGGTCTGCAATCTGATGACGTGCGAATCGGGCATCTTGAAATTCGCCGATGGCTCCAAACGCGCTGGGCAGCGGCTTCATGTGCTCCTGGCCCTTACTGACGTCGAGGATGTAGCTACGCGGCGCGCCGCGAGCGGTGCGTTGGCCATGCTGACCGAGTATGATGCAGCCATTGCTGCCGTGCTGGAGCGTCCACGGGGCGTCAATCTCTTGCTCAGCCTGTGTCAGGAGAACAATGATGATCTGGTGCATCGTGGGGTGGTCTGCATCCGCAATCTGACATGCGCGGCGTCGGGCGACGTTGGGGCCCGGGCACGGGATGCGGTGAGGCAGAACAGGGGCATCGACACGCTGAAGGGATGCCTCCAGCGGTCATCCAACCCTGCTATTCTCCAGGCGGGAGTGGAGGCCTTGAAGCCGCTTGTGGAGCAGACTGCGGGGTAATCGCGTCAGCCAGCGACAGCTCTCCTTTTTTTCTCTTCCCTTTTGATGATATTTCTCTCGTTCTCTGGAACTAAAGATGCCTTTGATTGATTATTCCATTTTCATCTTACGGACTGTTGTTTAATTTCTTAATTAGAATGCTTTTAATGTGGCGTTACGACTGGGTCCGGTTGTCTATCTGGGGAATGCGGAGGACTGGTGCATCCCTCAACGGTTGTGTATCGGACCCTTGGAAACTTTTATAATCCTGTCCGATAATCACATCTTAACCTGTTCTTTTTTTTCTTCAGTTGTCTGACCAGCCAGAAAAGACTGCCACGATCTCGGTTCAAGTCATGTGCCTTTTTTTTCCCCTCCGGTGTCAGCAGGCAGTGTGGGGGTTTCATGTGTGTGTTTTTCTTCTTTTGCTTCTCGGTGTCAAATTTGTTCCAATCATGGAGCTTTGCTTGCATTTTGCTTTTGTTTTACTGATACAAGGTTTATGGGGGCCATGTCATACAGCGTAGACACGTGATTGATAAACGTTACTGGGATGTAATGTGTTATGCCAATTAATATGAATACACGTGTTAAGCCGGTTACTACTATCTTGCCTTTTCGATCCTTCCTGGGGTATGGTACTTTGATTGTGCTGGAGGGGACTTGGCCTGTCCATTGTATACTATAGAAAATAGAATGTTTCTTGGTCAAGCTCGAGACTCGTAATCTTCATACTCTTGAGTCATTGTGGTGTCCTAAGATTAAGCTCTCTGCTATATATAGTGAGACGTTCACGTGCCAATACTCCTTACCCACTATGCTATCTCTTGGGGACTTTTTGAATCGTTACTGTGGCGTGTGAGACAAGGACCACATACGGAGTATTAAGAGCATCTTCCCAACCGCCTACACACAAATCAGCCCAGCTGTGCAGTTGCCTATTTGGCCCTGGTGCATCCCGCACATACAGTTGGACTTGGACAAGGTATATGAAGCCTCATTCTTCCCAACTTCTTGCTCTATAGCCAAGCTAAGGTGCATAACCTACAGTATGAGATAATGTCAACTGTAAAAGGGTTTTGTCAGTGCGTATGAGCTGTCTGAAATCCCATCTTGATTCTCGAATTCTTGATTCCCGATCCCCGTCCAGTTATTGTTGCCGTTGCACGTCAACAGAATCATTCACAGGGTAATACATGGTAGATTTGAGTTTGGACTGCAGCATCACAGAGCACTCGAGACGGAAATCGACAGAAAACACAGCAGCAATCGTACGGGGTGCAGACCCTGATCATGTCTCGTCCATCATATCTATCAGATCTATCTCACCGCGAGGAGGGGCGGAGAGTCACCGCTGTTGTCAATTGGCCAATCACGCCGAGGGGACCCGCGTGCCCATGATTTGATGTGGACCACGAGCTTACTATTGACCTGCTAGGTATCTGGGGACTTGGCGAGAGCGAGAATGGCTGGCTGCGTCGTATCGCCGGGCACAAAGAACTGGGCTGTATGGAGACATGGGGATATGGAACGTTGCGCCCGTACCGCCACTGGGCCAGGGTATTGATGATTCACTGCTCACGCATGGTGTTGAGAGGGCCATGGTCTACGGAGTATCGATCATTGCTCCACGTAGGCTTGTCCTTCGTACTTGTCTAGCTGGCACACTACTGTAGGCATATCACCTCGATTTACGGAGAATCCGGCCTCTCAGTCGCTGCAGCCCTGCGGGAAGATGCCTAGGCAGGCATTTGTACGGGTTCTTCGGGAGAGCCGGGGAGGAAGAGAGACAGCGATCATCGGTCGTAGAACCAGTCCAGAAGCATCAAGGTTAATAGAGCAAAGAGGCGGTGGCCAGTGACACCCCGATGGATCGCTGCGGTGCATGGCCCAACGTTCTGATTGCTTCACGGCGGAGACGGCCTCGAAGCCGTCGTTTTGGTGGAAGCCTTGTGAGTCTTCAAAAAAGGGTTCGCGTTTCCACTTGGACGACTGCTGACGCCCTCTCCATCACGCGGCACGCCCACTGACGAGTGATTTTTTCCGGGGGCGAACCTGCCGTCGTATAAAGAGTGGAACAGGGGAGGAGCAGGTCTCGTCCGTCCAAGCCCTTCTCTGGTCTGGTCTTTTCTCTCATCCTGGCGTTGTGCGTCTTCTGGTGAAAGCAAGCGGCATCTGCTTCTGCACAGAGCTGCCCGGGTAGCTGGCAGCTGGTATATACCTAGGCAGTGCTCGACTACCGCGGATCCGACACGAGGCTCTGCGCGATCAGTGGGCTTGCGGGCTCAGCTTCCAGGCACCCGCCGGGCGGCAAATCAGAGCCAGCACGCGCGGCACGCCGAGCGGCGATAATCGACTCTATACACCCTTGCCGCCCGCCATCGCCGCCTGCCAGCAAGTCGACGGAGCGTGTGCTCGCCTCGCCGCTTGTCACTCGTCCGCAACGTCCTCGATCGTCCTGCACAGCTGCTCTACCACTGCGCCGGGTCTCTCGCGCACGTTGCGTCCGTTCTCGAAGCCCCCTGCCTGCCGATCTACCGACAAGTAGCTTCCGGCCGTTGCTCCCACCGCCGGCAGTCGACAGCTCCTGTTGTCGGTAAAAAGAACACCTGCGCATTACGTGCGGCAAGATCGTGGCATAGAACTGGTGAGTTGCTATTTTTTTCCCCTTCTCTTTCGTTCATGCAGTCTGTCCTTGAGGCTCGCACCGCTTCCAGACCGCTTCTACCGTACACGATCGCGACTAACTCTGGTCATGGCGCAGGAACCGATCGACTGTGTCCTGATTTCCCCGCCCATCTGCACGACATTCTAGAGTCCCTGCCGATTTAGACCGCTCAGAGAATTCAGACGTTCCCATACCAGGCAAAGTTTCATACATGGATTCTCTGTGCCCGACTTTCTTTTTCCTCACTACTTTCCGTGTTCGCCTGCGCTCTTTCCCTGCTTGAACCACCTCTCGTTCTCTCTCGATCCCGTCGTCTTTCCCCCTTTTGTCTAGGGGCTCATATTTTCTCTGCTTCTTCTACCTGCACCAACATCCCCTCCAAGGCAAACCCATCCACTCGGGATACCTGCTGCCGAGTGGGGGTTCTGGCCGGGTGATAAACCGCAGAGGGGTCTGGAGAAGGTGTCGAAAGCACACTCCACAGGAGATTACTGTCTCAGAGTTGATTATCCCTTTTCCTGACTCTGCCCAGTGGCAAGCGCGGATCGAAAATGAAATTCGGTCGCAATCTTGCCCGAAACGTGGTGCCGGAATGGAGTTCCTCCTACATCAGATACAAGGCCTTGAAGAAGCTGATTAAATCGGCCGCCGAGGATGTGAAGGCGGGAAAAGAAGCTGACCTTGCTGGTGAGTGAGACCATCGGTTTCCCGGTCAGAGGGCATTCCATCTAACAGCATCCCCGTAGGGTTCTTCTACTCGCTCGATCGAAACCTCGAGGATGTCGATCTCTTTTATAACAAGAAGTTTGCGGAGTTCTCCCGCCGACTGAAGCTTCTGGAGGACCGCTATGGACATTCCATGGTCGTAGGCCAGCGCCTCGAGCCCGAAGATGCCGAGGATCTTCTGGCCGCCTTGCTCGAGCTTCGTGGGCAGCTCCGAAAGCTGCAGTGGTATGGCGAGGTCAACCGTCGGGGCTTTATCAAAATCACCAAGAAGCTCGACAAAAAGGTCCCGGGGGCTGATGCTCAAAAGCGATACCTCGAGACCAAAGTCGACCCGTCACCGTTTGCCACCAATGCTCGTCTGTCCGAGGCTATGACCAGGATTAATGAATGGCTCTCCGTCCTTGGAGATCAGAAAGTCCAGGACGATTCGAGCTCGACCAAGTCGTCTTCATTGTCTCTGCAGAGAGTCTCTTCTCGCCCCACACTGAACCTTCCCTCCAGTCTCCTGGTGGCTGTTGATGAGGCGCTTCGCAAGGACGACACTCCTGTCCTCCTGGAGCTGCTTGAAACGCTCAAAATTGCCGCCGATGAACAAGGCGACACGATCTATCCCAAGGTCCTGAAGAGCTTGTTGCAGCGGGCCATCTTTTCCCGGGCGAGATCTTCGATCACCGCACTGCTGGGGAAGATCGACTCTCTTGAAGAAGATGACGATATCAACAAGCGCAACTGTATTCACCGACTCGTCATTTCCATCGGTCGGACACAGTCTACGACCGACTCGGAGCAGTCGGCAACCTCAGTCCTTGAATTTCCTGTGGAGACGAATTACATTACGCCTGCCGCTCCTCCTAGTTTACAACCCTCCCGTCCTGTCGTCAAGGAGACCAACCAGCCCCAACTGCTCGACAGGAATGATCCGTCGGTATCTCTTCTGCAACATCTATTGGACAATCTCCGTCCTCACCAGCGGTCAGCTCTGCTGGCTAAAGACATCTCCGGCCGCACTCCTCTCCACTATGGCGCGCAGTACGGTTTCAAAGTGGTTTGCGAAATCATTATTGAACACCTACAGGCGTGGGACATGTTCGACGTCAGTGAAGGGATCGACGGCCCGAAATGGCAAGATAATGAAGGCTGGGCTCCGCTTCATCTAAGTGTGGTAGGGGGTCATCCATTGACGACTCGAACGCTCCTCAATGCGGAGAATTGGAAAGGCCCTGCGGAAGACAAGGCTGCAATTCGAAAAAACGTCTCCAAATCCAGTGCCGTATTGGCTCTGGCGACCAAGGCGAACTTTGTCGATATTGTTCAGCTTCTGGTCGAAGCGGGAGTCGATATTAACTATCAGGACGAGCAGGGTGAAACTGCTCTCCATGTTGCGGCCCGGTTCGGTCATGACCAGTGCGCCAAAATCTTATTGGAAGGCACTGATGAACAGAAGGCGAACACCGAGATCGCTGAATACACATACTCATGGACCCCTCTCTTCATTGCTTGCGTGGATGGATCGCTGGGTGTGGCGGAATTGCTCATAGCAGCCGGGGCTGACGTCGAAAGATGCGACTCATCTGGCTGGACTGCTAAAGAGCATGCGGCACTTCGAGGTCATCTGGAGATTGCCAGACGATTGGCGGAAGTGACGCCGCCTCCGGACGTGTCATCAGAAAGTGAGGTCGCGATTCCTGTGCCTGCTTCATCCTCCCCATCCTCACCTCCTCTGCAGTCATCAATCGCGGAGCGGAAGTCTAACGGTAGTGCCGGGAGTTCTGGCTTACGAACTACTGAGCCTATTAAGTCTTTTGGACACCGGTATCTCACCGATGAGAGCATGATCTTGGTCAGTCTGGGTACCACGGACATGCGAAAGCCCGTTCCTGCAGTCAACCTGGACCGTATTCCTATCGCGAGTGCTCATTCCACTCAACTGGATACTGCACTCTCTGTCGTTGTCTCCGCAAGTGGTGCACGTGGAGACCCGGAGATTATCGACCTCCCGATTCAAGACAGTATTTCTACCGAGCCGATCACATTCTACACCAAAGACGCTGCTAATGTCAAACTTCTCTTCGACCTCATCCCTACCTACGCGGGTTCGAAAGACCAGGTAATCGGCCGTGGCGTTGCTTTACTTTCCAGTATCAAGCCAACTGTCGGTTCGCATCGTATGAGCCTGAAGGGCGACTCCACCATACCCATTGTCGCCGCCAGCACCCTCGAAGTGATCGGCAGCATCACCTTCAATTTCCTCGTCATCACTCCGTTTAGTCATCCGAAAATGTCCATTAAGGGCGACCAGACCTATTGGAAGAGTATTACTGCGCCCATGGTCATTGGGCATCGAGGTGATTATTCACATTTCCTTTCGCTCATCTGCCCTGTGTTGTATCCCCTAACCCATATCTTTTTGAAGGCCTCGGAAAGAATTTCGCGAGCCGCAAGTCGCTCCAACTGGGTGAAAACACGATACAGTCTTTCATTGCTGCAGCAAACCTGGGCGCATCCTATGTTGAGGTAAGTCCCCCTCTATAGATGGCGTCATTATAAACAAGGTACTAACGAATCTCAGTTTGGTATGTATCCATTTATGCCATCAGTCTCTATGTCTGAAGATCGATGTACTCATACAAAGCAGATGTGCAATTGACAAAGGACCATGTTCCTGTGATCTATCACGATTTCCTTGTCAGCGAGACAGGCATTGATGCTCCTGTCCATACCTTAACCCTGGAACAGGTTTGTCTTTCTGGCGCCACCTATTGAACTTTGTACTGATATGAGAGATAGTTCCTCCATGTGAGCAATAGTCGCTCTAATGTGCGGCCTGGAGGCACTCCAGCCCAGAACATGGAGAATGGGATCCGGGAAGCGACTGTACGGCAGCGATCCATGTCTGTCGGGGGCTCCATCGGATTCGATCCCACAGAACTCAGCGAGAAGATGAAGCATACTCGTGATTTCAAAAAGAAGGGGTTCAAAGGTAACAGCCGGGGTCATCACATTCAAGCACCATTTGCCACTTTGGAAGATCTGTTCAAGAAGCTTCCCAAATCTGTCGGCTTCAACATTGAGATGAGTGAGTCTACTTCCCCCCCCCCCCCAAAAGAACTGTTACACGTCGATCTGACCAGGATCGCCAGAGTACCCCATGCTCCACGAGAGCGAAGAGGAGGAAATGGATGCGTATGCTGTCGAGCTCAACTCGTTTGTGGATACGGTTCTCACCAAGGTATACGACCTTGGCGAGGGCCGCAACATGATTTTCTCGAGTTTCAATCCGGACGTATGTCTGCTGTTATCCTTCAAGCAGCCTTCCATTCCGGTGTTGTTCTTGACGGATTCCGGTTCTCATCCCGTGGGCGACGTTCGCGCCAGCAGCCTGCAGGAAGCGATTCGTTTCGCTTCGAGGTGGAACCTTCTTGGGGTCGTGTCGGCCGCCGAACCTTTCGTTCTCTGCCCGCGTCTCGTCCGGGTTGTCAAAGAATCAGGTCTCGTTTGTGTGTCGTACGGAGTACTGAACAACGAACCTGAAAACGTCAAGGTAAGAACCACGTTGAGATATTTTAGAAGGTGAACAATTTTTCTGACAAAAAAACCAGCTCCAAGTTGCGAAAGGCATCGATGCTGTCATTGTCGACTCCGTGCTTGCTATTCGGAAAGGGCTCACGGAGAACCAAGACAAGGAGACACCGAAACCGTCACCGCGGTCTGAGCCGCAGTCGTGTGCGGAAGGCATTAAAGATACTCTCGACATCCCGGTTTTGAATGGGAAGTGAAGTTTTGGAGGATGTATCATGGCTGCGAAGATAGCGTGTTGGACAAGGTTCCCGTGTTCCCTAGATCTTTTCCATTGAATACCTTTACCCCTATTGCTCTCACCTCTTGGCTCTGAGTTATGTTACCTTGCTTTGGGATATTTAAGTCAATTTGCTTTAGCAGTTATAACCGATATCCACCTGTTCTCAAATCCCAGGGCAGTATTACTATTACTTTGTTTTTAGACCTGGAATCTCGCTCATCTATATACCACCATAATAGATATATCCATCCATCCATCCATCCGCATGACATGAGTCGCTCGAGGTTCAATCAAGATTTTCCTTTACCGGAATTGGATATTAATATTACATTATGTATATCTATGTTAAGAAGTAGTGTACCTATATGTCAGATCCGAATTTAATTTTACCATGATATCATTCATATATGTTTGCCTTTTTGGACTTTTCGTCCCCTTGTCTTTCTGAAAGGGTCAGGTAGATAGGTACTGTACCTAGGTCAGGTAACAGTTGTTGGTTTTAACTAATAATTTAATTAATAAATAATAATTGGCTAATAATAGGAGAGACCAAAGAAAGAAAGACATAATAGCCCGAGCATGGATAAGGATGTGATTGATGGTGGTAAGACTGGAAAGAAAAAAAAACTTATTTTTTGTTTATTGTTAATGATTTGTTGTTGCTTTTCCTTTTTGTTTTCTTTTTCAAAATTGTCTGTCCATGTCCGCTTCAACTTCCCTATGCTATCATCATCATCGTCGTCGTCATCCTTATCGTCATTGCCATTTTCATTGACTTTTTTTTTTCCATCGTCATCAAATCACATCAGACATCCGTCCTTGATGCTCGAGTGCAATTCGCTCATTCCGACTCTTACACGGCGCCATCCGCTGTTGCTTGCTTTCCGCTGTGTGGGATCCGTGCCTTTACTACTACTGCCGGGGCCACCAGGAGAGGCAATTCTGGCGCCACTCATCATGGGAGTACTGTCGCGACTGTTTTGACCTTGACTCTGACTATGATGATGTCCGCTCGACTGTCCCGCCCGTGGTTCGAGCTTGAACACCTCGACCATCCACTCGTACCAGACTTTACGGTTGTCTGTTTTGCGGTACATGGTGACGACGAGTTCACTGTTGTCAGGGACATAGAGAGGGGTCTATACAAAGGGGGAAAAAAATATATCAGTATATGAAATCAGCGGGGAGGTGGAGAGGGGAACCAGAGCTTGCTTACCTTGAGCGGGAAGTAGATCGGGAACCAGCTGATCATCCCTGCGCTTTTGGCATCCATCGTGACCGGATTCGTAGACAGCTCCACGTCGCCGTAGAGGACTGTCTCGAAGTAGCCAGCTAAACCATGGCAGACACCACGATTTTGACACGGGAATGTCAGCCGGGCCTGGCGAACATTGTGGTCGTTGGGGATGGTCGACGCTGCTCCTGACTCAGGGATGTTAGGATTCGGGTGGGAGAACGACCATGCGGTTTGCACAATCGGGGTTGGTGGCTCGAAGATGGGCGGTGGCGTCGAGGTCGAGGATCGTGCACCCCCTCCATTGCTTCCACCACTACTGCTCATCTGAGAAGGAGGGCTGGCGACAGAGGCTGGCGGTTGGCTCGTGGAGAGATAGTCGATTGCATGCAACATCACCACGTACGGCGTCTCAGGAGCAGCAGGGTTTGAAACCTTCTGCGTCGATATGTCTGCGTGCAGCTTGGGTGCGGAAATGGGGGTAAGATGAGCCGAGTAGGAAGCTGGAATGGAGATGCCATGGCCCGGATTAAGGAGGTGAGTAACACCGTCGAGACATTCTGGAGACAGCTCATTGTCTCCAAACGAACCCAGCAATTCAGAGACAAGAATGTCGATGGGCATGTACTTGATCTCGGGACTGGTCTGCGAAGAGTTGTCAGGACCCTGAGTCTCTGTGGATCTCGTCTCCCTGCAGGGACCCTTCCAACTGCGCATATCGGACTTGACCAAGTTGACACTCCCGCCCCAGACAGTTTCATTCCGACGCTGGAGAAGCACAAACGCGTTGGGGTTTTTCTCGACAGCCCACATCTCAATGTCAACACCCGTTTCTGCACTCGCTTGAAGGGCTCGAGTCACCAGAGGGCCTCTCCCCGCGCCAACAACCGCGACCACGACTCGACCATCTGGCCCGGAAGCCGGCTTCTCCTGTTCCTTCCAGTCCTTCAGGGCCTTGGCAATGGCTCGCTCGTACCATTCATATTTGATTGGGTCTTTCTCAAACACTTCATAGGTGATGCTCTCCAAATTCACGGTCAGTGGCTGCAGCGGTGCTTGTAGATAGTCCTGGTACCCGGTACCAAAGCGCTCCATGGGAGTCCGTGGAGGTTGTCTCTGCTGGAGATTTCTCATGTAAGACAGGTGGGGGGTCGGGTCATGATGTTTCTTTCCTTGGGAGGCAGCTTGTGCCGGAGTTGGAAAATTCGAGTTGCCTGCCGGAGAACCGTTGGTAATCGTCTCATTGTCGTTGCCCTCCAGACCCGGAATGGGGCCGACATTACACAACAGGAACCATGGTGGTGTACGCAGACGCATAAATCTCGCGATCAAGGCCTGATGGGCCTTGGACAACACAGGATAGCCCTTCTGGTTCTTGATGAATGAAGTAGCATCAATGGTGAGTAGGTGGACGGGCTCAGAGAACCATCGCGATTGAACCTGTATGGGTGGTAGATGTTTGGGGAGTGACAGCGCTGAAAGAAGACGCATTAGCGAAAGCTGGAGAAATAACATAGCAAGGACCGAAAATAAAAGCCTTTTCTCACCTATGAAAAGCCTCGTGTGGTATTTACAAACTGTCCTGATGACTTCCCACGCATCCCACGTCCCAAATAGATCGATCTTTGCAGAGCGATCATCCGCATCCGCGAGATACTCTTCCCTAGCAAATGGTGCAAGATCACCCATTTCGTCCGTCTCCAGGTCTGGATTATCGACCATCCTCATCCAGATGTGAATCTGCATATATGGGGCAACGTTGAGTGCCTCCTGGATAGCTCTAGCGTAATACACCAAGCCCTCAGAATGTAAAGCGCCATGATGGAGTTTGGGCCCTGGGATGATGAGATAGCTGATGCCACAGAACGCGGCATATGCGACCTCAAGCATCAAAACCTGGCGGGAAATGTCGGCAATTAAAGGATCAGGCGAGCACAGGTCTATCCAGGAACTGGTAACCCCAACTACTTGGCTAATTGCTTCATGTGGTGTCAACGGCGTATCCACCGACGACAGCGGAGGAACCGTCAGAACCTTGTTGTTTTGGGACGTCGACAGAGTCCCGCTTGCATCGTAAGACGGCGGCTCCGAGTTGGACAAATGAGACGAGAGCAAGGTCAGCACTCGGGAGTGGAAATGAGGCGTTGTTATCGGGCTTGTAAGCATATCATACTGCGACTTGTCAGTGTCTGGCCATTGAAAAGAAAAGAAATCCGGACGCACATTGCTCGCATGGGCAGCCTGTACCACCTGAGGAGTCACAGGCATCAAACGATTGCTCTCATGTTGGCCAATACAGAACGTATGGACCATGTCGTCGGTCTCTGGTACAGTATCCATGTTTCTTGCCTGCAAGCTGTTCGAGGATCAAAACACGGATTCAGAAACGGTAAGTTGGCAGTGATGATGAAACTAATGGGCGCAAAAATTCATCATGCCACCAAAGGGCATGGAGGAGCGCAGGCCAAGACAGGTAAACAGAATGGCGCTGCCCAATGTGTGTATATATATAAATATATGGCCTGCTTTCAAACGCCAAAGGGGACGCTGCAGATCCGCAATTAGTTATTCACACTACAACATGATCAGCCTAGCACGACAGCAATCAAAGGGGGGATGCAAAAGCAACAAGTTCCATCATGTGCAATTCATCATGGCGGTACCAAGGGATGAAGGGGCTCACGGTAGTTATAGCCCTTGATTGAGGGACCAAGTAAATATATTTTAGCATCATAGGCCGCTGCGTCGCTGCAATAACCTTGTGTGGGCGATCACCCGCATATCCAGAAGGGCAGGCGGTCGCCCAGATAAGCAGGTGTGGCGGCGCTCGGCTAGCCTGCCTATCCCGCCTTTTCTCCCGTTTATCTTTTTCGGCCTCAGTCGTTCATCGCCATGTCGGTCTCCGCGACTGCCCTCTGAGCCTGTGCATTCTCCTCTCTTCGAGACCATGGTTGACCGACGGCCGGACTCTGACGACGGCTCGCGTGCAAAACGCCAGAAGATGGACAAGGCTGAGACCGATCCGCGGGCTAATCCTTACCTTGCCCACCTGTATCCCGAGCAGCAGAATGGCGTCCCCGACAAGGGCCCGTTTGCCAAATTCACCAGGCATCAGACGACGGCAGCCATGGCCAGAAAGGTCGAGGAGGGCGATGTCAATCCATTCACCGGCAAGCCGTTCTCGAGCAACTACTACTCCATTCTGAAGAGCCGTCGCGACCTTCCTGTTCACGCCCAAAGGTAAGGAAGAATTGCAGCCGCGATCTCTCTTTGGTGACTGTTGTGTGCTGACCACTTTGCTCAGAGATGAGTTTCTGCAACTTTATCAGAAGTCTCAGATTCTCGTCTTTGTCGGTGAGACCGGTTCGGGAAAGACGACCCAGATCCCTCAGTTCGTTCTGTATGACGACCTTCCCCAGACCCAGCGCAAACTCGTTGCGTGTACGCAACCTCGACGAGTCGCTGCCATGTCGGTCGCGCAGCGTGTAGCGGACGAGATGGACGTAAAACTAGGGGAAGAAGTGGGTTACAGCATCCGTTTCGAGGATATGACCAGCTCGAAGACAATTCTCAAGTACATGACGGACGGAATGCTGCTGCGAGAAGCGATGAATGACCATGACCTCAAACGATACAGCACTATCATCCTCGATGAAGCGCACGAAAGAACGATGGCTACAGATGTCCTGATGGGTCTTCTCAAGGAGATTGTCAAGCGCCGACCGGATCTGAAGATCATCATCATGTCTGCCACCTTGGATGCCCAGAAGTTCCAGCGCTACTTCAACGACGCCCCGTTGCTGGCAGTTCCCGGAAGAACTCATCCCGTCGAGATCTTCTACACGCCCGAGCCGGAACAGGACTATGTGGAAGCCGCGATTCGGACGGTGCTGCAGATCCATGCGACGGAACCCGAAGGGGATATTCTGCTGTTCTTGACCGGTGAAGAGGAAATCGAAGATGCCGCGCGGAAGATATCTCTCGAGGCAGATGAAATGGTGAGAGAGGCCGACGCTGGACCTCTGAAGGTCTACCCATTGTATGGCAGTCTTCCCCCGCACATGCAACAGCGCATCTTTGAACCGCCTCCACAACCGCGCAAACCGGGAGGTCGACCTGGCAGGAAATGCATCGTTTCCACCAACATCGCCGAGACCTCTCTCACCATCGACGGTATCGTCTATGTGGTGGACCCTGGATTCTCAAAACAGAAGGTTTACAACCCTCGCATCCGAGTCGAATCCCTGCTGGTCTCTCCGATCTCAAAGGCATCGGCCCAGCAAAGAGCAGGTCGTGCTGGTCGTACACGCCCTGGGAAATGCTTCCGCCTCTACACTGAGGCCGCGTTCAAAAAGGAGCTCATTGACCAGACTTATCCCGAGATTCTTAGATCCAATCTGTCGTCGACGGTATTGGAACTAAAGAAACTGGGTATTGACGACCTGGTTCACTTCGATTTGATGGATCCTCCCGCGCCGGAGACCCTCATGAGGGCTCTAGAGGAGCTCAATTATCTGGCCTGTCTAGATGACGATGGCAACTTAACTGCACTGGGCCGTCTGGCATCCGAATTTCCTCTTGATCCCGCCCTGGCGGTGATGCTGATCAGCTCGCCTGAGTTCTATTGCTCGAACGAGATCCTGTCGATCACAGCCCTGCTGTCGGTCCCGCAGATCTTTGTTCGCCCTCATTCTCAGCGGAAACGAGCGGATGAGATGAAGAATCTCTTTGCTCACCCGGATGGGGACCATTTGACCCTTTTGAATGTCTACCATGCATTCAAGAGCCCCGAAGCACAGGCTAACCCGAAACAATGGTGTCACGACCATTTCCTCTCCCTCCGCTCTCTTCAAGCTGCAGATAATGTGCGTCAGCAGCTGCTACGGATCATGGAACGGGAGGAAATCGAGCTTGTTTCGACGCCTTTTGAGGATAAGAAATACTACGAAAACATCCGGCGCGCGCTGGTGGCTGGATTTTTCATGCAGGTTGCCAAGAAGGACAGTCAAGGGAAGAACATGTACACTACCGTCAAGGACAACCAGCATGTCCTTCTGCACCCTAGCACCGTACTGGGGTACGATGCGGAGTGGGTGCTCTACAACGAATTCGTCCTGACCACGAAGAATTATATCCGGACTGTCACGTCTGTCAAACCAGAGTGGCTCTTGGTAAGTCTCTTCGACACGCGCCAGAACCAAAAAAAAATCTCTCCTTTTTAAATTCTAACCGGTAACACTACAGGAAATCGCCCCGAACTATTACGACATTTCGACCTTCCCGAAAGGCGAAGTTCGCTCCGCCCTACTCCGTACAGCCGAGAGACTGGCTCGTAAGGAGAAGATGCGTGCTGACCCAGGCAAAAGACGATAGATAGACTTTGTCTCTCTTTCCGATCAGAGATGATTGGCAATGGTCTTTGCTTGGTTGTATTGATTTATTTATTTGTCTTCGAACAGTATACTGGTGTCATAGAAAAGTATTAGAGAGAAAGAAGAGAGATGCAGAATCTCATCTATCTTTACCGTCATCGTAATCGACCTACATACCTACTTACTTATTCCATTTCTTCTCATCCATCTATCTGTTGTGTCTACCTATATCAATACCTAGTAGCGTAGTGGTGGTCAGTCAGCTACATGCGTACAACACACCCTATGCCCCCTACTCCGTACAGCGGCGTCGTATTTTTGCTTGAATTTAGAGCGGGCTTGCTTGCCTGCCTAAGCGAACTTATCTGTCTAGATTGGAACAATATTCAATACAAAAACATCTAGAGATGGGAGGACAGTGCAAAAAAATTCAAAGTCGTAACTTGTTCAGCCTCCACATACATGGCAAAAATAAATTTATGGCGACGTGATACCCGAACTCTATGCCTAAGATAAAGAACCATTCACCATATATATATACATACAGAGCTGTAGAAAAGAAAAAGGAAGTTTTTTAAAGAAAAATATAGGGCAGAAGTGGAAAAAAGAGTCAGTCATTCATCAATGTGGGGAGAAGAACAAACTCATTCAGTCAGGATCAATGGTCAAAACGTCATGCAAATAATACAAGCCTCCTGTCTGGAGCAGTAGTCAAATCACGAGACGGGTTCCGTTGCGTTGCCGGCCTTCTGACTAGGAGGGATGAACTCAGCAGATTGATTATCCATCTTCTTTTGGGACTCGGCTCGCAGACCCTTGCTGCTGCGACGCCGGCGATATGCAGCCAAAAATCGGGCTCTTGCGCTGTTCACGGATACTTCTGGCGTGCGAGGCTTCGACGCGGCGTCTTTTGTCGTCCCCCGCATTGGATAACCAGTCTTGATTCCAGGAGCTCCTGGCCCACCTAATGACTCTTGTTGAGAAACAGTTTGCATGTGCGCTTCTGATCCAGAGTCCTTCCTGCCCTCTTCTGACTTGTTCGAAGCAGAAATCTGGTCAACTACTCTCCTCAATCGGGCCATCTCCTCCTGCAGAGCTTGCAACTCTTCACTTCGGGAAGATCTTGAGTCAACCTTATCTGGCGACTGTATACCACCTGAGGGAGGTTGTATGTCGGTGGAGTGACGCCCACTCTCCGTCTTTCCTTGATTATCAATGAGCATTGTGGAAAGCACATTTCTCGAATAACTCTTTACAAAACCCTGACGTAGCTGCTTGTCACCCGCAACAGCGGTCAGCTCCGTGATTTTTTGTGTAACCAGAGCAGTGAATTCATGGCATTTTTCCGAAATGGCCTTGTTATTGCTGGCGAAATTCGCCGCTTCTGCAGCTTTCTGCCACCGCTGAAAGGCTGGATCAAACTCCGACGAAATATCTGTTTGTTTGAAAGCAGCCTTCCAGTCAAATCCACTGCGGACAGCGGCGTCAATCAATGCAGCTGCGACGTCCTCTTTGCCGCATGAATCGCAGAAATGCACCATATGCACAATAAGCCGTTCAATTCGCTTTTCCGGATGGGACGTGGACGACGTCATGAAAGCTAGGGCCCTCAACAGAGTATGAAGTCCACTTTCCCAGTCTTTTCGGACGGTGTAGAACCTCAAAAAGGCACAGAGGGTGCTAAAATTATCCAGGAATCCAGTCGACCGCCAGACTTGAAGCCAGGCCTCAGCTCTATCGGCCTGGTCAAAGCGCAGAGCAGCAGCAATCAAGGTGCCATAAATCACAGGGTTGCAGCTGGCTTGCGGAGGGACGGTGATCTCCACGCCGTTGACGACTTTTTTCTCATATAACGTCATCGACCGCAAGTTGACCGGGTATGCACCTTCTCCTCGAAGCATTTGGAGGAATTGGTCAAAATCTTTGAGATTCTTCGACTTGCGGAAATAGGTCAATGTGGAAATGATCAAGGGCGTGGTTAACTCGAATAGGTTTGGTAATACAGCTCGCAGTACCAAGTCAACTAGGTCGTTCTGACGAGTTTTAGTGAATGCCATGATCATTAATTGGAACGCTCTTGGGCGATCTGGATCCTCGCTAGAAATAAGGTTGTTCGATATTCTCAACAGGAGCTCAGGGAGGGACATTTCCTTGTTGAGATATAGGTTGATATCATTTTGGAGCTCAGCATCAAGTCTGTCACGCTGAGCCCGCAGTTCATGATATTGTCGGATGTGAATATCTTGGGCCAAATCATCATAAGGCTCCTTCTCTGAATACTTCAGAGCACGGAGTCTCCGGCGGATAGAGTTGAGTTCGCTGAGGAGCTCTGACGCACTGAATTTAGGCAGCGAGAAGTCTGCCGCGTAATCCATCGGTAACCCAGTATAATTATGAGCAATGACTGGACGGAGCAGGAATCGGATAGCGAGCTGCTTTAGTGCCAGTTTCTGTATAGCTTTGATTCGAAGGATATCCCCTGTCGCCCATGAAAAACCATGGTCAGGTTCCGAGGCGCCTTCATGGGTGTTTTCGGCATAGTCGAACAATGGATCTCCTTCTTCTAAGTCGGAGCTTGAAGAATTGGGATCTTCTAAGACCTGATCGTGGTATCCAGCAGCAACCAAGGGATCAGACCCTTGTGCTCCATATCTCTCGGCTTGGGAAGCCTCTAGACGTCGTGCGGTGGTGCTTAAATGTCGTATCTGCAATGGTCGATAAGCAGGTTTCCGGGATTTTCGTGAAGCAAGAGCCTCCAGAAGTCGATTTTCTTCGTCCACCAACTGGTTTACCTCCTCTTTGACAGCCGCAATCTTCTGTTCCCACTCGAGCCGTCGTTTATCCTTGGCCTTTGCGTCTGCCAAAGCGGCGCCAGCGAAGATGCTGGAGTACAATGCTGTCACCGCATTTCCAATGCGAAGGCGCCGACGGGCCGCAGCCGTCGTAGTTCGTGAAGCGACTCCATTGGCGACGGTCCTCAGACAAGAGACGCAGCGGCAGGTGGACGACGACTGAGCCGCGCGAGACCAGAGACCCTGCATTATCTCACCATTGCTGCGCAGAAATCAGGGATTAACGGGGTACGAGTATCCAATGCCCAATTTGAAGGTCCAAAATGGGCACCGAAGCTCTCCAGGAAAGGGCTGAGGCCGCAAGAGGCTGATGCGGTGTCGGGAGGGTTGGATGTTGAATTATTTTCGGCGGTTCTGCGGAAAGGTTGGACGATTGCCCGACCCGCACGCTGCATACAGTGCAAACAAGCTCCTTTTCGGGAGATCTATTGGGGAACATCACAGCAGCTAATAGCCCTCAATTGTGCACTGCAGTGTTTCTGGACTTCAGTTTGTTTGTTTAGTAATTCCTAATTATCAATATTATCAGAATCCACCGTATCCAGAATGTCGTTGAGAGTCTTTGGCATCATTGCAGCTCTGCTTGCTTTAATCAGCGTCGCAAGAGGCCACGGTTCACATCAGAATACGCAAGATGTGGCAGGGGAGACGGATTGGGCGACGAGACACATGCGAGGTAAGCAATTGTTCTAGTTTGCGTTTGCTGTCTTTTCAGTCTGGGCTGGTATAGCTAAGCAGAATCCCTTCGACAGAGGAGCATCATATCGATTCCTTCGACGCGGGATCGTTCTTCGCACTCCACGACTTTGATTCCTCAGGAACATGGACGCCCGATGAAATCCGCAAAACCTACGGAATGGATGACCCCTCGAATGCCCACGTTACAGAACAACAGAAGCAGGATGCGGTGCGGCAAGTGTTGGCGCTCTTTGATCCGTTGAACACGGGCAGCGTCTCCCGCAGCGACTGGATGCGCCTGGTTACGGCCGGCAAACGACTGCCGGACTTTGGCTTCGGACCGGGTCACCACGGCGATATAGAATATGAGTACGAGATCCATCACTTTGAGAAGTACCACGGAGAGGACGCCAAGGAGGAAGATCTCACGCACCCCGAAGACATTGAGCACTTCCGGCAGCACGACGAGGCGGAGAGAGCGGAGAAAAGACTGGAGCAGCTCGAGAGGATGCAGATCGTCGAGGCAAATATTCCCCAGAAGTTCCTCAGGAGTTCATGATTTTGTCTTTCGACTTGTTCGTTGGGATGTTGCTGTACATAGGGACAAGGAACAGTGTTGCGATGTTTATGCATGACTGTTTTTGATTGATCATTGGAAATAAGTAAATTGACTGACACGTGTCACCTATCTCACTATCTTGGTTTCTCGAGGTACACATTGTTCTGTGATATACCAAATCCCGCCTTCCAGCTGTTTGGTTGTCTTTGAATAGACACGAACAAAAGTGAGTATCTCATTCCTTATATACAAATTGCTTAACCTTTTACAATTGCCTGCATGCCAAACTTTGGCTCAAGATCGTCAGATATGTTAGGACTCCCAACCCGTAAGTGCCGTATGTGTTACTATCAGCTGTAACCAGCATCAAGAATCTGGGGGCGTGTGCCTAGAAGTGATCAAGCTAGGTCGAGACGGGCACGTAGAATCCCCTCTTCTAGGCGATCGAAGGGGGATTGTTCTAGTAAGGCTCCTGCCCGCCAAAAAGAACGAGGCGTGGATTTTCGTAGCATCCTCCTCGACTGAGAAACCTCACTGAGGGTGTGAGCATTTTATATAGGCCCGTTTTCTGTATCCATTGGTAAGGCTGCTGTCATTTTTTATGATGGAGTCACCGCATCTCCCTCAGAATCGAAGGAGATCTCAATATCATAGACACAATGCATGACTCCTGGAGCATAAGTTTTGACACGTTCTATGTGATGACACGCAATCGAATTCGCCCGAGGTGATGTGGCTTTCTCATCCACGATAACGCTCAATCGCCTGAACTCGTCCAGAATATATTCCCTCTTCTCGTCGATCTGTCGAATGTCCACATTCTCATGCACATGGACCCAGCCACCATGTCTCCGGTCCAGCAACCGGTAGGCATTTTCCCAGGCCGGCTGTGATGTGGGCAGCAGACCCAAGTTCACATGCCGGATCCTGTTCCAGGACTTTCTTTCTTCCAGCATCACCCTGATCCTGTCTAAAATCTGTGCTGCAAACTTGTTGTCTCCGTGGAAGACCACGACCCTATCGGTATCCCTGAGCCCGTCAACAAGAGTTTGATACCCTCCTTGCAGCGTACCGTCATCGTTGACAGAGACAACCTTGCAGTTCCAGCCATTCTCCACGCAACCGCGTCGCAAGCCCTCGACGGACCATCCATTAATATCCCAGCCCCAGACTCGCTTCACGCCTCGTTTGAGGTAAGAGAATACAAAGTACCCGATCCCCGCGTACATGTCTACAACACTGATGTCCTGGATCCGTTCACCTTTCAGTGAAGCATCATCCAATCCATCGAACCGAGTTCCCTGGCCCAGAATGCGGGCCTTTTCCGTGATGTTTCCCCGAGAAAACATCGTATAGAGAGGCGCCCAGGTCTGCACGATCCCACCGTTCTGTGTTGTGCGCACCCAGAATGCCTTGTCGAAATCTTCCTTGACTGGTTGGGTCTGCGTCTGCGTCTGCATCTCACCCTCACCTGAGATGGTCCTGTGTGATCGTGGAGACAGGCCAAAATCGCCGTACAAGGGAAGCAAGCCCGTTGGGCTTCGCATTCGGTTCTCGCTGCCACTTTCATCCGTCGGTGCGATCGGCGCATTGATTGCAATATGGGTCACACCCATGTTACGGAAAGACGCAACTATCGATTCGTAGAGTTTATGCCGTTCGCCATCGTTCAGCGAGTCATAGACTGAGGCCCACGTTGGGGAAGATGTGAATGCATTTGCAGGCAGAAGAAGCAGAGGCTGGTAAATGGTGTAACGTTTGGGAAGAGATGCTACCAGCCCCTCGGGGGACAGGCCATGGGATGAGAGCACGCTTGGGGACGGGTTGTTCTGGATGAAGTCGCTAATTGCCGCTTGAAGGGGGTTCAGATTCTTTTTTGGCGGCCGTTTGGGTCTTTTCTCGGAATTGACAGGGCGCTGTCCCTGCTCTTGGTCGACTGGTGCATCTTTATCGTTTTGGGTTCTATCCACGGAATCCATTGATGTCACCAAACTGAGTTTGATGTCCTACATCAGGAGTGACCTCCGTTGAAGGTCTTGAAGGCGGGTTGGGATTGCTGCGATCGAATTGGCAGCAAAGATAGAGAAACCATTAAAGAGTAAAGAAACAGTGTTGCTAAGCGACTGTCACAGTTCCATAACGCGTGAAATGACGATAAGAGTATTTAGGCCGGCATTTGACAATATATCGAGGTTGTATTCAAGTTATTAAGTCCGGACCCGAAAACTCTGTATGTTGAAGCGGGGTTCCACTTGCATTATATTGTTTAAAAAAACAAACAAGGTAGTATCCTGATGTATCACTTGATATTTGACCTCGTTAATGAATTTATCTCACAAGATTTTCGTTGTAAGATTAGTATATACCGTCGAGTTGGATTTCTAGAGGGACAGGTACAGAACGTCATGCGTCAGAGGATTTTATTGGTTTGTGGATAAGCGTTATCTAATCTGATACATCTCTCTTTTGAGTCTTTGACTAACAATACCTTTAACTTAATACTACTGAGAACTACTGGATAGAGTAATGCGCCTCTGAGGCATCTATACCCTTATCATATAGTCCATACAAGGTCAAGTGGGCTAAAGTCAGTCGACACAACTATATATTCTTTTGAAACAGTAAGGAACTATTGGTTTTTTCACTTGTAGTCTCTCCAATGTTCTCAGAAGCTATTATGGTGTTACCTAGATACTATCTTATGGCCTTTGCATTGAGGGTAAAGATAGGAGAGATATTAATGATGCGTCTTCACTAGGCTAGTTCGATCTTTCGTTACATAGCCTTTTCTACTAGTATACACAGATATTACCTCTATTATATCGTTACATCGGAGTCCAAGTGTATCCAGGCCCCTTCTGGACAGTAATTCTCTGAGGAAGCCACTTGCTCACTCCCGATCATTTGACGTCTGTCGTTTTCGATACCCACCTTCGAGCGTGTTCCACGCCCACTGGTAGCTTCCCAGGAAAATGGCACCGCCCAGGGCAATCGCCGTGACTCGCGGGCCAATTCCTCTCCAAAAAGCTTCGAATCCTTCCTCCTTCATAATCCGGCTCACTACATCTTTGACCCGGACCTGATTTGCATCGCTTTCTCGTCTCTCGAGCATCACTCTCGTCTTGATGACATCCAGTGGCGTTGTCAGTCCGGCGGCAATGCCACCAGCAAGACTTCCAAAAAACGCACTGGGCGCGGCCGGAATCTGGCCGAAAGTGGTCACTTCAGAAGACCGACCCCATCGGGCGTACTGATTCTTCATCGCTTCCCACAAGGTGAACTGCAGGACAGTAAAGGGAATCTCCCGGGCGATGGTGATCCCGGTACCGCGATAGAGTTCGCGGATGACCCGAACGTACCCTCTTCCACTCAAGCCATTCGACTTATCGTCCTGATGACGCAGAGAGAGTATATCCGTCAATGCGTGAAGTGAAGAACCACCAAAGAGACCAGCCTGGGCGCGCTGCTTCACCACTTCCGTCGGCACTCGCACCGCACATGCAGCGATTTCCCCAAGTGACGACGCCAGAGAATGGGTGAGAAACGTTTCCATCTTGGTCGGCTGCTTTCCTGACGATAAGTCGGACGGGAGAAGGGAGCGCTTCACACCGTCATAGACGATGAAGAAGAATGCTGCCGAGGGAGCAGAGCCAAGTATGACTGAGGGTACGCCGGCGTAAATCCCACGGATGGTCTGACGTAGGGCGGGCAAGGAAGTTTTCCAGACGGGCTTGCCGGAGGACGCTGAGGAGGTGCCAGGTACATTCTGTTGGCCTTTCTGGAGGCGGGTCTTGATCGTGTCGAGGGGATACAGGGACAGGTCGACCGTGAAGCCTGCGATGGCACCGGACTAGAAAAAAAAAGCACGTGAGCGGTGTTCGTGAGGGGTTTTGTTTGCACATTCATTGAATACATACGAGAAGCGACCTAGCCCATGGAGAGGAGACCAATGGCTCCGGCGCAGGCTGATCGGCCGCCATTCGATCGGTTTGCGGGAAAGAGAAGTTGTAGTAGGAAGTAGGAATTCGTGACTCTATCGAAGCGTCATGTCCGTTGGATTCCCCAGACAATTTCTTCTCCCAGTTTTATATGATGAACACGAAAATTTCCTCAACGCAAGTTCGTGGGTAAATAATAGAAAACAATGGCCTGCAGCAATGGTACGTCTTGTTGCTCAGGAAAAGTTTGCGGTCATCCTCGTGCCTCAAATGACTGTCCCGGAAGCGCGAATCTGAGATCACCGCAGCGGCTAAACTCCGAGATCTCCGGTATCGCAGCCCCAAGCTCCCATCGGATTGCACGGATTACAGTCTATAGGACTTCACTTTATAACCAATCTCTCTAAAAATATGTCACATTCGCAATTTGATTATGTATCTCTATCTGACATTATCAAAAGGTAATATTCACATTTGGATCTGCTCTGCATGCCATCATGCGAAACCAAGAATAGCACCCATCCCACTTTCTCAGGGAAATCAAAAGTTTGGTGAATGCAGAATCAGTAAAAGGGAAGATTAATAAAAGCAATATTTTCAGTACGGAAAAGGGCATGGTCGAAGACAAAAAGAAAAAAAAAAGTAAGATAGAAAAGAACAAACTCGTGACAGCATACATGACGAGTAAGGTCTTGTAGAATCGAGGCGGCCTCCCGGCAGTAACCCTAGCACTCAAGAACCCATAACTAGCAAATGTGGGCTTAAGCAACTGCAACAGAGCGTGGCACTTCGATATCTGGAAGCCAGTCCATGGACGATGACAATCGATCCTGAACAGAGTCTTGCTCTGCAGATTCGACGCGTTATCCGTTCACGCAACGTAAACCAAACCGTCCCTAGAAGTCTGGGATGAGAAGAAACGGCGGCGGAATAAAAAAAAAAGACGCCCCAAGAAAAACCAAGGGCAAAAAAAGAAGAAAACAAATTCTGACTTCAAGTCGACAATCTCGAAGTGAACCACAAGCAGTCTAGGATAAAGATCCATCTATGACGCAGCAGAATCGAATCGAAAACACCCCGTTAAATCAGGCCAGACCACTCGATTTCCTGTACTTTTGCTGAACGCAAGCCCCGAACGCCAAAGAATTAGAAGAATCCCCCTTCATGAAAACAATGAAGGCCAAACACCTATTTCGAAGCATGGGGTTGGAAGGACCAAGTCCAGTCGATACACGAGAGAATAAGAGGGACGTATGACCAGGATAGGGCATAATGAAGTATGTGGAAGTATGTGCGGTCCGACAATGGTAGGTCGACAGCTTCCGAGAGAAAACGAGAAGACTTGACTCGGATCGAAGGCGGCGATTTCTTTGCACAATGGCACACCGAAAGGGGGAGATGGTATGGTTATAGAATGGTAATACTTTATTTGGCCTTACTTTGAACTGGGACGCTCGGAGTAGGGGGCTCGGAGGATATGAGTATGATTGGTTGCCTTGACGATGGCGCCCGACTCCTCCTGTCGGCACACTTGGATGCTTTGAATCCAGTCATCCAACAAGATCTCCTCAAGAGTCGCGCGTTCCTTGGGATTCACTTTTAGCATGCGGCCGATGATATATCGGCTTTCCCGCGGTAAGATGCGTAATAATCGCCAGGGCCCTTTGATAACTTCTTGACGCTGCCCCGTTGTAGAACCCGGTGGCAGTGGGGGGGCTTCTTTACTAGTCGTCTCCGGTTTGGACTGGCGAGAAGGAGACTTCTGGGGTGGTTGCGTCGGTTGCTGGGGTTGGGGTTGTTGAGGTTTGGATTGCTGAGGTTGGGAGGGCTCGGGTTGAGAGTGTGGTGGTGGCTCGTCCCTTGTCACCGGTTCTGACCGAGGGAGTCTATTACTCTGACTGTCGTGATGGTGATGATGGTGCGATTTCTGTTGCTCCGCACTATCGGCTGCGTCGCCCGAAGCCGCAACGGCCTTCGCCTCTTTCGCCATGGACTGGAGGTCGGCAGTAGACTTGGGTCGCTGATCGGTACGACGTCTAGGCTCCGCGTCGGGGACAGGGGTACCTGGGGTGGGTGGGGAGACAAAGAGCTTATAGGAATTGTCCGTTATTCTGGGCTGCTTCCAGGGGAAGCGGCGGAGCGTCATGCAGCAGAAAATGATTGCCAGGGACCATATATCGGTGGGACGAGGATCGTATTTCTTCTCATCGTATACCTCTGGAGCGAGATAAGGATCTGAACCCACGATACCTACAGCCATTGCCAGTCAGTTGAGGGCAGTCCTGATCTATGGGAATGCAGTTGTCTTACCGGAAGCCAAAACAATATCGTTCTCGAAAGGGTACCGGAAAACCACTGCGCTTCCGAAATCAATGAGCTTCATGATCCCATGCTCGTTGACCACAACATTGTCCAATTTCAGGTCCCGATGCGCTAAGCCCATCCCATGGAGATAGGCGACTCCGCTAAGAATCTGCTTGAAGGCACACGCGATTTCTTCCTTGGTCATCTTGCCCGTCATGACGATCGCAAACAGGTCATACGGTGCGTATTCCATGACCTCGTACCAGTGACCACCTTCTTGGATGATGTCCAGGGTCTCGATGATGTTTCCATGATGCAAGGTGGAACCGATACAGAACTCCGCTGTCACTTTTTTGGAATACTCCTTCTCTGTTTCCCATGAATGACGATCGCGGAATTGTTTCACAGCAAAAGTGACACCGTCACTGCTGCGTTTCAACAACCGTACCGAACCGCCTGCACCTGATCCTAGAACCTTTCCCAGCTTTCCATACTTGGATTGTAGACCGTGATCATCGGCAAAGGGAACGTTGGATGGAGCCATTTGATACGGAAGGGTCTTGCCCGATGACTTGCTTGATTTTTTGGAGGCAGTCGAGGGAGAGTCCCCCCGCTTGTGCTTGTGGTGACCCATCCGGAAAAATCGCTTGAGCTCCGCCATCGACCCATGAGCCTTACCCTCCAGACCGCCGTCATGATTATTTCGATCCTTGTGATCCTTGTGATCCTTGTGATCCTTCTTGCTGCCGAAGAATGAAGACCGTTTGTCGGTGGGTGATTTCAAATCCCCACTAGTCGAACGTGGCGCTGACGTAGATAGCGACGTGGACGAGTGGTGCCCTCGCCGTTTCGAGTCGATCCCACCGAAGATAAATCGCTGATCCAACTGTGACAGATTTTTGGGTGGAGGGGGCCGCTTACTCCGAGCGTAAGGATCGTTTGGTTCGCCGACGGGGGTCATTGCGCCCGGGATGACGGCAGGCGGTGGTCCGGCTTCGGGTTTAGGCGTTAGTGGAGGACTGTCATCCTGCGAGCTTCCATCGGCCGAAGGACCCAAAAAGAATCGGGCTTTCTGCTTGTCGTGATCTCGCGCAGGGGCTGAACCTTCGGACTGGCCGCTTCGTTTCGTAGTTAACTCAGACGAATTGGGTTCGGGGGCGGGAGCCGGAGCAGTAGGTGGAGGAGGTTGTTTCCCAGAAGATGAAGCTGGGTCCGAGGTTTGAGGGGTCATGACGGCTTGATCGGCTGGAGCTTTATCAAATACAAGGGCCGGAACGGATGCATTGTCAGTGGACTTGCTGTCACGCGAATGAGTGGCAGCTGGGGTAAGCGGGGGTGACTGCATGATGGATACTGGCGGAGAGACGCGGGGCGACGTGTTGCCAGAGACAGTGTTCTCGTGGGAAGTGCTGGGACTGGGCTCCTTGGATGTGACCTGCACGGATGCATATCAGCGAACGTTCGCACCGCCGCGACCATGGAAGCCTGATCCTGTAGGACTTTGCCGGGAAGATAATCGAAATGCCACGTGAACTGTACGTACCCTGGAGGGAGGTAGAGAGACGGGCTCAAACGCAAAATGACGTAGCCGCGATTCCTGAAGCTGCGACTTCTGCAGGCTGACGGCCAGGGACCGCAGCTCGTCTTTTGCACTTGGTTCCAGATCGTTGCTAATGGGTCGGGCCTCTTCCTCCTGGCCTGAATCTGGGGAGAATTGCAACTGCATTCTCGGGTCCGGGTCGATTTCCTCGTTCACCGAGGCAAAGCGGACAGCGTGCGGATGCCCCGCGGCCGGCTTGGAGTCCGAGTTGGCCGAGTCATGGACAGCGGAGGGTTGCGCCGGGGGGTCCTGCTTCGCCGGTTGAGATTCTAATAGTTCCGATGGAGAGATGACGTGGTTAGTGGGCATTATTCTGAGGATGGATCAGGATGCCCGGAGCGGTCTCACCTGGTGCTGCTGCCATGTTCTCTGCGCGGGGAACGGAAACGGCAGCGTCAGAAGTCATATCCGTTCAGAGAGGTCACAAAAAAATTTGCGGGAGCTGCAGCCACAATGGGCGGACATGCGTTCCCCGCGTTCCTGCTTGTCGGAATGCCACTACGCCCGGACGGATGGTTGATCAGGCAGAAGAAAACGCTGAGGAGAAAGCAGAGGGCGGACACGGCGCAGCAACGCCTCGAGCGTCTTCTTCAGAGGAGCGGGTCCAGGCTGGGTTAGAAGGACGTCTGAATTGGAGAAAAAGGTTGGAGGACTAACAGCGGCCACAGTCCCGCACTGCTACCGATTGAGGGCGAGTAGCAGAGGCGGCAGCAGCAGCCATGGAAGAGCAGTCGCTGAGCACACAGATGGAAGATAAAGCTAAAGCGCTGCGGGCAAGACTGAGATGGCGGAGGCAAGAGATGAGGAGAAACGAGCGGTAGGACTGTCGACGACAGTGACCGCCCACCGGCCGGTCTTTCTGGGCTTCTGGGAGCGGTGGGGATGATGTGCCACGGCCCATTTGTCTGGTTGCGCGCACGATCAGGCGTAGTCCGGCAGGCCGAGGCCGGCAGGCCGTTAGGCGCCTTGGACGGGCGACTACTGCCCTGCAGCTGGGGCTGCAACCTCACTATTGACGACTATCCACGCCAGTGATCGTGCGCGAATCTCGATAGGCATGCCGGTGCCCGTGCCCGCGCCGTCAAGCGTTCATTTGGCCACCGATCGTAGTTCATCACTACTTCATCAGTCCATCCAAGCCCGCCCGGAAGCGCCGCATTAGTGGCCCGGCACTTCACCGGGGCCGCCAACCACCCTCGAGGAAATAATAACTCTATTACTCTGTGCAGCATTTATCACTGAGACACTTGGGCAGGCGTGAATCGCTGCTTGTCTGTCGGTATCGTACGGGGCCCCGAGCAGCGTTGCTCTCTGACCCTGGGCCCGACCGAGAGTGATGATTTTTTGCTGCGCTATTACTCACTGCCGGAATCTCGCGGCTGCACATTGCACGTGCCGTTCCGGAAACCGCTGCGATTGACTCCGTATTATTGCTCGAGTAATTAACCTTTTTCGCCGTCTGGGAAGTTGGACGAGACGGATTTTCCTGGCTCGACCACTCCGCGAACCGCTCTCCCTTGCCTCTATGCTCTCTGCTTGTACGAGGCATCGTCGTCCGCGTATCTGGCGCTGTCATGTGAGCATATACGGCCGTCTTTCCCGACTCCGCGATGAACTCCCCGCAGTTGTGCAGTTGCCACCTGCATGGAAGGTTGGTGAACGGCTACGTCGGTTCCGGCGGCTCGGTCGGCTCTCGTCCGATAACAGAAAGCATTTGCACCTCGCTATCAGTCTTGTGTTACAGCCTAGCTGGAGAGATTAAATAATACCTCCGGAATGCACCACTCATCCTTGACATGTGAACCCCGCTGGCCAGCCCCAAGGACGCCACCAACCTTACTCCATAGTCACTGCTGTAACTGAATAATAATAATAATAATAAGACTGGTTATCTATTATCAGCGATGCCAGCCAGTGAAGACGGTTACTTATTTAGGCAGGAGCCAGTGACGGTTGTAGGATAGTCTGTTTTCCACGTGAAACGAGCCCTTCATCGGATCTATGAGCGTCATCTCAGGGTAACCGCAAGACCTAACACTGTCATTCTCGGAAGTAGCAACCACGGCAGCTGCGAATTGAGCCGCGTTGTCAATGACTCTCGGCAGGGCTATACTGGAGCCACCAAATGTGGAGCTCGACATCCAACAGGTCAAGAAATCTACAAAACAAATCAAGAAAAAAAATTAGGTCAACAGTTCTCAAATTGAGGTCTATGCTTTATACATATATGCTTTTGTGCTGGTAGCCACTTTATTTAAACTTTTGCACATGATGCAGCTGCCTGTGCTACCTCGAACGGAAGACGCCGATAACATACGCGACTGAGGAATAAAAGTGAGCATAGTCTTAGCATCTGAAAGAGAGATGCAGTCATTGCAGGAGCCATACTGCCCAATGACAACTGGAATTGCCCATTTCATGGAGGATGATGACGCGGATGCAAAGTTTCTCAACAGAGATAAAACAAGAAAAGTACATGTACATGTGCATACAGTCCGCTCACCCGCATGCTGCGTTATATAGTACAGTGTAATCAGAATCCCAACACCATCCCAAACGCCAACGCAATGGATCGAAGATAGTAACGAAATCTCTTTCAGGGAACGACCTGGATGCCGATGGACTTCGCCTGTGCAATAATGCTCTTGCACAACCCTTTAAGGCTCAACCCCGATAGTCTCGTTTCGGATTGCTTGATCCTGGCAATCTCATATACGTGTTTCAGAGAGACGGTGCCGATGACTTCGTGGCCAGGATTCATAGCACCGCGGAGCCGGCCTTTGCGCTCCTCCACTCCCGCAGCCCTGAGCAGGAGCCATGACGTGGTCGGAGTGCGCAGTTCAAAGGTAAAGGAACGATCTGGACGGACCGTGACTCGCGCAGGAATTGGGGTGCCCGGTTGAATGTGCGCAGTTCTTGCATTGAATTCCTGTAGTTCCCGTGGCCGGTTAGCCGGCGTCCATGCCATGGAAACAGACAGCCATGGGAGTGTATATTAACTTGCCTTGCAAAAGTCCATGCTTTTCACACCTTTACTTCCCAGGGCTGGACCAACTGGAGGGCTGGGACTGGCCTGTCCAGCTCCCACAATGAGTTTCACGATCTGGTCCTTAGCTAGTGCTTTGCGAGCCATGGCTGGTTGGATCGAAGACGGCCGTCGTTAACTCCGCTACTCAGGGAGTTTAAAGCACAGAGAAGGGAAGCAATGGCTCGAATGCAGAGCGCAGGACAGGGCCTCTTGATATTGACGGTCAGCCTGATTCGGGAAGTTTTCTCTCTCTGCGGCGGATCGGAGGCGGAGACGCGATAATCCGCCGCCGAGAGCCACCGCTACGCGCCACACCTCGGGGCTCTCGTGAGGCGCAAGCCTCATCAGCAAATGAGCAAACGAGGGTGGGCCCAGGCAGTTCACATCCATGGAGCCGGTGGACGTCATCCGAGAGGTTCAGGGCTGAGATTATCAGCTGGGCGTCTCCAACAGTACCTTCTCTCATACAATTAAAGAAGTAGACTTCGGGACAGCTGGTGGACGGCATTGGCGACCTCAGGTCTGTCCGCAAACAGGCTGCGATCGCTGTGGTTCGCGCTCAAATCGGCCAAGCGTCGCCGGACCAAACTCGGTCCCGCACGGGTTCTTCCCACGATCCCAAACTATCAATCAGCTTGTTCTCCCCTCTTTCCCCCTCTCACACACGAAATCAACGTTATCTGTCCCGCAACCATGAACTGGCTCAAGCAGACGTATGCTCTTGTTTCTTTTCTTCTTCTTCGTTCTTGGTTGTAACACAGGTTGCTAACGAGGGCTGTGAAATCAGTTTGGCAAACGTTGCGGGCACGCAGGAGCCTATCTATGGCCCAGATGCCATCCAATCCGTCTCCAGGCAGGCGGAGACCACTCCCTACACGGAGCTCAAGAAGGAGGATCTCAAATGGCGGGCTCCTCAGTATACGTCCGTGGAGACTCAGACCTTCTACGTGATGGCCGACAATGGCGGCTTGGCCATGCTCCAGGTCATTTACAGCAATGTTGCGTAAGGAACCATTGGAGACGGTGTGATCTCAAGGTCAGGTACGCTGACTTTGAGAGCACAGAGGCCTCCATACTACCTGCTCGTTCAACTCTAAGATCTTTTCCGTTAATGCCGATGCCCCGCATATCTGGCACACGGACACGCTCTACAACCACCTCTTCGACCCCGACATGTATTCCTTTGGCGCCGACAACCTCGCTCTGACCTTGAACGAGGAAGGCACCGCGTACACCATCAAGTCGGCGGTCAATGAGGACAGTCTGGTGAACCTGACATTTACACGGCAAGCACCTGGCCTCGTCATCGGTAAGGATGGGACTTCTTATTTTGGGACTGACCCCGAGAATCCTTGGGGCTCTATGCGGCATGCTTTTTGGCCGCGTTGCTCCGTGGAGGGCACCATCATCACCAAGGAAAAGACCTATGACTTTAAGGGTCGTGGCTTCTTCGTCCATGCCCTACAAGGCATGAAGCCCCACCATGCTGGTAGGTTATCATCGTGCAAAGCGCTGGCAAAACAATACTAAATACGCCTCCAGCGGCACGGTGGAACTTTGTCAACTTCCAAACCCCCACATATTCGGCGTTTATGATGGAATTTACGACCCCTCCTTCGTACGGCTCGACCGTTGTCAACGTGGGAGGCATCGTGAAGGACGGAGAGATCGTCTATGCCGGTGCAACGAACTCAGCCACCCATCTGGAATCTGCTCAGGATACGGAGAACGACTGGCCGGAGCCCACGTCTGTGAGGTTCGTCTGGGATGGAAAGACGAAAGACGACAAGGACTTCCATGCTGAACTCGAGGGGTCGCTTGGGAAGAGGCTCGACCGGGTCGACGTGATGGCAGAAGTGCCAGGGTTCGTCAAAGCCATTGTTGGGAGTGTGGCAGGGACTAGGCCTTACATCTATCAGGTGCGTATCATGTTATTTAATAATCTCATCTCGTATATTGTAGTGTCCACGACTAACATCACTTCAGTATTCACCTCAAGATAAGCTCACTCTTAAGGTGAAAGTCGGCGACACCGAAGATGCCGAGCAAGGCACCCTGTTTTCCGAGGCCACATTCATATCATGAAAGATGGTTTTTCTAAAGTACATATATACATACTAGAAAGATGTGGATTCCAGGGCCATTCGTTGATTGGCGTTGCGGGTCTTTTTTAAATCTGATCGTGATGATGACGATGATTTTCCTCGTCCGATCCTGAGGAACGGGATTTTTGCTTGAAGTATCTCCTTTTTTGAATCTTGGCTAAATATGACTACCAATTATTTAATATCAGATTTCACAAGTGAATTTATCTCAGAACTTGGTGACGTTTGAACGTTCTTCACGTCATTCAGTCTAGGCAAGTTGTCACTTTCGAGTGGGCTCCCATAATTCACTGAGGGAGTAGTGCCATGCAATGCTTTGCAATGTTTTCCTCAGCATTGGTCCGATCTCCACCTCGAATTGCAACTTCAAGTTCTTCAGACTTTCTTACTGTATTACAACCAACTTTCCTGGAAAAGCTCACTTCAGAGTTCAGATCATGCGACCAAACAAGTCTCAGTTCTACGTGGGCCAACGCCGACACCGGTGAGCAATTCTACTTATCGTGTCTACATACCAGCAGTCTTCTCGCCACTGCAAACGTTCTCTGGCGAATTAAATGCAGTGGCACAAGGCATCTCTCAGGCTGCTGACCTGTGTCTGTCTTTTAAGGAAGTTGCTCCGCGAATCTGTGCAAGGGATCAGTAAGTATCTGGACATACTGCCTTATTAGAGTGCTTAATAGGGCTGACAGCTCGATCTTTTCACAGCCAAACCCGCGATTCGGTATGTATCCCACAACAGGAGCACTCCCAGCTGCACTTTGTCCCTTCTGGCCCGTGGGGTTGTGATTCAGCAATGCCATTCTGCATCCGAGTCTAATTTCGCGTTCGCTTTTTCGTTGTGTACATTACAGAAGGCTGGCCAGACGTGGCGGAGTTGTCCGCATGAAGTCTGAAATCTATGATGAAATTCGCTCGGTTATTCGCAAGCGAATTACCGAGGTTAGCTTGTTTCCTATCGTTTTCCCCTGTCTCTTCTCTGATATATTCAATGTCTCCTTTCATGACAAGGATTAACGGAAGATGAATTAACGCTTGCTAGATCGTCGAACAACTCGTCGTTCTCGACTCAGCCACCACAAACGGCAAGACCAGGAAGGTATGTAGAAGTTCTGTTTTCTGCCCATCTGAGAGTCCAGCAATCAAGCAGCGAGGGGAGAACACCTCTATACACGATACTTCCCTTCTTTTTGCCTTGCCAATTCCATGTCGAATGGGTTTACCTGACTTATAACTTGAATAGACAGTCACGACCAGAGATGTAAGTGCAATTCATATCTAGCCATGCTGGCCATTTATTCCTCTCTTCTCTCTTTTTTTTATTTTTTTATTTTTTTTTGTTTTGAGAATAAACCATCATTTGCTAACTCGAACAATTTCTGCAACTCTCCAGGTCGTCTTTGTTTTGAACAGAGTAAGTTCTGTTATTTTATTATTTCCCCTACAAATCCATATCCATCATCCATATGCTCAAAAAAGGAGAATAAGAATGAATAAACACTGACATCTATTGTTATGAAACAATAGCTGGGCACTCCAGTTTGGGGCTTCACGCCAGTCTAACCTCCCCCGCTCGTGTTCGTCCTGCATCCATGTCCATCACACGAATGAATAACATGAGACGAGATGAATTGAAGAGTTCTTTTCTCAGAAATCTGTTGTTTGTACAGTACAGAAGTCAAGAGGGAGTTCACATTCTGTGTTGAAAAATCAGATGAGAAAGAATAATACTCTTCAGAATTCCACATTATGATTTATTTAGTCCTCAGTCCTTCATGGAGAAGCGAGTGAACAGACACATGACCATGATATGACGGGGTGTGATGTGCTGGCTGTAAGTCCGTCCAATTGATACTGTCGTAAATCAATCACCCTGCTATGACAGGCCAGACTCTTAAAAAGGAAGCTTGTGAGAAATAGACAGTAATGAAGGTGTCATATCATACGGTATCTGAACGAGAGAGATGGAATGTGTGAATGGATTTCGTTGTTTTTTCTTTTGTTATTGGACCTTAACAAAATCTGTTTTGTATGGTCATTTTGCTAATATTCCCCCCCTTCTTTTTTTTCTTAAAAAAAAAAGTACAATTGTGGGATATCTCTCCTAAATACTCAACACAAATATGTGCACAGAGAGCGTGCTAAACACAGCCAAGTATCCATCAAACCAGTCCAATCTAGCGAGGGACATATGGCTAGTCTCACTACTAGACAAATCTAGCAAGATAAAAGATGAATGTATGTAAGCGCAACCCATCTAGATCTAAGTTTAGTTTGACCCAGACAGATAGACGGACAGACGGACGGATGGGTAGATAGCTAGGTAGGTAGATAGATGGCAGAATAGACAGTAGACATCAGACGGAAGAGAAGGCGTAAGGCGTCATCATAACTCGTCATAAATCGTATCGTCAGAATATATGGTGTAATGTGTACTCGATCTCAGTCAGTCAGTCAGCCAGCCAGTCAGTCAGCCAGTCAGTCAGTCAGCCAGTCAGTCAGCCAGTCAGTCAGCCAGTCAGTCAGCCAGTCAGTCAGCCAGTCTTTCTCTCTCCCTCTATCACCTCTCTCAGCAGCGATCGGGCCCATTCTTCCTGCTTCTCAAACCCTTTGTTGAAGAACCAAGGGAGCAGTTTCACAGCGTGAGCATGATGCTCCTCTGCGAAAATCGGTCCGTCTAGCCGTCGGACACGGCAGATGGAGACGGCAGACTCTAACAGCATTCGACCGATCCCTCGACGGCGATAGGGCCGTTTGACGGTCCAAGCACGGATCACCCCCGTCAGTCGTCCTGACATGGAGGAAAAGCTGTTGCTTTGTCGGCGTCGAAGGGCGCGGATCCCGTTGGCTGAGGGCGCGCCGGATGTGAGAGCGTTGGTCCGCGCGGTCCTCAGGACCAAGACTCCGACAATCTCGTCCCCGTATTTGGTCAATAAAATCTCATCCTCAGCGGGTAGAAGATGATGGTGGTGGTGATGATGTTTGGCTCCGCCTGCGGATCCAGCTCCCCCATCCCCGTGATTGTTGCGCGACCATAATCCCTCCTTGAGCCAGGCAAAGGTGCTGACCGTTTCTGCCAGCTGGAGGTAGCCATAGGTCATGCGGTAGATTGCGATCAACGCTCCCGCCAAACACGCAGCACCGATTGCTGCCACGATAGGCGCAGTCCCAGGATGGTAGTACGCATAGCGTACCAGAATGGTCAACACAAAGAGAGCGAGACACAGCACGGCTGGATGGAAGACAATACATCGAACAGCGAACCAGCGCTGTTGCGCCACGCTGTCGGCAATCAGACGAAGCGCTTCACGTCGATCATCGTCCGTGGTTGCGTGATACGTCCAGGTTGGGGATTGAGAAGACGAAATATGCGTAGGAGAGTGGGTAAGGTCGGCATCTTCGGGATCACTTGGGAGAGATGCAAGCGAAGGAAGATCGCCCGTGGTACTAGGAGGATGCAGCGGTGTTACAGGATAAAGGCAGTCGGGGGTGGTGGCCAATGACCCGGAATTGCTGAAAGAATTCACGTCCTCGAAAGGGATTTGGAGGTTTGCGCGGAGAGAAGAGAGGAAAGCTAGAATATTGTCAGCCCAGACAGGTCAAAAAAAAAGAGCAGAAAAATAACAATAATCAAAAGCGAGAAAAAAATACGAGCGTGATCCAATTGCAATGTCAACATAAATCTATATCGGTACAGATCCATAGAGCTCACATACTTAGAACAAAACAACAAATAAAGTAGTAGTAAAAGTAGTAGTAAACAGTGAAGGAGCTATGCTTCAACTGCAGGCCCATTGAAAACTGAAAAGCACAAAATCGACAGCAACAGTACGTACAAGATCAGAAAAAGAAAACAAGAATAAAATAAAAATAAAAAAAAACTAGGAAAAGAAAAAAAGCTTTCCATGGCACGTACCTAGCGGGATGGTAAAGCCTGGAATCCGCGCACTGACAGCGGGCGCCTTAAGACTGTCGGCGATGCTTGCTGCGGAGGTGGAGCGCACGCTCTGGACCCGCGGACGGCCCCCGACCACCATTGCGCAACGCCGGCTGTCAAACCGGCATCAAGCACGAATAACACGATTGTATCAGAGCTGACGCAGCGCCAAGAGAACCAGCGTCATCAGCAAGCGTCATAAGCTTGTTAATCCAAACTAACCAATAGTCCAGAACAGCAGTAGTTGGAAATGTCAGGCACAAACACAGCTGGGATGGACAAAGAATCAGATGGGAGAAGGATAATTTTCTGCCAGAGGACCACGCAGGGCGAGACGAGCGAGAAAGGGAGGAAGAAGGAATCGAGTCGAACGTTGGCGGCCTCACAGGGACACGGCAGGTTGAAGTCGATCACCGCCATGGCGAGATATCCCCGACCACGGATTGGTGGGCACGACGCCAAGGCCATTGCTCTTATCGCAAACCACGTCGCGTGCTTGTGCAGATATTTGCGCACTCATCGACAGGCCTGGGGGATTGACAGACCCCGGCCCACTTGGGAACCAGACCGGGTGAAGACGGACAAAGAGAAGGCGCTCTGATTGCGGGATATTGTTCTATTATTACTATCTCGAAAAACCGCCAGATTGGCCACACCATTCTAGTAAGTACATACATACATACACACAAAGGAAACAAAGCCAACAAACTCAGAGGGGAATATGGAACCAAGGGCACAAGATATACACACAGGAATCAAGACACGAAAACGAGGGAAAGCAACAGGCCGAAACGACAGGATAAGAAAGCGAGATAAGGCATGCACAGCGCAGTGGTCGTGGGAAGACTATGCGATGATGCCAAGACGCGGCGGCAGTCCGTTCCAATCCTGAACCAGTCAAGGCATCCCGTGGTTGGCTCCGCCCCAACTCAACCAGAGTCCACACAGAATCCACAACTCCAGCCTGTCAGACCAAAGAAACCAGCGAAGACACAAAACTGACCCCCGTGCATAACAAAACAGATGGGAAACGCAAAGTGAGATCACCATTCATCACGCTTCCACCATCAACTGTTCGCCCTCGTCCAGCAGGGTCGTCACCCGGGCCACATCCGAGATCATCTTCTTGCCGTGTCCCACCAGCAGCAGCTTCTCCGCGTTGGCCGGGAGACCAAGATAGGTAGGCGGCTCTCGTTCTGGAAGACGGTTCACCCATTCAGTAAAGTCCCGGAGGCTGGTCCCGCCAGGTAGCGCCAAACACTCGTCGTTTTCAACCCCAGAGACCATCTTGTGATCATTCTCAAAAGCAGCCGGAGTGAGGAAGCTGTTGACGAGATTCTCCAGCTGCTGGAAGTCACCTGCGTCGTCGATCTTGCCTCCATAAGTCTCGGTGATCAGGGTGCGGATCATGTCCCAAGGAAGCTTCTGGGGCGCTACATTAGAGCGGCCCTGGGCAACCGAATCGATCCAGGAATCGATGATGAATGCAGAGCATTCGTACTAGATAGACTATTGTTAGCACGACCTGTAGACCATGACAAGAGAAAAGTGCAAATACTTACGTCACTGTCATTGAATTCCCAGAAACCCTTCCAACCCAGACTTGGTGCGTAGCGGAGTCTCTCCTGAACGACCGCATGCAAGAAGGAGAGTAAAAGGTACACGCGAGTCTTTTCGACAGGAGGCTTGGTAGCGCGTAGCGCAAGCGAGGACAGAGAATCCTTCATGTTGGCCCGTATGCCCGCAGGCTGCTCAAACATGAGCACACGAGAGGCGCGGAGTAGGTTGACAGGGATCTTGGGGCTGGTCTCCATCGAGAGGAAGAGCCGGAAGTCCCTGTGAGGCTTGAGGGACTCAAGGCGCTTTTCCAGGCTCTGGAGCCACGATGGCGCGAGATGGACATTCTTGACCATCACCCAGGTTCCGGCTGCAGCAGCATTGCTGATTGCCTTGTCTGCGCTCTCCAGCCCTTCGTTCGAACCCATGGCAATGTTGGCGCAGGTGGCGTGTACGCGTTCCACCAGAGCGTCAACCTTGTAACTGGCGTCAAAGCCGGGGCTTGAACTCAAAGCGATTGGTGTCGTGGCGGTGACTTGTTCAACCACCTCCTTCAGATCGCTACTACCTTCGAAGAACTCGTCACCGAAGACTGCAGTGATGAAGCGCTCGGCCGTGGGAACAAACCGATCCATCCGGCAGAGCTTGACAAGCAGAAGGGAGCGAAGTTTTTGATTCAGTGGCTCCGTGTTCTCGTCCCAGACCGTAGGCACGAAATTCTCTGCCAGCTCCTCTGTGAGGAATGCATCCCACGCCTCCTTGGAGATGTTGGGCAGATGGGACTTGAAGAGCGACATATTGGAGAGTTTGTTCATCACCTGGTCCCGTAGATCCACGTTGGTAGATAAATCGACCCCTTCCACGCTCTCGTCGAGAATGATATCGATAATACTTTTATCCATAGGGTATGGAGCGGCTTGGGCGAGCAACATGGCCAACGTAATGCGATCCTTTTGCAGCAATCCGAGAGAAGTGCGCTGATATGTGGTGACGAAGAGATCGCGAAGGATGATCTGAACGCGCTTGGCATAGTCCTTCTCATGGGCAAGGTTCTTGTTGTCATGGAGCACCGAGTTGAAGATGTCGACGAAGTACTGTAGAGAGAATTGATAGAAATGGTTGATATGATGCAGCTGCTCCAGCACCGCAAACACCGCACTGCACGACCGGGCGATGATGTTGTACTGGAGTGTGATGTTCTCTACCTCCGTCATTACACCTTCGGTCTCCGCCATCTTTCTGGTGATCTCGGCAGCCTCTTTCTTGAGCGTCTCTAGTGTCTCGATGACGTTATCGTCGTCAAGAATGTTGCCGCGAGACTCATTCAACGCCTGCAGAAGACGTTTCTCCAGCTGCCGGAGATGAATCTTGAACTCTCCTTGCAACTTGATCAGGTTCGTCCTGCGCTCATCCACATCGGGACGCTCCACTTTCAGCACCTCATTCAGTGACTGAGTTTGAAGGCTGCTCTGCGTCACAGTGAAGTTGACGAAGGTCGTTCTGCTGCAGATATCCGGCGGGAACGACGCCGAAGGATCTCTTGTGGACAGGAAAAGCTTAAAGGACGGGGAGAAGTCGATTTCCTGTTTGCCAAGCTGGATCAGGACACGGCCTCCGGTCTTCTGATATTCCTTGTTGAGAACGTGATTGAGGATGGGGTCCAGATGTTCGGCGTCCTGAATGAGAATGGGATTTCCGAACCGCAGCGCACTCTCAAGCTGCTTGACAAATGAGTCATCCAAGAAACTAGTGACCGTGAGCTTTCGTTCCTTGCTTTCCTTCTGGAGGAACTCAGTGATCCGTCCAGAGGGGTCGATGATGAGAGGGTAGCGGTTGAAGCGTTTGAGGATGATCGCATTCTCCGTGCAAAGGTCGTCGACTGGAAGTGAATTTTCCTGCCATGTCAAACGCTCGTCCGCATTCGACAGGTATTCAGTGATAGGATTGTGTGGCTTGAAAGCAATACCAGACTGCGACAGATGGTTAACCCAGTCCTCAACCATTGCCTTGCGGAACTGTTGATCATATAGACCAGAGTAGGCAAGGAACGCGGCAGCAATGAGAACATCTCCCACAAGTGTGTTGATTTGCGTTTCGAAAGATTTGCTTGCTTCTTCCCATCGTGCCCGTTCTGAAGCCAAACTATCAAGCAACCGCACACTCCTATCAACTTTGAATTGAACCCTAGCCATCTCGGCCTTGATCGCTTGGGTTTCGCTGATAAGAGCAGCGTATTCAGTCTTATAAGTGGCGATACTTTTCTCCAGATTCTGAATAGTATTCTCGATAGCTTGTGCTTCGGCCTTTGTTTGGAGTGCCTGCTCTTCAAGCTGCTCAACTTCTTCACGCAAGGGTCCGACACGGTCCAGAATCTCAGAATAGTTTACTTGCGCTTCCACCCACTGTACCAGCGGACCGCACGCCTTGCTTGCGTGATTGACCCTTTCGTAAGTGAAGTCCTCCTTGGACAAGTATTCGTTCTTCATCTTGACTCGATGGCTACGAGTCATTTGTCGTTCATTGTCATAATTCACAATGCTGGCGATGAAGTCATCTCGTCGGATAATTCCTTGGATCGTCTTCCAGCTGTCGACCTTGTGACCAAGCAAGGTGCATACAGCTTCCAATGTGAGCCGGACACTTGCGGGAGGACTGCCCATGGAACGGACTTCGGTCAGGTGTTGACGCTTGATGTTGCTGACACTCTTCTTAGCTTCCACGACAGCAGGTTCCGCTCTGGCAAGGTCATTCAACACGACCTCCTTCCGCCGAGCGATCTCCTGTTCCTGCTTTTCCAAAGCAGCTTGGATCTCAAGAGAGGCTGCCTTGCGTTGTTCCGCCTCGCGCTGGTCCGCAACCATGCGCTGCAGTTTCTCATTTGCTTCAGCGTCTTTCTTCTCCAGCTGCTCCTTCTTCTGAGCAAGACTCGCACGAAGATCGCGGACTTTATCGACCGTGTCTCTCAGTTTTTCAAGACCCACATTCAAGTGTCGCTGTTGTTCTTCGAGGTCTTCTCGCTTTTCGTTGAAAAGCTTGACATACTGAGCCACAAAGTCGAGATAATGACGAGGGGTGAGATAGGTGGTTCTGCCTTGCTGTTTCTGGAGACGCTGGTTGAATTTCTGCAAGGAGTAATGGATGTACACCATTGCGTTCACGACCGTCTCACGATGAGAAGCCGGAAGGCTAAGGTCGCGGTACGCCACTGGAATGCTGTCAGGCGCTGTGAAGTTCGGTTTGTCGAGATCCACCGATTGCGTAAGCTCAGTTCCAACCTGGAACAGCGCTTGATCAGACCAATCGCCAAACCAGTTCAGAACGCACCGATTGAAGAGCGCGGGACTTGTTGCGGCCTTTGACGATAATCCATCCTCGGGAGGATTCATTGTGAATACGACGTGGAGATTCTTGACGATCTGCTGCGTGAACCATTTGTAAAGCTCTTCCTGGGAGTCAAGAAGCAGACCCTGCCGCTGTGCGCCTTCCTTGCAAGCGGTCATGAGGGAGGCAAACTCATCGCCTTCAAACAGACCTGGCACCTCAGCATTTGCAAGCAGCGTGTTCATCCGCTCCAGGAAACCGGAGTCGAGGACGTTGGATTCGTCCATGATGAAACAGATCTTTTCACCCTTGCATCCTGCTCGCCGGAGAACATTTCTCAGGTCTTCATCGAAGTCTTCAGAGGAGTATTTCCCATGCACCTTGATCTGGAAGACCTTTAGACCATTCATCCATGCGACAAACCGCGAAAGCGTAGTCTTGCCGCTTCCACTAACACCAATAAGAATAAGGTGACCTTGAGGCTGTCTAAAGACCCGGTCAATGCGAAGGGCATGTTCCAGGACGTCGTTGAAGAGAACCAAGGGAACATCCACTTCCTCTTCACAGAATGTCTTCAAACGAGCCTTGACAAACTCCCGGAGTTGCTCTTGTTCGACGGGGACATAATTCTTAGACAGCCAATTGGAGAATAGGATGGGTCCCTTTAGTGCCTGTTCTTCATCGATTGTAGGGAAATGCTCCAAGGCGATACGCCGCACCGAATCAGCTGTCCACTTCCGCTCCTCTTCAGCAACGAGACGATCCTGGAACAGGCGCAGAGCCTCATGAGCCCAGATCCGAACAAGCCCTTCAACGGACAGATTGTCCAGAGGTTTAATAGCCTCGTACACACCGCGAACCCATCTCGTAAGCTCACGGGGTGAGTAAACATAGTGTGGCTGAATCTTGGGTGTGAATCTAGCTTGAGACTCCAAGTAGAACTGGACCATTGCCTTTGTAAGAGCGTCGGAATAACCCCGCAGCGTGGGAATGATCTTGAGAACAGCAGCATTAAATGTACCGTAGATCTGTATCAGGGAGAGTTCTCCAGGGTAGTCGACCATCATCAAGGGCGCATGACGCAAGAATCGCTCTGCCAAGGGCGTGCGTCCTGCATCTGTCGGAGGATTACATGCGCCGACGAATTGGATGCGCTCGAGCGTCACCCACGTTTTGTCAGACGTTCTCCAAAATCCGTTCTGCTCAACAAGCTGCCTCAAGAATGATATCGCACGTTGCGTGCCATATCGATCGGGGGCAGGCAGGTTGATTTCATCGCAAAAGATGACCAACCAACGTCCGATTTGATTCGGAGACATAACCACGCCGTTGAGAGTCTTCCGGTATTCGCAATATTGCTCGAAGGTCTTGATCAGAAGATCTGGGGTAGTGGCGCTGGAAAAGTTCAACCCCACGACCTCCATGTTAGGTAGTTTCCTCAGTGCGGAAAAGAGAGTCATAGTCTTTCCAGATCCAGGAGGACCGCAAAGCAATAAGGGCTTGTGTTCGGCAAGCCATGAATAAAGGATATCTTCGTGGCGTACGGTATCCAACGTTGGGATGATGACATCGGTCTGGGTAATAGAATGTGTGTTGATCTCGACAGACGGCACCTGAGATTGCCAAGGGACCCATTCAGCCTTAGGTAGAGTGACATCAAAGTCGATTAGCGAAGCGGAATCGCCAAGCGGCGGCGTGTCAATTGTGGAGAATGCTGTCAGGTATTCTCCAAAGGCCTTGCGATCACCCAAAGGACAGTCGCCTGTAAATGACCATACAAGCGCGAGAAGGAGTTTTTTGGCAAGGTAGGACTCGATTTGTTCCGGATCGAGTGGGAAGTCAACGTGTTGGATGTTGTATTCGAGAACATTTCGACAGGCCTTGTTCAACAGGCTGAACAGAGTATTCAGAGCGCGGATATCCGTAAATTCCATGATGTGGTTGTATTTCTTCGCTTCTTCGAGCGCCTTCAGAACAAGATCGTCGCCCTGCAGGAATTGTCGAAGGAATTCGGAGAACATTTCCTGAACGCCCTGGGTCTTGATAGATGCCTGCCCAGCTGGTGCACTATCATCATCCAAGTCCTCAAAGGTCTTGGTCTTGAGCGACTCGACATAATTGGTGACCATCATTGACGGCGTAACGGTATCATCACTGAACCATACCATACCACAACGACTCACAGTGGCCAGTGTTGCATACTTAAGTGTCTCCACTTCAAACATGATACGGACATTGGGCGGCAAGTTCAGACGCTCACCATTGGGCAGCGTCAGTAATTTGTTGTCATCCAGAACGCTGTTGAGGTTTTCTACCCATTCTGGGTCGACATCTCCATCGAAGACAATCCAGTGGCGTTTCGAATCCTCTCCTCGCAAGTTATCGACGATCTTCCTCAGAATGCCAGTAAACAGACCATCAGTCCATTCTCTTGTGGTGCTGTCCAGATTACCATAGAGTGCTTCCTTGGACATCACCTTGGAATCAATAATGTGGCAGACACCTTCGACACCTTCGACTCGTTGTAGAGCTTGTAGGAGGACCTTCCATGCAGATGATTTGCCGGAGCCAGACCGGCCAACCATCATGACACCATGATGAATGCTTTGGATCTGATACAGCTGAAGCGTCTTGGTGATCCACGTGTCGCTATCAACGTAGTGGTTTTCCTTGGCAATATCGCGAATCGCTTCAGTGAGTCTGTCAAAATTAGCAGGGACATACTCCACTCCTGGGAAATCCTGCGCCTGGATCTCCAACATGATGTCCACATCTTCACGGATCAGCTTGGGTGCGATGGTTTCGCGAATGCTCTGAACAATTATCTGGGGCTCAATAATTTCATCAGGACCGAGGTCACCATTGGAGTTAGCGAGGCGCACACGCTTGAGGCCTCCTGAGCTGACAAGGACGCTTTTCAGCGCACGAAGACCGAAATCGTAATGCGCTTGTTTCGACAATCTTGTTGAGCAGTGATCGAAGAAAGGAACTGTCTGTTTGGACAGCGCCTTCGCTTGCTTGAAGCCTTGCGAGAAAAGCATAACCTCGGCGATAAGTTCCTTATCAGGCTTCGACATGGCAACGCTTCTGAACAGCTTCTTCAAGTTATCCGGCAGATTCGACCGTCCCGCATAGCCAGGGTTCATGGTGATGAAAATGCCAGTGTTCGGGTGCACTCGCAAGCGCCTGCCTACCAATTCAATCTGCGCCTTTTCATCGTCACCACCTTTTCTCAGCCCAATCTGGATGTTCTGGATTTGCTGTGATACGGCTGAGAGAATTCTCTCTTCCAAACGGTTGAACTCGTCAAAGCAACCCCAGGCGCCAACCTGGCAGATACCAAGAAAGATCCTACCCATAGCTTGGAAATCGAACGTATCATCACAGCAAAATACGAGTGTAAAGCGGCCAAGTTGAAGACCCAGCGCTTTAACTGATTCAGTTTTACCTGTACCGGCCGGCCCGTAAGGAGAACCTCCCAATCTCTGGCAAAGAGCTTGAGTCAGAGTGAGGAAACATCGGTCCGTCAAAGGAGTTCGGACAAGACGTTCAGGAACGCCCAAATACTCAAAGCCGTAGTCCAACTTCGCATTTGCCATGTGAATGTAAAGCCGCTGCAGGAAATCGCCTTCAGGCTTGTAAACATAGCGCATTTGAAGCAACCAGAGATAATGGTTCGGAGATGATGCGTTAAATTTGATCAGTTTCGCAATGACATCGCGCTGATGCACAAACTCAGTTATCATGTGCTCGCATTTCTTCCTTGTGATGGTATCGAGCTCCCCTAGGACAGTGGCAGCGAGTAATTCAAGGATTCGAACTTCTGCATCGTATAATGCAGAGAGGTCCTTTCCACCATTCTCGAGAGATTTCTGGACGGCATTTGTCCAGACTACCTGGCTGGCAAGGACGACAATCTGAGCAGGATAATTCGCAAGATAGTCGTTAAATGCGGTCTGATCAACCTCAGGAGCGTGGTATATTGTCTCGAACTGTTCCACGGCCTCTGCGAGAAGCTCTGCCAACGTCAACTTCATATTGTGGTCCAAAGCTGAAAGCCAGTCATTGATCCTGGGCGTTTTGGTGAGGTTGACTTCTCGTTTCAATCGAACCTCTTCCCCTTCCTTTGACGTGAAACCAACTATATTGTTATCGTCATCCATCAAAAGCCCAGAGAGACCAGCGAACATCTTCTTGAAATGCTTAGATACCCGGACCGTATCGTTACTATTGCCAATGATTTCAAGAAGGTCTTCGTCACCGACGAAGTAGAAGCGAGGGAACGAAACACGTTCGCGCTCGAGATATTCGCCCAACGCTTTCTGAATTTTGTTGAGAAGTTCAGCCAGTCTTTCCAAGGATTTCTGAACGCCGTTGATGGCAAGCACGTCTAGTACATAAGGTGACTTGTAGACCTTCTTCATCACGGCGAAGAATTCGGAATTAATGTTCTGAAACCGTGCTGACTCCAGAGGAAGGAGGTGTTTGATATCAGCGTTACCGCTGAACACGCCTTCAAGGTACACCCATTGACGTTGGACATCTATCCAAACGTCGAAAAGAACGTGTACTCTGTTGAGCTTGTCTTCCCAAGTCGACGCTTCTTCCTCGAATTCTTTGTAATATGGCGAATGTCTCATTGCCTGCAGAGAATTCAGGTTCTCGCTGCACTTGGCGAACAGATCGTCGAAGCCGCGAATAAGACGGCACTTGTTCTGGTAGTTAACGAGGTCTAACGAATAATTCTGCCAGGTCTCCCGGACCGACTTTAAGAACTCTTCCAGTGCCATCTCGCCTTGAGCTTGCGCAATAATGTCACGGATGACGCTTTCGCTTGCTGCAGGCTGCAGGTCCCAAACGTCTCCGAGGGTGAGAGATACTTGGGAGAATCTCTTGCCAGGCTTGAGGGCCTTGAAAATCTTCTGCCAGTGTCTCTCTTTGATCGCCTCAGACTTCAGGTCAGAAAGCAAGGGGTTGACTTTCAGGAGCTGGCGCAAGACATTCTGGATATGCTCGAATGCAGCATATTGGCGCATCCGACTCGGCATTTCCTTTGTCATCTTGATGAGACCGTCGAGGGACTGTCGAAGCTTCCTTGGCTGTACACTGTTCCATAGCATGTCACGAAGCTCGTTCAGACTCTTCCAGATCGTTGAAAGAGCAGCCCATACGGACATGAAGTCTTGTACCTCCTCCAAGATCGTTGGCAGCGAAGACTCGGCACTGGCAGGAAGATCCAATGCCTCCTTTGCCTTCGAAACCATCTCGAATTCTGACTGAAGCGCTTCAAGTCGGGACTGGAAGGAACTCAAGGTGCGAGATGCTTCTTCGGGGGGGATGGTGCCGGAAACAGGTTTTTCCTCATTCCACTGTGCAATGACTTCAGCAATCTTGTCTCCAATAACCTTGTCCTCCGCAGCAATCTTCGCGCGAAGAGCCTCGGTCTGATCCTGAACAATCTTGCTCTTTCTTGCCAGAAGCTCATTCAGAGCGGCCCACTCCCCATCCACGTTCTCGACGTGAAGCCAATCATTGGGGAACTGGTAACGCTGGCGAGAAAGCGTTGTTTGACCTTGCCGGAAGAGATCAACTTGAGGCTCCCAGACCTTTGCCTTGCGCTTGCACTGCTGGACAATGGTTATGAAAGACACAGCATGTGCGGTTGAAGAAGCTTCCAGAGTTTGACCCTCTAGGTCTCTGCGGGCTGCGGCAATTTCCGCATGAACTTCTCTCATGCGAGCGCCAAGTTTTGCACCGAATTTCAGGAGGATCTCGTGCTGCCACTGATCATACTTCGCATTGACCCTGGTTTGAACCTGCTCGTAGTCGATCGTAATGTTACCAAAGGACCGGCTGACCTCGGACGTGTCGAAAGTGGCGCGACTCTTGCGAATTTCCTGAAGGAGCTGCAGCCACTGAGACAGGTCATCGCCCAGAACATCGTACACTTGTTCAGCCTGCAGATCCCAAAGAGACTGGAACTGGAGCCATTTATCAACATAAGCTGAGATTTCCTGAAGTCTGGCTTCTATGGCGCCGTAAACCTCAGTCAATTCGGCGGTGCAGTGTTGGGGAAGATTGACAAAAGAAGTTTCGGACAACCGTGCCTTCTCCACATCGATTGATATTTGGTAACGTGATGACTTGATCTTCTCAAGATTACAGATTACGCCAAGCCACTGAGCAAGGTGGGCAAACCAGCTTGCCCTGGCAAACTGCAGTGGCGGATCAAGATGCAGAACCTGATTTCGCATCGATACCTCGTGGACAAGCCTGGGAAACTCGATACGGTAGATATCGGTTTCCGTGTCGCCTGCCGAGGAAGGCCTCTCTTGGACCTCTTGAACCGATATCCGCTTCGAGTGTTGTTCGTCGTTTGATTGCTGAAATGCAGCAATCCAGACACGTATCGCCCGATGGAGACGCTCACGGAGGATAGATTCAATCTTAAGGTTCAAGTTCGAAACCCAATAACCGAGATTGACGTAATTTTCCAGATTCAATTTGTCGACTGCCATCTGGATAGAATCGAGACGTTGTCTGAAAGCTGCGGCGTCATAAGGACATGTTTTGAGCTCCAAAACCGCTTTCTGGATGCTCTCATTAATGGAAGCCAAGGTTGCTGTCTTTGACTGGAGAACCGAAGCGGACACCGCAAATTCACGGACAAATTGGACGTGTTTGCTCTCACCCCTTCCCGGCATAGATGGGTCAATGGAGCCGTTAGCTAACGTGGACTGTTTCACATGTAGTTCATACGAATGTACAAACGACTCCCATCTCAGAGGGATGCCTTTAACGATCATGGCCTGAGCATCGTTCTGGTATCCACTTAATAATATGGCGACATCGGTCATGGAGGCTATTGTGCGAGTTGTCTGAAGCAGGGTACGGACGCTTTCCATTAGGCTGATGGCGTAGGGGTAAACGCGTTTAGCCTCCTTCGATATACTGCTGACAGCATGAGGGACCTGAAAGTTCAGCCACATGAGATTCCTCACTTCCTTGAAGAGAGCAATGATCTGCGCGTCAAAGTTAACAGTCAACTCCAAGGAATTTCCTGCAGCTCGGTTGCGGACGATGTTGAAAAGTCGCCCCGATATTGTGATATGGCGCCGCTGAACATCGTGAAGCCAAGACTCAAAGACAGGCCTTGTGTCGAGCTTCTTGCGGAACATATTGCTCTCAGCCTGGAGTTTCTGGCCCTCAGAATGCAAATGCCAGTCCTCTCCCAGGACGTCTTCGACCTTTCGCATGTATGCATTCAATTGACGCTCGATTTGACGAGCCCACACGATGGCTCCAGAGACCGGAGGGAGATCCCGCAACTGAGCCATCGCGTGAGCCTCTGAGTGGCCATACTGCTGTTTGAATCGCTCATGCAGTGCAGAGATATCTTGCTTGACGTTTTCAATGAGGGTCGTTTGGTATTCGCTGATAGCTCCTCGGATTTTAGGCCGAACAAGGAGAGCGTTGAATTTGGAAAAGACACGGAACATCTCATTCGCATTCTTAGCTGTCGCAAGACGATCTCTAAGGCGAGCGATAATGGAGTTTTCAACACGCGAAGTACGCTCATTGTAGGCAATCTCCGCCTGAATCCAGAGTTGGGTACCTTCGGGGCTCACATCGAGCACGTCAACGTCTTTGAAGGCGGCATAGGCTTGGGCAACCTCCTCAACGGCGTCAACGTCGCCGATCTCCTCCACTATGACAGCCCCATCTGTGGCAGTGCCGGCACCAGCAGTATTGCCGGACGCAGACGACTTCGGACCCAACACGTTGACAATCGTCCTCTGCAATTGCTCGTGATTAACTCGGAACGTGTTGATGTATTTCAAACGTTCTTGGGTCTTGGTATGCCTGGGGTTAATCTTGATTGGGATGAATTTTTCGTTGCGTCGTCTCGATGCTTCACGACCAACATTGGTGAATTCTTTCACGTTTTCATCCCAAGTTCGCCAGATGGCACTGCACGTCTTCATAAGTGAGCGGAATTCCCGATAATCCAGGTACATTATCGGCCGGCCGCGGAGCAAGGCGTGAATCTGGGCGTCCAGATCACCGGATATCGCCTCCACGAGGGCTAGGGCTCTCTTAATGGGGTAAGGAGATATCTTTAGCTTCCTGTTGAGATGATTGAATATCATGCCTAGCGACTCCTGGACTTTCTGCAACGAAGTTGCGGATAGAAGTTCGTCCAAAGGAAAGTCTCGCATAAGCTGGTTGTACTTTTGGACCGTGTCCATGGCCTCCCTAAGCCCCGTGTCGGCGACGAAACTCAGGGTCGCCTGGTATCGCTTGGCGTGCCGAAGTATCTCCATGGTAAGTTGGACCCCATCACCGCGTAGCTGTTTCTCGATACCTTCCAGTGCCGTCTCCATGGATAGCCAGAAATTGATCTCTTGTGCTGCTGAGCCGCTCTCGGGATCCCGAGACATCTTCGTAATTGTTTGGATAGACTTGATCCAGCCGTTGACAGTATTTTGGATGCTGTTCAGGACAGTGCTATTTTCCAGAGCAGCCGGTGGAATTAGCTCCACAGAGGGTTTGACACCTCGAGCTTCGGCCTCATCCAATGCAGCCTGGACTATCTCATGGAGAGGGAGGTTGAGAGTTGGAATCTCGACATTTTGCTGCAGATGCAAAAGGCTTAGCTCCAACTCTGCAATGCGCTTCTTCGTGCCCGGCACACCCGTCTTTGCTTCTGTATCCGTTCTCTGCTTGGTCCCATTTGCTGCTTCCTGACCGCGCGTGTAGGCTTCGAAGTATGGGCTGAGAGCGTTGTGCACCATCGAGTGCAAAACCTCGAAAGCAGACACGGAGGTGCCCTGCTGAGTCTGTGAATTGCTGAGGGTTAATAGACCCGGAAAGTTTGTGATCTGAACCTGGGCCGATATGGGGAGGTTCGGATCAATTGGCGCAGGGCGTTTGACAAAGGCTACCGAGGCAACTGTCGTGGAAGAAAAGAAGATTTCTGAAGAGAGGGTATAGGTATACCGAGCTGGCGATGCTGGGAGCAGTTAGCAGATAATTTTGCCATGTTAAGCATCACAGCACGGTGCAAACACTTACGATCTTCATCTTCGGTCCCATTTGGCTCCTCTGCACTGACAAGGTCCTTCTGCACATACAGAGCCGTTTGGGAATCAGAGGCGAAACGCGTACATCTCTGTACAGTCTCGGAATATTTCGCCTTTGATAACAGGCTCCCCGTGCTCTCCAGATCCTCCTTCGAAGCTCCCAGTGTCACCTGCAGAACTTCTGAGAGATACTGGACCACGACGTTTGGGTCCACCAAGGGCGCCTGGGTCGGCGCCGCCAGACCGTTGGGCACCCCTGGAGAGGCGACCTCCATGACTAGGACTTTATGAGGAGTGACACATCGAACACATCGAGGTTAATGACAGCAAGTTCAAGCTTCCGCAGACGGGGGGAAGTCTCGATCAGGGGATGTTGTTCTCGTGTCAAGTTATGCGAGGCGTCTACTGTCTGCAAGCTAAGGAGTGTGAAAGGAGAAGGGAGGGGGAGGCGGAAAAGAGATGGGGGATGGGTTGGAAGCCTGGTGATGATGGCAGGTTGTATGGTGACAAACCTGAATTTCTGCGACGCCCTGCAGTCCGTTTATTATCTTTTAGCTCCTTTCGACACAGCGGGACGCGGCATGCGTGTCGCCCAGAATCACGGGACTGCCGTGCCCAACGCTTTGACCAGCGAGCGTGGTTGCAGTTCGGTTCAGGGGCTCGCAAGGCGCGTGCCAGGTGGCAGTCAACACTTGGCCCGAAAGGGCTAGCGTCGAACGTGACCCGCTGCTGTGCCTGGTGCCCTCGGCAGAGTCCCAAGGTCGGCTCCTGTTCCTGGGGCTGATCCTTAAAAAGACAGCATTTAACGAGGTCTACGGAGTCCTCCGTACGGAGTTACCCACGGTTCCGGGCGGGTTCCTGATCCATCCTGATCTGAGATTGTGCAGTCGTTTCAAAGGTACCCGATACTGTGGACCGATGAATACCGATGGCAGCATTTACAAACCAGGAATGGTGAAACAGCCTCTTATGAAATAATGCATATGCTCTCATGTCTACAGGCGAATTTCTAATCCTAAAATCCATGCCTACCACAGCGTTTTTAGCAGTCTGGAATCGGCCTACACGGCAGAGCCTATTGCTCCATTGGCATGCGTGTCGTCTTGTTCGACTTTCGAACAGTCACACTGGTACCGCTCGCGGAAGTCGGATGCGTGGAGTCCCTCGAGCAGCCTGAGTGCAGCCTCGCTTGCTTTGATTTTGGCATAGCGACCCGAAGAAGCGGTCTCCTTGGCCAGGGCTGTGTTATGCACCAACACTGCCGCCAATACTACCGTAGGTGCGCCGTCAGCAGTCGGGATTTCCCCAGCCTTCAAACAGTAATTCGTGCAACCAAAGTCCTTTGATAGCCGATTGTGGAGGAACGTCTGGTTGCAGATTAGCCCCATGTACGCTGTTGCTAGGAGAACATAGACATGACAAACTAACCGTCGGGTGCTTGTTTGCGAAGGTGTCGTACAAGGACATATCTTCGAAATACTGTCTGATGTGTCTTCTATAGAAGTCCTCTATGACTTCGAAGCAGAAGCATGAATCGACGAAGATTGCGCCAAGATAGGCTTCAATCATGTCTGGTAGACACTGGTACACATAATCAGCAGACTGAATCAATAGTTACAAATTCTTGCCAAAAATAAATATTGATCTTACCTTTGGAGGGTCTTCAGTCGCCACCCAGAATTCCTTGGCGCCCTGGCTTTCTCGGTGGGCTGTCTGGATCTCTTCAGCATAGTTGGTGATCTGGCTCTGGAGTGGATTGCTAAAATGTTGCAAATGGGTATGTAGTTCCAGTCGCACGGCGAGGGTTCCTAGGAATTTGTTGGACACCATGGCCATCTGGGGTCATCATCAGACGTTGTCCTGCTGTCGCTTTGCAGTTTGCAGTCTACGTACCTTATGCTCCGTGAGCCACTGTGGATCACGGTCAGGATAACGCTGAAAAAGATCCTCGACACAAACCATGTCTAACAGTGAATCCCCTAAGAACTCGAGCCGCTGATAACAAGGTACCTTGGCCCAAGCCGAGGGATAGGATGGATGTGTGAAAGCTGACCGGAGCAGTCTAGGATATCTGAAATGATAACCAAGCTTTTCCTCAACCCGTTGGGCAAGGTCCCTTTCGAAACCGTCGGGAGCTTGGATCTGGTAACGGGGTAGAGAGTAGAGTGTATAGTATTCCCGCCAGCTCTGCACATTATGATTGCTGCTGTTGACCAACGCAGTAACTGCTTTTACGGCCATGTCAAATCGATGTTCAGGGCCGCCAGACAGCAGTGATGCCCCTATTATTGCCTCACAAACGTCGGCAATTGTCTTTTCACCGAGAGCATGTGTGCAGCTAGAATCGGACTTGCTATCACTGCTTTTGCCGTGAAGTAGCTTGAGGCCTTGGGGATACCAGCCCCGCCTATTAACATAGCTTATTAGAAGGCATTTTCCTTTATGTTTTGCTTAGCATTACGCACCTAGAGAAACCTTGGCTGCGAATGAACTCATAAATTTTCCGTTCCTTGGCGGTCTTGAAGAGGTTTTTGTTGCAGATAAGGCACATTCTATTCACGTGGTAGTCGAATTCTTGGTCATGAGGATTCTGCGCGAATAGGGAAATTGACGTTCCCATCTTGAGGAAACAATCCCCCAAAAATTCGAGACGCTCGTAATTCTTTCCCATTCCGCGCTGAAAGTGGATTTGCTTGCTTCGATGTTCCTCAGTGTTGTCGGAATCTTTAGTCAGGGCTTCCAAAGCATATGATAACTTGACATCCAAATCAAGACTTTCACAGGCTTCTCGAGCAATGAGATACGATTCAAATCTACTCATAATTGCCGGAAAGGCGAAGCATGACGCAGCAACGGAAGAAGGAATCTAGGCATCCCTATAGGTCAACGAAAGGGGTGAAAAAAAATGGCTCACATCCAGAAAATTGACTTACAGCCGAAATTGTGAGAGCCTCTAGACATATTACGCATCTTCTCTCCACAGCCTTTTCTTGGTCCGTCATCTTGTCCAGCAGGTTTCTTCGGAGAGAAACCAATTCTGCCTTGAGTACCGGCTGATCCCAGTCACACTGAGCGAGGAACTTAGTTCGAGAATTTTTGAACAAGCTCAGGCAGTAATTCATGATGTTGTCCATGTGCCTACGACGAGGGACAAAGGACGGTGGCGGATCAGATGGACGAAGCTTTCTGTCTACCGCAATCGTGAAATAGCGATACCTTCCATCCCACTTATCGAAGACAAAGCGGTCAAGCATAGTTCCAGCGACCTTGGCATTAGTCCATGATATTTCGTCATTCTCTTGAACAGTTTCCAACGTGTTCCAGTCAATTATATCGTTGAGTTTGAGGTCGTCGTGAAAATCCCCGATATGTGTTGCAGCTGGTACCAGCCAATACGGCATCGCCTCTGTGTCTCGCTCATAGGTTTTATGAAACAGATCGCGAAAAACACGAAGAGTAAAGGTTGTTAGGATGTCGAGATCTTTAGCTTTGATCGCCATGGCAGCCCTCAACGGTATTGAACGAACTTCCGTCTCGATATCCTCCTCCAAATATATTGGGAATCGAGGGAATTCCGGCAATCTTTCACGGGTCAGAAGGACCAAACATCGATGATCCCTTGTCAACTTCTGAGCAGGGTTCAGAACTATAATCGTCCCGTAAAGGGATTCTGGAGTAACTCCGCAGCCCTTAGCCCAGAACGCTGGTTTAGTTATCATTTGATACCGATTAGTCTTCTTTGAAACGATCGCAAGCTTAGCATTTCTCATGACAGGCAATCGTCTATGATATGCAGACATGAAATAATCGTCGAGCAGATGGTGTCGTCGGAGCAAAAGACACGTGTCGAACGCTGCAGACTGTTTTGCGAGGGACTTCTGTGAGGCTGGTTTTCCGACAAGCCCCCTGATCGGCGACTTCTCTGGAAGTATTACCTCGCAAATATATGCATTGTTCATCGGAAGAACGACGTAGTTCACTTGAGGCGATGTTTCATTCTCGTATTGCTTGCAAATCAGTTAGTACGGGATGGAGAAGCAAGAAGACCAAGGAGTCCTCACCAAAGAGCTGGCATAACGGGCGAGAACGGATAACGCTGAGTGATATGTTAGAACGGCACCGGTGCTGGAGACTTTGAATGTTCTCTTCCTGGAGTCTTTTTCCAATAGATAGTTCACATCGCAGTCATTTCCACGGAGGATTCTGTCTTCAGGGAGACTTTCACAAAATCGGCGCATCATATCCTGACATTCCCTAATTAGCCTGAACAAAAAATGGGTTCTCTTTCTTCCTACCTCAGCTTCACGGACTTCCTCCAGGCGTGTTTCATGCTCAAGGTTATCGAGCTCTACCATATGCGCATACTGTGTCTTCTATGTTATCTTTCATTCACCAACAAACCAAGAGATGCCTTACCGTCGAGTTAACATGTCTTGCTCGACCTCTACTCTGTACATACTGAATAAGTGTATGGTACAGGTCGAATCTTTGTCTATTAGAAATGGTAAATTATGAGGATCGGAGGGCAAGGGAACACACCTGACGACGAGGTTGCAATCTGGTATGTCGAGACCTTCTTCAGCTACGGAAGTAGCAAACTTGTGGAGATCAGTATTTGTAAAGGCTTTTCCACGCATAGAATGCATACCAAGCAATTTAACTCTCCTTTCCTGAACCTCATCATGGCCTTAAATTGTTGGTGATAGGTGGTGTTCATCCCCGCATCGTCACTAGACCTGACCCCGATCAGGACCCCCGGGCGAAGATTAGGTATGTTCAAGGACGTAAACAAATCTCCAAGAAGCCGTGCTGTGTGCCGCTGCTTCGTGAAGACAATACATTTTGTGTCGGATGCGCGTTCAAAGTACTTCGACAATTTTTCGCGAAGCAGTTGTACCTTTGGGCTCAGTTGATGCGAGATGTCGTGGCTGCGAAGCCTATATGTCGCCACCATTTCGCGTGCTTCCTTCAACCTATTGATTTCACTTTCAACCCTCTCCGTCGAACCGTTCCGAATGCTTCGATTGAAAGTTCTTCTAACACTTCCCTGGAGTTTTGGATCCACCTCCTCTGCTAGAATATAATCCCATACATGGTCTGAGCACCACTCACCTAACTCCGAGGTAGCATTCAGTGAAAATTTGAAGATTTTTGCAAGGCATTCCATATCGCCAAATCGAGTTTCGAGACATTTATACAGAGCCGTCTTGAAAGGCGGGTCAAGTCTGGGGTAGGTCCACACCTGCTCTGTTGGACGTCTCACAACCTGACGCAGGAGTGTAAGATTTGACGTTGTTGCAATTTGGCTATCGAGAAGCTTTTCAAGCGTTCTATGTCTATATTAGTGAGATTCTTTCGGGGAAAAGTCAACAAAGACTACTAACCTTGCTGCTTTCACGACATCACCTTTCGCATCAATAGGAGATGCAGTCATCCCAAAAATTCTCGGTCTATTTTCGGGAACCTCTTTGAGATAAGAATCTTTGATAATCCTGAAATATGATAAGAAAACGGTCTTTGAGAAGCTCGTTAGGTCCTCAAATACCTGGCATAAGGATGATCCTTTTTCGTGTGGTGGGCCTCATCAAAGATCAGCAAATTAATATTCTTCATCTCGATGTAAGAGTTGAGAAGACACTGGTGCAAGATCTCCGCCGTGCACACTATCACCATGTTTTCTTTGAAGTATTGATTCCAAATCTCCTTGCTCCAGAGATCTAGACCCAGGGCGCCGAACAATTGAGCAACTTTCTGATCGATGTTATTTCTCAGAACGGCCGTTTGCTGGTAAACAAGAGTCACACTGTCTACCTAATAGAGTTCTCAGCATTGAAAATATTCTGATTTGAAAGTATCTCCGTACCAGAAAGAACGATATACGAGGAGGTTTTCCCAAGCCACGATCGACCAGCTCATTCTGAATGATGTGCTTCAAGAGAAGCACAGCGATCAATGTCTTACCGGATCCTGCATCCAGAATTAGTAATTTCATTGTCTATGGTATATGAAGAATAATACCAGTATCTAGCACCGCTATCGTATTCTGTTTCTTCGCTCTCTCAAAGAGCTCGATTTGATATTCCCTTGGATCGGTGATGACAGATGCAAAGTCCTGCTCCGCGATAAGACGGACGGTAGAACCTTCAGGACTAGGAGCCTGCTTGATGGCGGACTTTATCTGTTCATTGGTCATAGAAACAGCGTATTCCGATAGTCTATCCAACAGTGTCAGAATCATTGAGAAAGGGTAGAGATATGTCAGGCACGAACAAGGTTTCGAATTGAGCATTCTGAACCCGACGCCTCGACTTCTCCTCCAGGGGAGCGTGTGTAGTGCTCTGATCTTCGCTCTCTGAATTGCTAGATGGAATAGATTCGTCCTCTCTTGGGGGCTCCATGGGGCATGGGGACTCTATGATCAGACAAGGTATGAATCAATGTATGGATGATGAACGACCTCTTGCAAGGAACCTCGAATCCAGCAATCCAGAAACGAGATGCTTGAAGCTTGCAATCCACAGGGAACAGGAAAAAAAGGGCGAAAGGTTAGAGACTGAGCTATCTGGATGCGATGAGTGCTGAATAAATTCATTAGGCAGGTCTAGGTGATGTAGGAGGTGGACTGGAGTTTAGGAGTCCACCGGCGACATTTATATCTCGCGAATCTCCGGTATTTAACTGCGAATATGAAGTGAATCAGCGGATATTTGCAGCCCTTTTGTTTGGCTGTTGTTTGCCTACGAACAAAGCGACGGCTGCAGTGAAGGCAGTAGCTGATCGAGACCGCCATGCAGTGACAAATGCTACAATATTTATCCATAATGCGAATGTAGAAATCCTATTGATTAGCATTGCAATATCTCTACAGAAAACCTTGCTCTTCACAGATACATATTCATCACGGGGAATGTTGTTTCAAAACGAAATGGAGAGAACAGGAGTGCCTGCCTAGGTAAGTAGTCGTTGGTGGGGTTACCCAGACTATGACGGCAGCAGAAAGCGTCCCCCACCGGCATTTGCCTTTGCTTCGCTCCATCTACGGAAGGATCGCCCAAAGAGCTCCCAGAACTCACAGCACCATAATGGCAGAGCGTCCGCAGAACCTTCAAGCTCTCTTTGCCGCCGCGAAAGAGCGGAAACGTGAGCTGGAGTCGAGTTTAGAGACAAATAGCGATTCGTACCGCGACAAGGTCAACGAAACAATCGCCCAGTTTGAAGAATGCCAGAAACTTATCAGGGAGCTGTCTCTGTTCAGCTCCAATGAAGGCGTTGAGGATATCGCTACTGCAGATTTACAGTATGATTGTACCGCGAAAGGTTTGATGCTATATGTGGCTGACTCTCCTTGAAGGTATTTGACGGTCGACTATCTCCTTGCAGACTTAGTTCAGCGATCGTCCGGGCCTGATCGAGAGGCCGTTCTCCGACGTGCGTTAACACAGTATGAGAAGTATCTGATGCGCTTAGATGAATATGATCTGTTATCGCCTGACAATAAGAAACTCCACGAACGATACCTAGAGAATCCTTCTGCATTTACTCTGGCTTCTATGAATGATGCTGCGGCTCGCCGGCAGGTAAAAGTTGCTAGGTTTCGGGAGGAAAAGGAGCTCAAGCAAAAGCTCGAGGTAAGGTGGCTTACCAGACTGAGGTCTTTACGGTTGCGCTGACAGTATCGCCAAGTACCTTTCCCAGAATCAAAACTCCCTTCAGAACGATGACGATACTACTAGACAACTATACTTGGCGGAAATAAATCTCTATACCCATCAAACGTTTCAGGCACTCGATTTGATATCACAAGAGCTATCTATGTTGTCGCAAATGCGCAATGCACCTCCACAGCCTGAGAATACTGGCCAGGATGATCCGAGGAAACAAGATAACAGGGACAAGACGGGCTATTCGGAGCGGCTGGATCCACCAGTCTCTCAGCTTCTGAAGGGTGGGAAACTTGGACCACTATTGAGCAAAGATGGGAAGCCGTTACAACCATTCACGCTTACTGATCGCCGAACACAACTCCGAGAAGGCGTCTTCAGACCGGGTCACAACCTGCCCACTATGACGATTGAAGAGTATCTGGAGGAGGAAAGAAAGCGCGGTGGCATCATTCAAGGAGGGAACCAAAACGAGGTTCGAGAAATCGATGAAGATGATATGGAAAAAGCCGATGAGGAAACGATGAAAGCGAGAGCCTGGGATGAGTTCAAGGAGGAAAACCCAAGAGGCTCTGGAAACACTCTAAACAGGGGTTGATGGGCCTTTCGAGCTTGGCTAGAAGAGATCCTACAGCATGGATACGATGCGACTGACATCCGAGTATCGCTGTCTCTGCTTACACTTCTTCCAGAATTCCCGTTCGCGCGTTCACTCCACGCTTTTTGGCTTCTTGGGTGGAATATAGCGATCTCTTCTTCGTTGACTAGGACCACCATTTTCAGACGAACAAAGAGGATGTAATGGGCTCCGTGGACATCTTCAACTGCAATGAGAGAAACTTTGCATCCAGGGTGTGATGGGGACTCTGCAAGATAAGTTCTCGTTAGGGCTCTAGAATTGTTGGTGGAAGATTTTTCTTTCCAAACATTCTCCTGTTGGATAAACCACGACCTGAGCTCCGTCGTCCTGTCAGAGAACTGACTTGTTTAGTTTCCCTTGTGACTGTTGCTGCAACACCTTCAACCAAGAGCATCCTGAAATTCTCATCGGTCAAATGTTTATTCATGTCACCTGCCTATGCGCTCCACTCTTAGAGGTCAACTGCTTGACTGATGGAACAAATGATATTGAATGTTCCTTGACAAGGTTAGGCTCCTGGAAAGAAGAATTGAGTACAGTCCTTGTTAGTCAGATGTATCAATCAGAATAGGTACATACATAGCCGCTGAAGAACTCGGACAACACAATGCGCATCAGCAGTGAATAGAGCCCAGAGACCGTTTTTTTTCGGCCTTATTTTTTATATACATAATTTAAGGGCTGGAAGCGCTTGTAGAACTCTATAGCGTGTCGACTACAGTGTATCTTCTTAAATTTCGGACTGACCAAAAGAAATTTTATATATCAGACCTGGATTGTAACATGGACATTTTCCTTCGGAAAAGTTGAGGAAACAGGGTGAGCGTCTATAGAGTACACCGCTGTCAATGATCATGAATTTCCAAAAATTTGTCCATCTCCACATCATCATATATTCTATACAACCAAGTGGTGTTTTTGTGCAAACTATAGACCGAGGAGATGGCCAGCATCTCCCAGTACCCGGTTACAATGTTCCAACAATCGGCGTGAAGGAGCAGCCTGAGCTGAGAAAAACCCCACTTGGATGGAAATTCACGACGTCGCCTTATTACGTTTAATCTCTTCGAGAATGGAACCCGCTCCCTTAGCAACCAGCTCTTTCGCAACCTCCAAGCCAAACGCTTCGGCGGCCGTACGTGACTCAACACTACCGGTGACTTCGGCTTCAGCACTACGAGAGCCATCGACACTGACAACGATTGCTCTCATACGCAATTTTGGCTTCCCATCAGCCTCTTGGATCCAATCAGACTCCACGCCTAACGGTGCACTGCAACCGCCCTCTAAGGTCCGCAAGAGACTGCGTTCTGCCAAACATGCCAGTGTGGTTTGCTCATGTCCGATCTTGCTCAGCAACTCGATAGCGGCGTTGTCGTTGGCGCGAATTTCAACAGCAATCGCTCCCTGGCCGACTGCATGCAACATGCCGCCATTCTTGGAGTCGAGATACTGAGAAATGCGGTCCTCAAGACCCAAACGCAGCAAACCTGCCGCAGCCAGTATGAGACAGGTGAAGGGGCTATCTTCCGCGTCTAGCTTAGACAGACGTGTCCCAATGTTTCCACGAACATCCTGGACCTTCAAATGCGGGTACTTCAAGGCCAATTGAGCCGTGCGTCGTATAGAGGATGTTCCGACTACGGAGCCTGCTGGCAGTTCGGCGAGAGTCGAGTGCGGCAGTCCCTTCTTCATAACCAACACATCTCGTGGATCTTCGCGTTCCATTATGGCGCCCAACGCGCACGTGGGGGGCAGGAGCGTCGGTACATCTAGTGAGGGGCCCAGCGGCGTCAGCGACGGAGAAAGGCACGAGGTGTACATACAAGAACAGTCTGGGCGCTTACCTTTGAGGGAGTGAGCGATGAGATCTAGATGCCCAGCGACAAGCAACTCCTCCAATTCCTGAGTCCAGAGATTTTTGGTAACGAAGTCCCGCAGAGCAATCGTAGTATTCTGATCCCCCGCAGTGTCTTTTGATTGCACATTGAATTCATACCCTGGCCACGCCTTCTTCAACGCTTCCAGCACGATATCCGTTTGCAAGAGGGCGAGCTTCGACTTGCGCGTGCCGATGTTGAACGTGGTCTTCTGCGTTGACCCGCCGTGGCCGACGGAGGTGACTGGCGGGGCAGAAGCCATTCCGATTGCGCGACAATCGGGGGACGATCACCACTTTATTTCTGTTGGTAAAGGACAGGACCACCGATTGAAGTTGGAGTTGGTTGCTGAACTCCTGAGAGATAGCTAAAAATATCGTCGTTTGCCGTGAGATGGGAGATGGTGGCACGGTGCCGACACGTCCGCGTTGCAATTCCCATGTGGATCAAATCGCAGCGGGATATCGCGGGATACGCTGCCTCATCGGGCGACCCGATACCGCCCCGGCGCGATTCCGAAAAGCTCCAGCGACGAGCTCCTTTGTCTTCTGCCATTATTGGGAACTATACGCGCGTATATTAATAATAAGAGTATGGATATTATTTGTCGAGCAAGAAGCATTCCTTCTGATGTCGTCGACCTGTGTACTCCGTACGATAAGCTACAGTGGTGTGCTGTAATTACTGTACTCCGTAGATCTGGATGCGGCAGTGACGTACTGGCTAGACCTCGGCATCGGGATGATCGCTGGACTAATGCTTCTGGCACCCTCCACGCCCGCAATCTGGATTCTGGACCAGTCTCCCCCGGGGCGTTTATTAAGCTCCACGTCACTTCTCCAACTCATCCATCCCGCCTCCACTCCTACTCCTCAGAAGAGTACTCTTTCACGCGACATCCATCTCGTCTTCTCTTGATAAGCACTTGTACAGTACGGCCGTGGTTGGAATAGTCCCCGGCGGCTTCTCAGGCTGTTCAAGATGGGCTCTAATCAGGGGAAGACGGCCAAGCTGCCTCTCGTGCCTCTACCCAAGGATACTGTTCTCCTCCCAGGAGTCACCTTGCGGATCCCTGTTACCAACCGTCCCGATATCGCAAATCTTTTGTCTTCGTTGCTGAATCGCAAACGAGACCAAGGCACGAT